GGTCCCATTTTTGCTGCCAGCTACAAGATTGATACCCCTGACGCAATAGTCCTGGTGAAATTGCGGCTTCCGAGCCCACAAAAGAGGGACTCGAGAAAAAGAAAAAAAACACATTCGTTTCCAGAGTCCAGTTTCTGGAAGGTTTTTTCCTCTCGTGGAAGTGCACAGGCCCCTTTGCCAAGAGGAACGGGTGCGTGCATCAGAGCGTGTTGGTGGGAGGGTTCTCGTTGACAGCTATGTTATATTTGGGATTGACTAAACACAGACACGTTTTTCGTACCCTAGAGCTGGGCTCTTGAGGTGGTACGTGACAGGGTTCCTTGACCAACCTTTAGAGGTAGCAGATTGGGTAAAGTTCCCTCAGCCATGCGTCCCAGAGAGTAAATTGGGGACTCCAAGTTATTGTTTCCTTTGGGTTTCCTGTGAAGCATGCAGGATCGAAATGGAGCAACAGGCATAAAGTTTGGTTTCCTTTGAACCACTTGTCTACCGCCCGTGTGGGCGACGTCTGAGTCTGAACCCTTCCTCGCTGTCCAGGTGGGCCTTCGCGCGGAGAGTCAGCATTGCAGAGGCATCATGTGCCGCATCGCCGACTTCTTTGCGGACCAGGCGAGTGGGCGGCAGCGAAGCACCTGCGATGTGTCTTTTTTGGAAGGCGCCTTTAGGATCTCTTTTCGACATGTGCGCGTTTTGTCCCCTTACTCTATTAAGAATAATGGATATGTAGGCGTTTGTTCAAACAGTTTTACAGGTCACTTGATGTTTAGAACCTAAACTTAATCCACTGCAGCATGAACCCCAAAACACTTGTGGCGTCCCCAGATGGGGATCAGCTTGTTGGATTCCAGCTTAATTTGCAGGCGCTTGTTTTCAGATTCACTGTGGGCATCCAAATGAATTCTGTTCAGGTCGACCAACGTTTCCTCGTAGTTCTCTTCGGTGTGAACAGGGTTCCAGCTAGAAGCATCCCCAAGAGGTATTTGCAAACAGCAACTTGTTGGAAAGGCTACTTTAACGGAGAGGTTTTCGCCTTTGATGCCCCGTTTCGTTTGCGCGCTCATTGAATCATTGGCCATGCTTAGACGAACAAGGATGACCAATTCTAAAGTGGGCTTCCTTTTAGTGTTGATGTTCAAAAGGATGAGCCTCGGTGGTATCCCAACAGCCCTTGGAACCCCTTGGAACCCTCCTTTTGAACCCTCCCTGAAGCTGCCCCAAACCACCCCGAATGAGCCTATCTGGGCAGTAGCTTTCAGCTGTCGGGGAAAATGTACGGAGGAAATGACCAAGCTTTCCTTTCCTGACGCGAAAGCATGTATGCCAACCCAGAACTCAGTAACTGGCAGCCTAGGAATGTTTTGGCCGTACCTTCCCCATACTCTTTTGGCTTCCGCCTAGTTTTGGCGCCAAAACCAACAACGGTTCGCTCGCTCGCCAGCCGAAGCTCTTTGGGTCCCTCAGCGAGTTCCTGCAGCTCTACTGCAGCCAGCTCCGCGGCCACGAGTTCAAAAGGTCCGCCAGCCGAGTGAGCCGATCCCCCACGCGAGCGAAGACCTTGAAGCTTTGAGCGCCGTCGAAAACCGGAATCGCTGCAAATGAGTTTTTTTTGTTTTTTTACTGGTGACTTTGAGTTTCCTTTTAAACACCCCAAGAAGGGTACCCTCAAACAAAAGAGACGCCCGCTTCGTTGCCATGGTTGTAAGCATCCCGCATCAAAACGCTATTGTACTAAGAGTCATAGTTACATGGTCTTTGAGGCTATAAGGTGAGAACCTCCATGCAGCGACAGCCCCCCATTTGCAGGAATGACCAGGCAACCTGAGCGCAATCAGAACTTCTACAGGACACCACAAAGAGATACCCAACAAATACACACAAAGACACACCTGAGATAAGATAATCGAAATCCTGCAAAAGGGCCGTAGGGCAGGGTCAACAGACCCCTTGTTTTGGAGTCTTAGACACCCAATGTAAAGGTTGCCATGAAGGGAACACTGACCATGACCGGATTGGTTGAACCTGAGGAAACCAGAAGGACTGCATGTTTGAGGAAGCAGAACATATGTCTTTAGAGGAATTCTCCTTGGCATCGGATTTGCTTTTTGAGTCAAAGCCGCAAGCTATCCAAAACCGCCCTTGTGGGTAGGTCATGTAGGCACTTGGCTATTCTCACTTATTTCCTGTGGACCCGCAGCTTGTTTCTTTGACCTGTCAGCCTTTGCATTGGATAGAGACCATGTCAAGGTTTGGTCAACACAAACGGTTGTGTATGGTCCATTTGGGAGGGACGCTAAATTTCCCGCAAAACCAGGCGACTCACCAATGTCCCCGTTTCGTTTGGGGAAACAAGTACTATTTGGTCGTGCCTCAAAAAGAGTGCTTAGCAGAGCCTCATTGCCTTGTTGCCACGCTAGCCGAGTCCCACCCAACTGGAAACCCAGTCGGGTCTCAGGTCTCGGAATGTCGCGGTTGCCATCGGCAATCATTGGCGTGCTGCCTTGATCACGTGTTCAAAAACTGCCGTTGACAAGTAGGGTTATGATGTTGATTGTTTCCGGGGGGGCCTGAAAGTCAGCAACTGGAGGGCGGTTCCCGCCAACTCACCACATGGGTGGGCGTTGATGCTGGTGAGATATGCTGACATTGACAGAAGTCATTCTTGAAAGGAGACAACATACAACCTCTGGTTTCAAGAACCTTGCTGTCAGTTCAATATCATAGATCGCTTAGCTCGAAGTTGCCATCATGCAAATGTTCATGGAACCTCAACAAACACCCAGAGAAGGACTGGTGGGGCATCCTTGCTGTGTGTTTGCACAACACAAGTTCTGGGCAGATTGAATCGCGACATCACATGGGTTTGGGTTTGCAACCTCACGCTGGATGAAGGTGCATTTCATGGGCAGCCATGATTTGTGGTTCGGTGAATCACTACAGTTCGCCAAGCAAGATATCTGCTGTAACAAAGCTGATTTCCAGATTCCTTGGTGCTTGAGTCGGTAAATCATCATAGTTCGCCCCCAAAGGTTGCTTAGACACCGAGTCTTGTTGTCCGGGGAGTAGAAAGAGATCAATGCAGCAAGCCGCGGCCCCATCGATCCGCGCCTGATGTGCGAAGCACCATCCAGGCTTAGAGGAACAGAGGAAACTCGGGCCACAAACCAGGGTTGGTCTTACCCTTCTTCAATCCGCTTAAACCATGGTTAAGAAATCATTTTGTTTCTCCTCCTTGTGGTTCTCCTTCAAAGGTGACCGGGAGTCTGAAGCAATTTGGCCGAACCGCCAAAGAGCAGGCCAAGTTCTGAGTTTATCTTTGGCCCGCGTTTCTGGGTTCAACCGCTTGCGCGTTGCGGCACGCAAAATGTTTCGATCCTGGCGGAACCAGTTCTCGGTCGCTTGCCCGTTCCTTAGGGGTCGTCCCAGACCCCTAGTGCCGCTTTTTTCCTTTTTTGCGGGGGCTTCCTTTTACGCATCAACCAAACTACGGCGCCCTTGCTTTCCCCTGGAGTTCCACTGGGGGTCGAATGACCAAACCACGGTGTGGGTCGTCCCAGATGCCTTGCCAGATCTTCAGGGAGGCTGGACTCCAGAAGGGCTTGTGACCCCCTTTTGGTTGGCTTTACGTGGAAACCAAAAAAGCAAAACCATCAGGTGGGGGGCGTACTTCTGGGTCTGTGCATTTTTGAGGGTACTTGAAGGGAAATCAGAAAGCCACCTTTTCGATGGGTGGGGAGCCACATTTCGAGACACGGATGTTTTTGGGAAGACCATGGTGTACCAAAAGTTGCGACTTTTCTGGGCCAAGCCGCTCAAGCCACGCCTTCAAAAGGACGCTTTGCCGTGCGACAGGCGGGTGAGAGTTTTCTGCGGGTACCTGGGTACCAGGTTCGTTTAAAGGGAAACAAAAAGACAACCAACCAATGTCCCCCCATTTTGACACAGCTGGTGTGTGCCAATTGCTTCCCTTGAGGTGGTGATTCCAATCTGCCTGAATCCATCCACGAGAACTTCACACTTGAAGTTTGGAGCCAGTCGGGCCAAGGATAAGCCAAGGATGAGCCCAGGCCTTGTGAGGGGGTCAACAAGGGAATCCTGCCCCCTCCCCAGTTTGCCCCGCTTAAAAGTGGCATGACATGAAGTTCGCTTTTGGGGGGGGCTTCGGCTCGTCCCTGAAATGTGCCGAAGCGGTACCGCCCTTCTGGTTTCTTCCGAAGGCCGAACAAGACCAAACCGGCAGATTAGCGCAAGGGACGCCCCGTCTTTTCTCATGCCAAAGACCACCCTATGTTTGTTTAAAGGGGACCTCCCAAAATTGGTTTTCCTTTTGGTTTCCGTTTGAAGCCGGTTCCCTCAAAAGCGACGAGTATATCCACGCAACCAAGTTGGCTTGCCGGAGCCTTTGGCTCAATGGGCGCTTTGTGTCAGAAATTCGAGGCTTCTGGTTCCTGCCGTTTCAGTTCCAACTGCATCCTTAAACGCTGGATTCAATATGTTTTGCCAAGATCAGAGATATGTTTTGCCAGGATCAAAGTTATCACCCTTTGGGGGTTCATGATGCTTTGGGAATGGGCCTGTAACATAGTTTGGCTTGTGGATAAGGACTCAAGGAACCCCAGTTCCTGGACTTTGTACTTGTGAGAAGACCATTTTAGTGGCAAACGCACAGCTTGGCCAATCCAGGGACGAAATGACTGTTTCCCCTCTACCTGACAAAAGGCGGGTTGACTACGGCGGAGGATGAACGAAATCCATGTTGAAACCAACACACACAATGGTTTCAAAGTGGTGCAGGATTTTGCCCATCCACAGTATCACTAGGAAATCCATACATCTTTACGCTTATTTGCTTTACACTTGTTTGCTCAGAGCATTTCCAGGCATCCCCTACAGGCTAGCAAAAGAAGGTCTTGATCCACGCCGTTTGGGCTCCTTCAGTGGACCCCCAAAATGCCTGGTGGCTTGCTTAGGCTTGCCAAATGAAGACCCAACCTTTTTTGGCTTCAAAACCCGACATACCCAACCTTGGCCATGGGCAATAAGCGCAAGTCCAAGTATGTCGGCTCCTGCGGCATCTACGTCTTCCTATGCTGCCCCGGTCGCATGCCTCAAAGCCCAGTATGTTTGAAGGTATACCAAATGGACAGCAGGTGATTTGTTTTGGGGGGTGCTTTAGGGACATATGTTCACAGCCAAACCTTGGGCTCAACTTAGGTGAGTCGCGCTCCCATCCTAGCCGTTTCGTTTCTACCGGGGTTATAGTAACAGCTAAATAAAACTTTGGAACCAGAATCAAGTGGTCCCAAAAAACTCGAAGGCGCGCGGTCAGATCTCTAGGCGAGAGAGAGATCGGCGAACACGGCAAACATGGTGACGCGAGAAGGTGAAGCTCACAAGCAAAGCGAATCGACTTTGTAACCTGACAGTGTTCCGAGTTTGTCCTTTCAGATAAGGCAACCCGAAAGTGAGTCCAACTCTTTGTTGGTTTCGGTTTTAGTGTTGTTTCCAACAGTCAATTAGTGCCGCTTGCCTTTGGTCACCAAGTTTATGCCACGTCCTTTACAAGTGAGGCAGTTAATTCAACGCCTTCTGGGACCTTACCGTCGTTTGTTTTCTTGGTTTGACAGGAAGGAGCTGTGTTTGTCTCAACTGCTGTGCTTCTATTGCTGGGCTCTTCGTTTCGTTGCGCTCCGCAACATCGCCAAGGGGGAAACAGAAAGGTGTAACTCAAGAGATTAAAGGATGCCAGGACCCCCAAAGCGCGTTGAATGATTCGTAGCGCCCCAACAATGCTTGCCATTCTCAAAGCAACAGGTGAACCCCAAAGGTGTTCAACTCGAAATGTGGGGGCTTGATTCGTCAGAGGGAAATGGGTGCGTGCATGCCCGTTTTTATAAAAGTTGGCACCCCTTTTTTGGTGGGTTTTAGAAGAAAACCAAAGTCAACCCCACACCAACATGAGGGTTCCATCTCCTTTTTTTGACATACATTCAATTGGTTTCTTTCAGTAAATGGTCTTCCCGGGAGCCCGACTCGGGCTTCCTGCTAGACGCTTTTCCTCTGACCAGAGGGCTCCATGTAAGTTGGTGCCAGGGTATCCGTAGAAATCCGGCTTGTGAAAATTCGCCCCCTTCCGGGCAACAGATGCTAAGATGTAATCACTGGGGAAAATCAAGGCTTGGACAACAAATGCCCATGCCCTGTAAAACCAACATTTTGGGGCATATGAAGGCGGCTGTTGGGTGGTTTGCAATTAATCCGAAACCCTTGACGCTCTTGCAACGTACCTCTCAAACGCCAGCGGCACTCGCTGGCCCAATGAAACCCAAGGCTTCGCTTTTCATACCCCCCCTTTGAGGCCATTGGGCCGATATTTTTCTAGATCCCTAAAGTCTTTTTGGCTGTTTGCTTGGATCCATGGCCTTTTCACTTGTGGGGACACAGTGGATTTTCCATTGACCCACCAAAAGTTAAGCTTTTTGAAGAGGGGTCAGCATGGGTAAACGGCAACCAAGAAGTGGCGGGTATCGTTTTGGCGTTATCAGAGGCAACAGTTGACAAAACAACACTCCTTCGTCTTTTTGCCCACCATTCGGATTCGTGTACGTATAGTATGTGTCAAAAATGGGGCGGGAGCCTAACAAGTTGTGATCCTTTTGGTCATTCCTTTCAACCCGAAGCATCAGGACCCTCCATTGGAGGGACTAGGCATGTCCATTGGAAGGCTTGGGGCCTCAAAAAGACATGCCCCATGGTTCTAAGGGCAATCCAAGAAAACGACTCAAAGCCACTCCAAACAAAAATCACACATGTTGGTTATTCCTTTCGAGCAATCTAAGAACGGGGCACGGGGCACACTTGGCGCCGAAGGAACGGCCCCAAAGCTCCTGGTGCATCGACGGAGCAAGCAGGCGCGGTCAGCGCCGAGCCCAGAGTCGCGACCAGCGCCGTTTTCTTCTTTTTTTTTTTGCATTTCCTCCTAACTAACCCAAATAAGGCCACCAGGCAGTGGGATGTCCGAAAAGGGTTGTTTCGATGTCTTCCCAAAAGGGCGGTTCTCAAGAACGGGATCTCCATGGGGGCAGGTGAGGGGACGCCTCTGCCTGGTTTTGGGTGTCGGCTTCAAATGGACCCAACAACTGGGGTCTCCTAAACGATATGTTTGGACCAAACAATTGAGCCCCTTTCCCAGGTGGCATGGACAAGCAAAGGAAACTGCCATGGGGCAGAGCCTATGGCTCCATTTTGGGGTGGATGAGCATCCATTTGCCACCTATTTTGATGTTCACCAGGGGTTTCCTGGGTTTTGACCCACAGCCAAATGAATGTTCAACGGTCCAAATGGTCAGAAAAAGAATGGAGGTAAATCTCCGAGCCGGTGAGCTAAATCAAATCCAAGGCCACAGCGCCGGAGCTGTTTGACGTGTCAGGAATCGCAAGATGTCAACCCTGGTAGGGGACGTACAACCATATGGATTTGGTGGGTTACAAGCAGGGTTCCGAACCACTTTGCTAACTGCCACCTCCCACCATCCAAGTAGGGTTGCAGTTTAATATGAGGAATCAGCTCAGGAGTGGTTGGTGGACATCCCCACCGAGTCTTGACATCCGCCCATCAAAAAAAAGCAACAGCATGGGGGTGTAGGTGGGATTTGTGTCCACCTGCCACTTTCGAGGGGTCTTCGGCCCATATGATACCTGGGGTCTCCAACAAAAGCGCTCTGTTTCAGCATCAACAGTGGACGAAACCACGCCAAACCATGATTTGTTGGTATTTACCGGGGAATCATCACCTCAGGGTGTCATTTCGGTGCGGGATTTGGATTTCGCAACCATCTACCGGTTCGGATTTCGCCGTGGGAGGTCTCCGAGCCCTTGAGCCTGGCGGCGCCCGGGGGCATCGCCCGGCAGCCCGGAGGTTAGGTTTGAAAAACGTTTGGGATGGGTTTGGTTTTTGAGGCAAAAAGTGAGGCAACAGGTTGGGATGGGTTTGGTTGTGTTGAGGCAACCGATTTGTTGTGAAAAAGAGGTCCCTGAAGTAATTGCTCGTTTTCTGACGGACGCTGAGGATCAGAGGGTGTTGGAAGACGGATCTCTTGAACATGCCCCCTGTCCACTTCCATGATGGGTTGGAACTGTCAATATAGCGCCCATGGGTGGGTGTGTTTTGGGATGATCCTTTTCAAACGTGGTTTTAGACAAAATCAAAAAGCAAAAGAAGACTACCGCTTCTGGGAAACCCCCATTTATATATCCTTCTGGGTTTGTGTGAAAATCGAAATTTCGTTGTTGTCCCTGTTGTTTCATGGAATCGTTGAATGGTTGAAGCGTTGCGTGGGTGCGTGCCTGCGTGTGCAAGCACGTGTGTAAGTGTGTGTGTGTGTGTAAGTGTGTGTGTGTGTGGGTGTGTGTGTGTGTGTGTGTGCGTGCGTGTGTGTGTGTGTGTGTGTGTGTGTGTGTGTGCGCGTGCGCGTGCGCGTGCGCGTGCGCGTGCGCGCGTGCGTGCGTGCGTGCGTGCGTGCGTGCGTGCGTGCGTGTGTGCGTGTGCGCGCGTGCGCGCGTGCGTGCGCGCGTGCGTGCGTGCGTGCGTGCGTGGGTGGGTGTGTGTGTGTGTGTGTGTGCGTGTGTGTTTGTGTGTGTTTGTGTTTGTTTGTTTATTTGTTTGTGTGTGTGTGTGTTTGTGTTTGTGTTTGTCAGTGTGTTTGTGTGATTTGTTTTTTATGTTTTTGTGTTTTTGTGTTTTTGTAGTTTTGTGTGTGTTTGTGTGTTTGTGTGTTTGTGTGTTTGTTTGTGTGTGTGTGTGTGTGTTTGTGTTTGTGTGTTTGTCAGTGTGTTTGTCTGTGCGTGCGTGCGTGCGTGCGTGCGTGCGTGCGTGCGTGCGTGCGTGCGTGCGTGCGTGCGTGCGTGCGTGCGTGCGTGCGTGCGTGCGTGCGTGCGTGCGTGCGTGCGTGCGTGCGTGGGTGTGTGTGTGTGTGTGTGTGTGTGTGTGTGTGTGTGTTTTTGTGTGTGTGTGTGTGTGTGTGTTTGTGTTTGTGTGTTTGTGTTTGTGTGTTTGTGTGTTTGTGTGTTTGTGTTTTTGTGTGTGTGTGTGTGTGTTTGTGTGTGTGTGTGTGTGTGTTTGTGTGTGTTTGTGTTTGTGTTTGTGTTTGTTTGTGTTTGTTTGTGTTTGTGTGTGTTTGTGTGTGTGTGTGTGTGTTTGTGTGTTTGTGTGTTTGTGTTTTTGTGTGTTTGTGTGTTTGTGTTTTTGTGTATTTGTGTGTTTGTGTTTGTGTTTGTTTGGTTTTGCCTGTGTGTGCCTGTGTGTGCCTGTGTGTGTGTGTGTTTGCCCTCTCTTACAACAACCATGCTTTGAGGTGGGAACTTTTTGCATCTGTTTTTACCAAGGGGTGTGGCACAGGTACAAGGAAGATTGAACAGCCCGTCGCCACCATGTCAGGAATCTCCTGTTCAAATTTCCTTTGGGGCAAGCACCTGAGATCCTGATCCCCTCGAAACCCAGCTGTCATGGGCGAGCACCGCAAGAACGAGGCTTTCACAAGCTGCATGAAGAATCCGGAGACGGAGGTACCCATTCCCTTCACTGTCAACTGCTTGCTCGCCAAGGAAGGATGGTGCAGAGGTGACAGGGGACAAGACCCAAAGATGTGGGGCCCACCAGGAGCACTTGCAATTGCCTCTGGGCAGAACCTCAGATGGTGCTCCCACCCCGACCTCACAGTCCAAGGCACTCTGACCCCTCGGGTTTGTCTGAAACCCCAAACACTGGTGGCCTTGCTTTTCGCGAGCCAATGGCAAAATTGGAAAACACTAGCGCCATGATTCGACTGGGGTGGTTGGTACGTAAAAACCAAACGACATATTCTGCCATGTATTATGATTATTATTATCCTTGTTTTCTTTTCGTTTTTATTTTGTTTGGGGGGGGTGGAAGATCGGGAACTTGTTCGCCCCTTATGCTACCTTGACACACAAACACATCCACGAGTTCACTTCGAGGTGGAGCGATCCCTCTGCGGCGTCAGCGAGGATTTGCGGTGGGGGGCGCAGTGCACTGCCCTCAAGGAGCTGGGCGAGGAGCTGCGCGTCGCGAGTTTGATTTCTTTGGCATATGTGTGGCTCGGTCTTTTTTGAGGCTGCCCCTTTTTTTGTGGCATCATAAAGGGAAACCAAAAGGAACACCATAGCTTGGCGGGCCCTTGAAAACAAGACACGCCCAAGCAAAAGGACACGAAGCATTATCGGGGACCGATTCGATTTATTTGAGAGATTCCCATGAGAGTCACAAAGGGCACGGTGGTATCTAAACTTTTCTTATGGCTATTTGGTTGGATCTTTGAACCTTTGTGTTTCTTCTTTTTTTTTGCTTAAACTATGGATTTTCCGAAACTTTTGGTAGAGGGGTCAACAGCAACCAAGCTAACAAGCCCCGCCTGTTTGTGGCTTGGTATTTGGTGACTGTTTGATGGGAACTTGAAAGAAGCACAAGACGGGTTTGGCTGTACGATAGTCTGTCAGACGTGGGGGTTGATCAATATTCCATTTAGGGCCCCCAAATGAGCATGAACGGCGGTTGTCCTTTTCAGCTTCCAAAAGAAGCCTTGAAGCCCGGTTAAAATCAAAGGTACTGAGCATCAACGAAAACACGTAAGACATGTTGAAGGGTGTAGATGTGATGTGAGGTGTACTTGGATGTTCAACCAGGCAGGTTACAGCGTGGTTATGTCATTTTTTGAGGTGAATCCCACAAATGCTGGTTTTCCTCTTGGCGTCCCTTGAAAGCCACAAAACGGGGTATCTTCCAAAAAGACACATGCATATGCATAGTGGGACAGGTTGACTTCTGACTTGGCTGGCACGTGGAAACGGTCCTTTTCCGATTCCAACAGCGTCTCGGATTTCAGGAAGAAAACCAATGGAGAAATCATCATCTCAGCGCCCTGGTTTTTCCCGAACAACTCGTGCCTCCCCTTCCTTGGTCCGCGGGAGGAAATCCTCCGGTGTCCGGTCGGATTCCGAGGTTCACGTGGAAGCTCCCAGGACCCTTTGGAAGACTTGGTTCATCTCTTGGTTCTATATACCGAGGCCAGTTGGGGGAGCTTCCGGCTGTAGTCTGGGAGTGTTTCCTCCAGGGGTTGATTCCCCATTCTTTTCAACCATCGTTCTTTTCGAAAGAAGGATGCCTGGAAAGACTGGACATGGAAGCTTCCCCTAGAACCCAGTTCTTCTGCTTCCAAGGTCTCCTTTTTGGCTTCTCTGACTCCGGAGGTTTTGGCCCAACTCGTACACCTATATAGACATAGGGCATATTCTCAGATGCTTCACATTCAGTTTTTAAATTTTGAGATTTCCTGAAAAAGAAGGGGTTCAACAACCGGGTTTTGGGCGGTTTTTTGGAAAGAACGGAATTGGAAGGTTCCCCGAATACATTTCCGTCGATTCAAAACAAAAGTCAGGAGGCGGGCATCTGGCTCACGGAGCTGCAGGCGGAGGAGCTCCTGGATCTCCCGGCGGCGCCCGGCGCCTTCGGCCGAGCCGAGCCGATCCCAGGAAGCCCTTGGCGTTTTGAGGAAAAAGGTGGCCGTGGATGAGAGGGGCTTTGAGGAAGGGGCGCGTTTCATGGAATAGGGCGGGTTCTTTTTGGGGCAAAAGCGTTTTAAAGTCGCGGTTTGGCGTGCGCTGCCCGACTTTGCGGTTGGGGGAGCTAACATCGGTTTCCTTTTGGTCTGCCAACCTATCCCCCGAAAGCAGACACGGCGTGCAGGTAAGAGGACTTGAGTCCCGAAAACTGGGCCAAGATCCACCTGATGCTTCTACAAACACATAGTAACAGTCACTCTAAGGGTACTCCATGTTCCCTTGGGTTAATTCCTGGAGTGCCTTTTCCTGCGTCAAGGAACTCTTTCGGGGAACTGGCTGCTCCATTCTCAACCATCGTTTGCAACATCTGCCCTAAGAATCTCGGGACCTCAAAAAGAGCATTTGTTTTTCGGGTCCAAACCCTTATGCAGATCCAGACCCCTCCCATGGGTCGTGCCTGATGCTTAGGGTGGAAAGAATGGGGGAAGTTCTCCCAGCAGAGTTTGGCCCTCGAGGCACCCCCGTGTGCGTACCCTTGGGCCGCCTTTTTTCAGCAAGGGATCTGCGAAAGAATCTTGTTCCCTTGGCTTCCTCTTCGGTTCTTTATATTTCACCTGGGCAAACTCAACATGTTCATATACAAATCCTCTAGAACCCCCGCCCCCTTTCCCCCTCCCCCCCCAAACTTGATTTTTCCAACCAACAAGAGATATCGGTCAAAAAGGCGTTTGCCGGGGGATGCCCTACGTTTGGGCAAATGACAAGACGATGCGGTTTGTCGTGATGTTAGACAGATCCAGGACTTTGAGGTCACTTGTGAAGGGATCCCGGCCCCAACGGTCTTGCCATTTCATCGAGGTTAGTTTGCTCCCATTGCGATGCCACAAAGCCGCTTGAAAAAGGAGAAATGTGTTTTTGGGAAGGCAGTACAGTTGCAATTCTTGAAAACCTCTTGAAACACCTCTTGAAAAAGGGTTCCAGCAGTACGACAGTTGCAATTCCCAGGCAAGATCCTGCTCAACGTGGGACCTACCAGGTCCCTTTAAAGGAACATGGTCGTGCACCCCCCCAGGTTTTCGCACGGTGTGATCAAAACATCTGGCCACCTCGGAGTAGGGACGGTCATGAGCCCTTGGCATTTTGGACACTGAGGATTCCTATATGGGAGTTCTGGCCACCAGCAGATTCGGAGTTAGTAATGGATGTCGTTTCTCATTTCTTCGTCAAAGGCACCGGGGTTTGTGCCTGCCAAGAAAAACAACCCCAAGCCAGCAAGACGGTGTTCAAGGCTGGTTTCTGCTAAGGCGCTTACTGGGGCGACGGCACTCACTTCAACTTCGGCTTCGTCTTTGAAGAGATCCCAGAGGTCACTGGACCAGAGAGGCCGCTTGGGTTTGATGACGTGACGTTGATGGAAAAAAGTAAAAGTTCCCCAAGCACATGGCACAATCGTCCCATGTCCTTGTGGGGAAACATGCAGCTTTGACAGTTGCTCTTTTCTGTGTGTATATATATATTTATTTATGTATCCATCTCCTCAGCAAGGCTCCGCTCCCGTGGTTTGTAAATGGACCCCAGCTCTAGCCATTTGAGGCAGTCCCCCATTTTGAGACAATCCCATTTCAACGACATGCTAAAGCTAACTGCAAGCGAGAAAACATGTTGGTTTGAAGTGAGTCAATGTGTTGACTTGACCCATGTTGGCAAGTGAACTCTGAATTACTAAAAGATTTAAAAGAGCACATCATCTGTGGTGGAGTGGCCACCCATTCCGCACTTTTTGGCAGCCGAGGGACTCTGTGCACGAGGTGGTCCGAGACGGCCTTGACGGGACTGACGGAATCGTGTGTTGTTTTTTGCTTTTTTTTGGGGGGGAGACCCAAAAATATGTCTTTTGCGGCTCACAGCCATCCGCTTCCTTAGCTTTTTAGATATTTTTAGTTGGTTTAGTGGTTGGATTTCTATATTTAACCAAAATTTAAACTTTTAGCAAGGGGATCCGAGGACAGCCCAGTTCTGAGTGTTGCTTTTGGGTCGACGAAATCTGGAGAGTCAGAAAAGGTTGTAGCGCACGTGCGGGGCTAAGAGTTTGGGCGCCTTGGCCAAGCCCAGTAGGGAGAAGCCACCCCAAACACTCCAGAGACTCCGGATCACGTTTCACCATCACGACGCTTGGTTTCACCAGGGGGTGTCTCAGGGGCCCGGTAAAATGGCTTCGGTTTTCCTCTTGGTTTCCCCTTAAAACCCGCAAAACAAGGGGTACCCCCAAGAAGTGACAAACCCAAATGGCTTTTCCTTTGAACCTGGAGACTTCGACTCGGGCCCCCGTTTCTATGGTTGACTGGCAAAAAATGCCAACAGGTGATGAGTGTGATGGGATATGGAACCGATGCAACCGACACGCGAGACTCGTTGAATGAAGTTTGTCCGGAAAGCAACAAAAGCACACACTGGAGGATTGGTGGACTCAGTTTGTTTCGGTTGGCTGTGAGATACTGTGAGATGGTTTTGGTTGTCCCAGAGAGTCTTTGTCAGGAGATCGGTTTCGTGTGAGCCAACCTTTGGTGTCTCTGCTGAATCCTGCCCCCAAACGGTCCGCCGTTTTGATAGATCGACCTATGCCTGAATCAATACCGCTGGCACGCTAAGGGAAGCCACCAGAAAGTTTCTCTTGAATAGAATGGTGGGGCGTGCGCCTCAAGCAATGGATTTTTTGGGCAGTGCAAGTTAAGTGCCAGGGTGATCACAGGCAAGTGAGCAAGGCGTGTTGCCATGGTGCAAGGGAAATGTAAGGTAGCACCTTTGATTCAGGGTGCTCCTCGAGATTGGGACATGGAGTTGGACCCCATTGAAGGTTGCGCTCAAGACAGGGTCCTCTTATTTTCCAAGAGCCAGGAGGCAACCCCGTGTTGTTTTTCGGAAGATGTATAGCTTGCTGAAGTTGATGATTGGCTAAATGTTACTAAGGAGGTGCCTGCTATTGGCAGAGAAGCCTACAAAACCAGGGGGAGGGAGAGAGAGAGAGGGATTTGTTTTTCAAGGGATGCGCCCTTCTGAATTTCAGCAGCTTCTGCGAGCCCGGGGGGGGGGGGGGTGAGAGTGGAGGGTGGTTGGTCCCGTCAACTGCTGTGCAACCAGGTGTCCCGGTTATTTCCCCCATGAAACTTCAAGCATAACCACCATTTTTTTCTGCATGGTCAAGTCAAGACCCATGTCAAGCCAAGACATGCACGCTTGTCATATGTCTCCAAGCGTAAAAGTACCCTCCCACCAAAACCTGGCAGGTGTTGCCTGTTTCCAAAGCACTGCCAAAAGAGGGGGCGCTGCTATCTTGTGCATTTGTGTGTAATAACAGCAACAACAAAATGCGGCCTGCCCTATTCTGGAACCCCCAAAGCATATGAACACATGTATTATTTCAAGACAAAATGCCTTCCGGTCACATCTCCAGGATTGGCGAGCCTGCGGGTGATGGGCTTGCATCCCAGGAAGCTGAGCGCTGTGGGTTCAATTGGCAAAGGGGTTTACTTGTCGGTCACGTGTTTAGGTGTTCTACTTGGATGGTCTGGGAGTTAGCTTGGGTGAGTAACCCTGGTTGTGATCCGCTTAGCAGGGTCGTAAGTCCCCTATTAGGTTGCTGACCGTTTAGCTAAGTCCAAGAATTGTCAGGCGTTAGCGGAACGAACGGTCTCCCAGAATTGTGCCTTATTTTAGGGTAGACGAAGTATGAAACCGAATCAGAGATGCTTCTGTCTACACCTTTGTTCAGCTGTCCCCTAGTGGATGGTTTTAAGCCCGGTGGTTTGGTGGTGAATGGGAGGCGTTTCCCATAATCCACCAAGTAGAGGGAAGCTGATTTCTCGGCCAAGGAAAGGCTACCATGTTCTGACATACCTGGGGTTGGTTGCAAGTCCCTGAATGTTGCAAGTCCGTGAATGACAAAACCCAGCGGCAAAGTCCAAAAGTTTCCACAACCTTGAAAGAAAAACAAACTCAGCCATTGCTCCGAACGCGTTCATTCGTGCCACGATCAATAGACCTGTTAACTTGCCCGGCATCAGCGGTGATGGCCGTCTCAATATCGAACTTAGGCAACCCTGCAAGGGTTCCTATTGAATTAAGGAAATCATGACCCACAATTCGTGGAGTTTCGACTACATATATACATATATTTATGTATATAACACCCAAGCTTGGGTGTTTGATTTTTCCACCAAGCCACTGTTGAAATGGTTCCGGCTCGAGCATAGCTAAGGTTCCACGCCTGGGTGGAGCTGGATGAGCTGTTGGAGCATCCGGACAGCTCGCTCGCTCCCCGAAAAAACGGACTCCAGACTGAGGCACTTTTAGGGGTTTGGACCAAAAGAATGCGGGCGCACGAAGAATACCCCCCCCCTCCCCCCTCCTCAAGGTAATTGAAATAGGCTTTTTTGCTCCTTCTTCTTCTTTTTAAAACATTTAGACTTCTGGCCACTCAGGAAGTTAAGTGTGAGTGTGGTTTGCGGTGAAAGCTGGCGCGATACCTTCTCCGAGCCTACGTAGTTCATGTGCTTTGTAGTCATGAGGCACATGCACTTGCCTGACAGCTGTACTTTGTGGAACATAGCCAGCCGACCACTAGCATTATCTTGCCGCGAGGAGCTAATGCCAGCCTGCCGGGATAGTGGGGCGGACCCTCGCAACCACTGCAAAAACCATGTGCTGTTATACAAATCATTTTTGAGAGTCCTGCTCTTGTTTTTCAGTAAGGCACGTGGTTTTTGCAGGAGCCTCAAAGGTAATGGCTGCAGTTGACAAGCGTAAATGGACCCTTGTCCGTGCACGCCGCCGGCCAAGCGTCAGCGTGCTTGGCAGCTTAGATCGCAGTGGATAACTTTTTGAGTTTTGGTCGGGAGAAGGTTGTGCTTTTTAGTCGTGGCGCCTTTCACAGAGGAAAGTTCGATGCAAGTGGTACCTTGTTAGGCACTCGAAGAGCGAATTCTGCAAAACAATTTGCCGCAGAATTCGCAAGACCTTTTTGAAGAAGAAAGGGACCCAGCAAAGTGATCGCCTGCGGATGCACATGAGGCATTTGTGGGGTAAACATGAACAGCCGCAAAATGGTGGCATCAATCCTCAGATGTATGATTCATGTTACCAATACATCTGGAGAAAGAATATCTCCGGAGAGAACCTGTTCGACTTGCTTGGAAAGCTATGCAAGTACAGCAACAACCAGTGAGACAGTTTTGAATTGCCAGGAAAGAGATGACAAAGCTGTAGAAATAGCATGCTGCAGGTTGTGTTTTGTTCCATGCAGGCCACGCAAACCTTGCTTCGGACAGGGGCCCTTACGACGAAATGAATACCCTTTTGCACATGAAGCTTTCACCGCCGTTTCGCAACTTGGCTTGAAATTGGAGTCGTGGCAGTTGCAGGAGTGGTGAGGGGCTGCGCCATGGTCACTCAGAAAGTTAAGTGTGAGTGTGGTTTGCGGTGAAAGCTGGCGCGATACCTTCTCCGAGCCTTCGTTGTTCATGTGTATTGTAGTCATGAGGCGCATGCACTTGCCTGACAGCTGTACATATAACCAATCGTTGTTTGTGGAACATAGACAGCCGACCACTAGCATCATCTTGCCGCGAGGAGCTCATGCCAGCGTGCCGGGATCCCATCGAGCATTTCGCGAGGCGGGACATCCTCGGCGACATTCAACACACGTCCTCACTACCTGAGTTCATTTCCTTTCTTTATTTTTAGAAATGAGTCGTAAACAAACAGTTTGCACTTTTTTTGGTAGAGCTTTAGAGGGGTCCAACCCTTTGGCGCCTCTGTGTTTGGCGGTTTTGCTTGCTACACATGCATGGTCCCTTGTTGAGCCTCTTCCCCACAAAGCACGGAATTGAACCTGGAAAGGGTTTCAGGTTTACATCGCAGAGAGTTGGGCACAGGCTGAAGGTCAAAAGCGTTTAAGGTGAATCTGCAAGGCAAAGAGACAGCTTGCTCCGTCCGATTGGGTCGTGGTCAGATGTCTTCCGAGCGCGGCCTCGTAGCATCCGAGTGGCTGCGAGTCATCTTTGTGTCTCAGCCCTCGCGCCCACTTTGGTTTTGCGACGTGGCAAATCGTTTGTTGTGAGTCCCTGATCATCTTCCAGGTGTGACGGTAGAAATGATTGGTTTGTTGGACTCTTCTTCGTCTGAGGCTGGGAGTTTGCAAACCCAGACTGCTCCAGCCTTGAGGTGGAAGTTCACGAAGTATGGGTTTATCATGTTTCAACATGGGCCTCGGTGTTTATCTGGAGTTGTCCTTTAAGCCTCCCCCCCAAAAAAAGAGGGCCATATGAGCAACGGACAGTGCCTGGGTGGAGCCTTGGGATTCAGTTTCAATCCGTCAACAAATAAAAAAACATGTTTGGTTTCTTCATCACTACATTGGCTGGCCCAACAAGTGCAAGCGGGAATACAGCAATACAAAGCCCAACACAGTTTCCTCGTGTTTTTGTTACACTATGTGACCCTTTTCCCTCACAGACGCTTAACTTCTTGCATCTGGAGTTTCCTGATTTTCCTCAAGTGGCGTGGCAGGGTGTAATGGGACTCACTCCTGAAGCACAACAAATTGGCTTCAGTGTTTCACGTTTCTCGAGTCCTTGGATCCAAACCCTGCGCAAGCGCCGAAGCTCGCAGGCAGGGCCTAAAGGTTGCGCCAGGGCGCAGGCGGATCGGAGCGGTGTCCGGGAAGTGCGGGAGGCCCGAGAGGTTGGACAATTGGCTGATTGTTTGGGGAGCAAATCATGGTTGTTGTTGGGAAATGTGATACATTTTTGCTTGTTGTGGTTTAGTTGGAAATCCCCACTTAACTGCTAAATTTAGAATTTTGCTCCCCTTCCAACGTCAACCAAGAAATGAGGAGGGGTTGTTTATTTGACCACAAAACAGCGGATTGCAAATGAGCAAAGAGGAGCGTCCACGTCAGGCTTCCCGACGGCACCATCAAAGGGGCCCGTCGCTGGCTTCCTGTACAGCAACTTGAAGCCACCGCCCGCCCAGCCACGCTGGGTGGCTCCCAGAGTGCCCTAGCGGCATCGCATCAGCGAGAAGAGCAAACAGGAGGTTTCCATAGCTGCCGAGGCTAAAACGGCCTAGGTAGCCTAGGCGTAGGCGTGTTAGGGGCAGGCCCGGTTCGCCAGATCGACTTGTCGCCCACCAGGAATCTCACACCGATTCTCTGCAGGCCAGGCCGTGCACTACTTGCTCTTCAGAGTGTGTGTTGTTGTGATGCCTGTTGGGGTTTCGCGGCTTTTAAGGGCCTACCAACAGCCTCCATCTTGCAATTGCGGCGGCCGCCTCTGCAGCGGCTTGACAGCCCCACCGCTTGTCCAAGACCTAGAGCTGTGATGGCTTTTGCCCAGGCTCTTGTGGAGCTTTAAGCGTTTGGCCAGACTGAGGTTGCCCTATGCAATCACTGATAACAACGCACCGTGCAAGGCCTGGTTAAAGCTACGCCAAGTCGCCTTGCTTGATCAAACAATCAGACTCAACTTGTCAGCCCGCTGGCTGTTGCTCAAGTCACTCCTTTCTGGTCGCCCGGCACCGCTGTGCCTGGTACCCGGGGTTATCCAACCCCGCTCTTTGGACACCACCGTGTTCTGCACTGCTGTGCTTCTGTGCTGAGATCTACGGCTATGGCCATGCAGGCCGCTGCCCATGGCACAACACCAGCAGTACGCAGGTGCACCGCAGTGCCCCCTGCGCTTTGCTTGAAACTCTCAGGCTCCCGTGCGCCAGGCGCCGCAGTGCCCTGGGATTACCCCAGGTGCCACAGAGCACCATTGGGGTTCCCCAAGTTACACTCCTCGGCACCGCTGTGCGAAGAATTAATCAAGGTTCTCATAGCTCAAGCCGCAGTGCTTAAGAGAGAGCCTTCTCATAGCTGAAGCCGTCGCCTTCTCATAGCTGAAGCCGTGCACCGCAGTGCGCCTTCTCATAGCTGAAGCCGTGCACCGCAGTGCTCCGCTCGCACCAGCTATGCGACTCCAGCGCAACCCGGATAGAAAAGGGGGAAACAAGGTTGCGTGGCTCCCGGTGGTTTCAACCGGCGGGTGTTTTGAGCTAGCTATGACAGGTGGTAGCGCCAACTGGGCTGAATGGTGCGCTGGCAAGTCACAGCGGGACACACAATAGGGCTGATTACATCACGCAGCACGCTCCACATGTAGAGAAAAATGGAACGTGCGCAAGGTTGATCCCACATTGCTGTGAGGACCCCAGAAAAACAGGTCAAACTAAGCTCAAAACCCTTCACTCTTTCCTAGTGCTGTTGTTCACCGCAAAGCTACAAAAGGTAGAGGGTAGATTTGAATATATCAGTTTTGTCGCCATCAGCCTACTAGGAAAACCTGAAGCAAGTTGTCTTCCATTAGCAGCTGAGGATTCTTCTTGCGCCTCAAAATTCTTGCTGCGAACTTGAAGTATTTGTCCGGAAAAAGAAGGCTTGTTTTTGCCCGGTTAGGAGTTCTGAGGGGTTGATTTCATGGTGTAGAAGCATGTGTCACCGGCAACACCTCAGCATCGCCAGCAAAGCATCCTCTGCGGAGCCTTCCCAAAGGCACCTATATCTAGGCGCCGTTTTCAGACAGCGCGAGACAGCCAGACACCCCCAGCAACACCCCCAGCATCACCAGCAACGCATCTCTTTGCGGAGCCTTCCCCAATGAGGGTTAAACTAGTACCCTTCAATCGCCGCAAGACAGCCAAACACCGACCAGCATCACCAGCAACGAGTCCTTTGCGGAGCCTTCCCGAGTGGGGACTAAATTAATACCCACTTTCAAACGCTACAAGACAGCCAAACACCGCCAGCATCACCAGCATCGCCAGCAACACCCCCAGCATCACCAGCAACGCATCCTCTGCGGAGCCTTCCCAAAAGGCACCTGAATTTCGGTGCCGTTTTCAGACAGCCCCAGCATCGGAGCCTTCCTAAATGGGGGCTAAATTAGTACCCGCTTTCAAAGGTGGAAGACAGCCAGTATCACCAGCAACGCCCCCAGCATCACATCCTCTGCGCTCTGCGGAGCCTTTAGGCGCCGTTTTCAGTCACCCCTAATCCCGCGCCTACCAAGCAAGCAAGGGTCAACTCAAGAGGATCCCTGCAAACAAAACTTCAGGAAGCACCTTCTGAGGACCCTTGTAGTCACTCCTGCGTTGCCATTTCAACCGTTTAGGAGCCTAAGTCCCTGCGGCGAGATTTTAGTCTTGGGTTGCAAGGGGCTTGCGGCTTGCGGGCTCTTCAATGCAACGCTTGGCCGAAAGGACGCACGGCGAGTTTTCCAATGTTAGGCCAAAAGGATGTGCAGCGAGTGGTCCGCTGTTAAGCCAAAAGGGTTTGCGGCGAGTTTTCCAATGTTTGACAAAAAGATTTGTGGCGCGTTTTCCAATGTTAGGCCTGCAAGACTTGCGGCGAGTTTTCCAACGCTATTCCAATGTTAGGCCAGCAAGATTCGCGGCGGGTTTTCCAATGTTAGGCTAGCAAGAGTCGTGGCGAGTTTTTCAATGTTAAGCCAACAAGTTTCAATGTTTGCCCAACAAGATTTCTGGCGAGCTTTTCAATGTTAGCCCAACAAGATGCGCGCCCAGATTTCCAATGTTAGGCCAAGAAGATGTGTGGCGAGTTTTCCAATGTTAGGCCAACAAGATGTGCGGCGAGGTTTCCAATGTTAGGCCAGCAAGATTTGTGGCGAGTTGTCCAATGTTAGGCCAAGAAGATTTGTGACGAGTTTTCCAATGTTAGGCCAAGAAGATTTGTGGCGAGCTTTTCAATGTTAGGCCAACAAGATTTGTGGCGAGTTTTCCAATGTTAGGCCAGCAAGATGTGTGGCGAGTTTTCCAATGTTAGGCCAACAAGATGTGTGGCGAGTTTTTCAATGTTAGGCCAGCAAGATTTGTGGCGAGTTTTCCAATGTTAGGCCAAGAAGTTTTGTGGCGAGTTTTCCAATGTTAGGCCAACAAGATTTGTGGCGAGTTTTCCAATGTTATGCCAACAAGATTTGTGGCGAGCTGCTCAGCGAGGAGCTCTCCACAAATGTTTGAGCCAATGCGGAGGAAGCCCAAAATCTCTCCACAACTCAACTTCACCCAGAACTTGTTTGTGGAGAGTTCCTCAGCGAGGAGCTCTCCACAAGGGGGGGGGGGCTGGGGTAGGGAGGGGGCGGCAGAGCCTGTGTTCACATCCTTGCTGTGTGCTCTCAATAGACCACCCCCCTCCACCCCCCTCTGGTGGAGAGCTCCTCGCTGAGGAACTCTCCACAAACCAGTTCTGGGTGAACTTGAGTTGTGGAGAGATTTTGGGCTTCCTCCGCATTGGCTCAAACATTTGTGGAGAGCTCCTCTGAGCAACTCGCCACAAATCTTGTTGGCCTAACATTGGAAAACTCGCCACAAATCTTGTTGGCCTAACATTGGAAAACTCGCCACAAATCTTGTTGGCCTAACATTGGAAAACTCGCCACAGATCTTGCTGGCCTAACATTGGAAAACTCGCCAGAAATCTTGCTGGACTAACATTGGAAAACTCGCCACAAATCTTGCTGGCCTAACATTGGAAAACTCGCCACACATCTTGTTGGCCTAACATTGGAAAACTCGCCACACATCTTGTTGGCCTAACATTGGAAAACTCGCCACAAATCTTGTTGGCCTAACATTGGAAAACTCGCCACAAATCTTCCTGGCCTAACATTGGAAAACTCGCCACAAACCTTCTTGGCCTAACATTGGAAAACGCCACAAACCTTGTTGGCCTAACATTGAAAGCTCGCCACACATCTTGTTCTAACATTGGAAAACTCGCCACACATCTTCTTGGCCTAACATTGGACAACTTGCCGCACATCTTGTTGGGCTAACATTGAAAAGCTCGCCCGGAATCTTGTTGGCCTAACATTGGCAAACTCACCACACAGCTTCCTGGCTTAACATTGGCAAGCTCGCCACGAATCTTTCTTGCAGGCCTAACATTGGAAAACGCGCCACAAGTCCTGTTTGTCAAACATTGGAAAACTCGCCGCAAATCCTCTTGCCTTAACAGGGGACCACTCGCTGCACATACTTTTGGCCTAACATTGGAAAACTCGCTGTGCATCCTTTTGGCCTAGAACTGGAAAACTCGCCGTGCGTCCTTTCGGCCGAGCGTTGGAGAGACCGCAAGCCGCAAGCCCCTTGCAACCCAAGACTAAAAGCTCGCCGCGGAGACTTAGGCTCCTAAACGGTTGAAATGGCAACGCAGCTCGAAGCAGGCTGCGGGGAGGAGTGACTACAGGGGTCCTCAAGAAGGTGCTTCCTGAAGTTTTTTTTCAGGAATCCTCTTGAATTGACTCTTGCTTGCTTGGTAGGCGCGGGATTAGGGGTGACTGAAAACGGCGCCTAAAGGCTCCGCAGAGCGCAGAGGATGTGTTGCTGGTGATGCTGGGGGCGTTGCTGGTGATACTGGCGGCGCTTGGCTGTCTTGCGGCCTTTGAAAGCGGGTACTAATTTAGCCGTGATTTGGTGGGGGTGTCTGGCTGTCTCGCGCTGTCTGAAATATCGGCACCTAAATTTAGGCGCCTTTTGGGAAGGCTCCGCAGAGGATGCGTTGCTGGCTGTCTTGCGGCGATTGAAAGCGGGTACTAGTTTAACCCTCATTGGGGAAAGCTCCGCAAAGGATGCGTCGTTGCTGGTGATGCTGGGAGTGTTGCTGGGGGTGTCTGGCTGTCTCGCGCTGTCTGAAAACGGCGCCTAGATATAGGTGCCTTTTGGGGAGGCTGCGCAGAGGACGCGTTGCTGGCGATGCTGGGGGTGTTGCCGGTGACACATGCTTCTACACCATGAAAACAACCCCTCAGACCTCCTAACCGGGCAAAAACAAGTCAGTCTTCTTGTTCCAGACAAATACTTCAAGTTCGCAACAATAATTTTGAGGCGGACGCAAACACAATTTAAGCACTGTGCCTGGCGTTCCCTCCTACGGGTGTTTGATGCTTTGCCAAAATAGTTGTCAATGGAAGACAACTTGCTTCAGCGACAAGACAGTTGTCTTCAACTCTTCCCTCTACCTTTGGTAGCTTTGCGGTGAACAACAGCACTAGTAAGCCCCCTCTCTCCCAGAAACAGTCAAGGGTTTTGAGCTTAGTTTGACCTGTTTTTTCCGGGGTCCTTACAGCAATGTGGGATCAACCTTGCGCGCGTTCCATTTTGCTCTACATGTGGAGCGTGCTGCGTGATGTAATCAGCCCTATTGTGTGTCCCGCTGTGACTTGCCAGCATACCGTGTGCCGCAAGCTACTTGCGCGCTCTGGGCTAAACCGGATCCATTCAGCCCAGTTGGCGCTACCACATGTCGCAGCTAGCTCAAAACACCCGCCGGCTGAAACCACCGGGGGCCACGCAACCTTGTTGGGAGCGTTTTCCTATCGTGTCGAGGGTTGTGTTGGAGCAGTGCATGTTTCCCTACAACTGTGCTTTATTTGGAGGAAGGAGCTTGGACGGACATAATCCACTTCATCCCAGTTTGCAGGTGGTAAATATCCTACATCCATCCCCGCGTTTTGCGGACTTTTGTCCATCACTACCACGAGCCCTCGCCGCAGGCTGTGCTCTGACTCGCAAGCGAAGGCACGCTCCGAAATTTCTCGCCTTGCTTCGGAGGAAGCCAATTGGGTTTTGTTTCTAAATGTGGAGACCCCCGACATGAATGGCTTCCCTTCGGATTTCTTTAAAACGCAGCCCAAGAAGGGTTCCCTCAAAAAAGACTTCTCCGTTTTAGAGATTAACAACCGCCTTGACATTTCTTGGCCAATTCACTCGATCACAAATGGGTCTTGCCAGGATGCAGTTTGGCCGTGACACTCTCACACTTACCAGATTTTGCGGAACCCCCTCGCGAAACAAGTGCTTTTGGCATGTATCGAGGTCACCCGTTTGTTGCTGGATGATGAGGAGGCATCTGCCCAGTTTGTGCAAGTGTTGCAGCTTGTCGCCGCTGCCAAGATCCCCCGCTTGCGGGGTGTTTGCAGGGATGGGTCCCCCGCCGATGAGCTAAGGAACCCTAACATGGCAACCATGTCTGTAGATGCCCCGGAAAGCAGCAGCTTTGGGCAGGCTCCTTGGAAGTGATCGGGCAGAGGGGACCAAGGGCGTGAAGGTATGCTATTTGGATCTGCAACCTGAGTTTTATGTGTAGTCAACCGATCCCTGTCCCACTAGCTTTGGGAAGATGTTACCTGCTTGCCTAATGTGTGTCTATGTTTTTTTGTTTTCCCCCCAGATAGCTGAAAGCTATAGGGGTTCTAACTTCTAATAAAGAGGGGGAAGTGATTTGCGAGATTGAGGGCTGGGTGCTAGGGGGCATGCAGTTTGAGGTGCTGGTGGATGCTGCTTTGCGAGCTTGACGGCCGGGTGCTAGGGGGCATGCAGTGTAAGGTGCTGGTGGATGCTGCTTTGCGAGATTGAGGGCCGGGTGCTGGGGGGGCATGCAGTTTGAGGTGCTGGTGGATGCTGCTTTGCGAGCTTGACGGCCGGGTGCTCGGGGGCATGCAGTTTGAGGTGCTGGTGGATGCTGCTTTGCGAGCTTGACGGCCGGGTGCTAGGGGGCGTGCAGTTTGGGGTGCTGGTGGGTGCTGCTTTGCGAGCTTGACGGCCGGGTGCTAGGGGGCATGCGGTTTGGGGTGCTGGTGGATGCTGCTTTGCGAGCTTGACGGCCGGGTGCTAGGGGGCATGCAGTTTGAGGTGCTGGTGGGTGCTGCTTTGCGAGCTTGACGGCCGGGTGCTAGGGGGCATGCAGTGTGGGGTGCTGGTGGGTGCTGCTTTGCGAGCTTGACGGCCGGGTGCTGGGGGGCATGCAGTTTGGGGTGCTGGTAGATGCTGCTTTGCAAGCTTGACGGCCGGGTGGGGGGCTGCTGGTTTGCGAGCTGGCCGGCGAGCGGCATGCAGTTTCGGGTGCTGGTGGATGCTGTTTTGCGAGCTTGACGGCTGGGTGCTGGGGGCATGCAGTTTGGGGTGCTGGTGGATGCTGTTTTGTTTTTCGAGCTGGCCGGGTGCTAGGGGCATGCAGTTTGGGGTGCTGGTGGATGCTGTTTTGCGAGCTTGACGGCCGGGTGCTGGGGGGCATGCAGTTTGGGCTGCTGGTGGATGCTGTTTTGCGAGCTGGCCGGGTGCTAGGGGGCATGCAGTTTGGGGTGCTGGTGGATGCTGTTTTGCGAGCTTGACGGCCGGTTGTAGGGGGCATGCAGTTTGGGTGCTGCAGGATGCTGCTTTGCGAGCTTGACGGCCGGGTGCTAAGGGGCATGCAGTTTGAGGCGCGGGTGGATGCTGCTTTGGTTGTACCGGGTGCTAGGGGGCATGTTTGGGGTGCTGGTGGAAGCTGTTCGCGTGTAATGGTTTGTGGCTGGTGTATCGCCATGATGTTCCCACGTCATGGTGTGTGGGTGTAGTGGCGCCGTGATGCTGTCAACATCAGGATGATGCAGAATTTCATTAAGCTGTCGCAAGATGGTTCGTGGCTGTGGTATCATCATGATGCTGCCTTTACCATCAGCATGATGCTGTCCGCATCATCATGATGCTGTCGAACTCATTAAAACCCTCGTTTTTGCTTTTTCCTGTCGAACTCATCATGGTCTACATCATCATGATAATGCTGCGTCATGGTTCGTATCCGTGGTGTGCTATCTGGGGTCTATGCTGGTGTATTTTTTTTTTCTCTGGGGGGAGGGGGACCCTGGTTGGTTGGGATTACAGGGGCACCACGTAAGGAAGCCACCTTTTTTTGTTGGGGGGGGGGGGTCTAGAAAAGGGAGACCGCGTTTTCTCAAAAGCCGTGTAAAATTTGGGGGGCCGTTTTTCGCGTTCCCTTCTGAAAAAATGGACGAGCCACCCATGGGTTTGCGAGCGACAGATGCGTCAGGCGCCGCTCGCAAAGAAGCCACGAGGCGCTGACGTCATATGGCCTTTGGCCTCCAGTGAGGGTGGGGTTCCCCTTAAAGCTCGGCCAAAACAAGGGTTTTCTTTTTTTGGGGTTGTACCCAAAAAAGGTTTTTTTTCCCCATAGAGTTTGGGGTTTGATGGGGGAAACCGCAAAAAGAAGGATACATCAATCCCAAAAGGAAAAGGATGGCTTTTCCAAGCAGGGTCACTGGACTGGGTTGGAAATGCAAAGCCAATGCAACAAGACTTCTCAAGAGATGTCTACCGGGCGGACAGCCGAACATCTGATTTGCCGCGCCAGACTGCTGCGTTGAACCAGTTGCACCGCGGGGATGCAACAATCCAAGAGCTCTTTGAACGAAGCAAGAAGGAAAGCTCCTTTAGGCGGTGCTCTTGTCGCGTGCGTTCGTGCGAGGCTCCGTCGCGAGGGCGCTGAACAAGTGACGCCAAAAAAAGAAAAGAAGCCGCAGGCTAGACCTTGTGAAGGGGCCTAAGTCGCAATTAGGAGAAGATGGGATGGGTTTGTCTCAACATGCTCCCGCAGTGGTTGGTTTGCTTTTGGTTTCCCAAACCCAAGAAGGGTGCCCTCAATGGCCAAGAGAATGTTGCCCCAACACACGCGCCCGTTCTCATAGGCCTAGGCCTAGTACACCCAAGGAAACTGGAGAGAGCCAGAGCGGCTCGCTCGGTGCTTGGCGGCATGTTCTTGGGCTGAAAGTCTGCACGCGGTTCTGTTTTGTGTCTTCCATTTGCTTAGGAATGTATTATGTCCCTTGTTTTAAAGGGAATCTATCACTGCTGGAGTTGTTGTATTTTCTCCAGGGGAGAAGGCAGATGGAAGTTGTTTTTGGAGTCAGGGATAGGCCTCGCCGGCTCCTCAATCTTCCCATCCCGCACGCACGGTTTGCTTTTATTTTTCTTGGCTCGAAACTCAGCCATGGCGCTGAATACCGCGGGAGAACCAAGTGGGCGGGTGTGGCTCGGGTGTGTTCAGTGGGAGAATGTCGCCAGCTTCGTGGTCGAAGTATCCTGCTTTCTTATGCCAATGTTGGACAGAGCTCTAAATGTCAGCTAGTCCTTCAGATGAGACCGCTCAAATGGTTTATTTCTCAGGCAGACCCCTGCGGGTTTTGTAGGTTGATGGATATCGGTGCTGGGGGCTTCCCTTATATGGGGAGCTGCTCATGATATGTTGAGATGACAAGCTTGGACACTACAGCAAGCAAACACACGGGCCGCATTGGCGTGTTGGAAGCCACAACCATGATATTAGCCGACCGAGAGGACACCGTCTTCGGGCGGTTCAAAGGCGCGATTCTAATGATTCCATTGGCTTATCCGGGTCCTTTTTACATCTCCCCGATGGAGAATGAGGATCAGGATTGACAAACCCTCTGTAGTGGTTTAGGTTTTCTCCAACAAGCTTGGTCTTTCCGATTTGAGTTGGCTCTTCAAGATCCTTCCCTTAGGTTGCAAATGGAAGAAGGCCCCTTGAAGTGATTTCCCAACTAACACAAGGAATGAGAACTGGCCAACCTTCACTTTGAACCGCTCGGCTCAAGGGGAACACCCTCCATTTGACTTGTTTGGGGTGCACCCCGTGTAAAGTAGATTCCAACATGTCCGTGTCACGGCGAGCGAGAGAGAGAGAGAGAGAGGGAGAGAGCGAGATTAAACGGCAGCCCATGCGGTTCAGTAGCAGTGCGTCTCCGCAGTTGGGAGAGGGGCTCGAGGTCAATAAATTTCAAGTGCGATCAATTCAAACTCCTAGGGAAGATACCCAAAAAAGCAATGGATAAATCCCAAGTGCGAGCGATTCAAGCCCCTCGGGAAGATATAAACACACAGCAATGGATTACTCGGACGGCTTTCGAGCAAAAGCACACCGACGAATCGCTACATGGCTAGTAACCCTGCTTGTAACCCACTTACAATGGTTGTAAGTCCCTGCAACCGGGGTTGCTGGCCATTGGCCATTGAGCCATTCGTCCCAGACCATCTAAGTACCCTCCAAAAGCGCCGCACCCTGACACCTCCTTGGCGTCGCCGCTTCGTCGAGGTTCGAAGGTTGGCCCTGGCCGTGCGGCGGAGGCCGCCTTCCGGCGCCTTCTGGGCCGGGTGCTGAATGAAGCCTTCGGGCGAGGGGAGCAGTTGCGCGAGGGTTTACGCGGATACCCTCCCACCAGCTAACATGGGTTTGTGCACAGAGCTCTGTAAGACGGCTTTCCTCTTGGAAAAGGCCTGTTTGCACTTCCATGTTAGTTGGTGGGAGGGTAAACGTGTGCATCGTTTTGGACTTTGCGAATTTAGTACTTGAGTCTCGCGTCGGCCCAAGATTCCGGAAACGGCGCCTGCTCGTTTCGGTCCTAGTTTGTGTATCGTGTTCTACTTTTCGAATCGTTTCGGTGCTAGTTTAGTCTCGTTTTGGTCCTAGTTTCTGTTCGCTTCGGTCCTAGTTCTGCGGTCGTTCTACAGCGGTCCCAGCAACATGTAGAGTTGAGTCGAGTTGAGTTGACTAGAACCAAAATGATTTGGACCAACATTATTAAGAAACTACGACCAATAATGAGCGAGGGTGGGCTGAAAACGTCCAAAACGGCCCACCAAAATGAGTCGAAAACTAGAGGGTTACACCCCTGGTTGACTGTTGGAGGGGAACACCCCCCTATTAATAGGTTGGGTTTATTAATCCGGGGTCAACATCAGCCAGGCACTCTAGCCACTAGCCGCCTTTCAAGGGTATGTACCTCATTTCCCGTGAGCGGGTTGGGGGCGATTGGAAGCCGAAATCACAAGTCACGAGCTCACAAGCTCGCCCGTGAAGGGCCAGCTGGTTTAGCCTTCGCTTATGGCTTTCCTGAAATGGAAACCAGCGGCTTTAAAATACGGAGAACAGGGCTCAGAAGTTACCCAGTTTCCAATCAATTATTGAAATGGAATTGCCCAGAATTAACAGGGTTCCCCAAACATGCTTCACCCCCAAAAAGAAAGCCAGTGCACTACTCATCCAGCATCGCTGCTTCTCAGGCCACGCGCCGCGGCTTGCAGACTTCTAGACACGCCTGCCACAACAAGGCAAAGGAGGGATCACGGGGCTTCACATTCCAGGTTGCCGGATCTTGCGATTTCTGCTGAAGCGAGCAACAGGAACCATTTACATCCCACAGGCGCCTTAAACCATTTCAACATTTGCAGTCGGCACCCTATGACAAACTTTTGAAAGGCTCCTTGAGCACGGGCACAGCCAACACAACTGAAGTTGAAGGTACTGCAACAATCACAAGGAGTCATCCCCAAGCAAATCTCAGGGTTTCAACAAATTTCCAGGTTTATCCATGAGCCGTTCCCATGAGGTTGCCACGGCATTACGTGACTCGAGTTTCTGCATCGCCCATCCCATACGGTTGAAGCCAACCCGCAGGAGTCATCGACCATCGATGAGCTCATTGAATGCAACGAGGCCACAAGTCGTCTCGTAGACTTTGGCGAAGCCCACTCGCTCTCTCCGCCAATGAGGATTTTTCCTGTGGCCAAGGCCTTCTGAAACCGGAAAGCCGGAAACTTGCGAGAATTGTGTAAAAGACATGTGCTTGAGACGATGTGTTACTTTCCTCGGGCTTGGAAGGGATATGGTCCTCGGGTAGATAGTGTACGTTTTAGTGGCACCAGCAAGCAGAATACATAGCATTTGACGGAGTTGTGTACATCGACGGCTGTAAGTGTGCTTCCCAGGTTTTGTCAGGACACCTGTTCTATTGAGGCTTGCCAATTGCCAACCCATGCGCTCATAGTTTGTTTCAATGCTCAGCATCCACAATACCTCGCGTCTTCGTTTCGGACGGCATCAACTTGCCATAGTGCCATAGTGAAAAGCGAGGGGCACGGGCAGATGGCATAACATAGTCGGGACTTCCTGCTGAACAATGCTGAATGATCAAGAGGTGTCCTTGGCTTAGATGTTATTTGGTTGTTCTTGTAAGTTGACCGACACCTATTACAATTGTCACGAGTTTGCAACACGTTGACGCTTTCCAGCTGCCCATAGGCCAACCCCGTAGGAATGATGATGCTTGCGGAAGCTATATGTTTCAATCCTGGTTTCGTGTCAAACCCCTTGGTGAGCTGAAATACGCATGCCGCATGCCTGCTCTGGATTTCAGAGTAGCCCGAGGGTATGTCCAGACGCCGCGTCCCAGTCTATTCCGGTGACATCAGATCCCGATCGAACGGGCTGGGCTGCCTCTCCACCGGGCATCAACACTTCACTGTTGGTGGCATGTTTTAGGTGTTTTTGTCCTTTTTAGTTTTTTGTTCTGTTCATTTTGAGCAGGGGGCTGCATTAAAACAAAGCTTTCTGCTACCAAGGCTTGGAAAGAAAAGGTGATGTCCCATAATTTCCCAGGATCAGGAAGGATAATGCACTGAGCAGAAAGTGATCAGACATGCAACGGTGCCTTGTTTTTTGTTTTCGAGAGTGCGCCTCTTCAAAATCAATCATTCAAGAAAGCCAAGTCCTCCTACCCTCTGGCCACAGGGTTCTGGCCCTGTTTTTGAGCTCGACACCCGATAACGGTTGCACACCGTTCCTGACATCCAAAGGTCTCGTCACATGTGTTTTTAAGTGCATGTAGTTGTTTGGGCCTGTGTTGCTCAAAAGGACTATGTTTGAACCCCTGGGTACACCCCTGGAATGTTCATCGTTGGCTAGGCCTTAATTAAGGCCTGGTTGAGGCTTACCTTTGATTTCGCCGATTTCTGTCTCCAAAGGCCATTTTACAAGGACCCCTCATAATACAGAGAAATACGTGATTTGATTGATTCCGAAGCTCACTTTTGTCATCGCAAGAGCCCCCCTCAAGGCTCAATTCCTGCAACGCGGATTGCCTCGCAGAACCACCGCTGGGATTGATAATCAATCGCTGGAGCGGCTTCCAGTCAGAACGGGCACCTTCAAATGTTGCAAAAATGGCGAAGTCACAGTTGGTGTTGGCAACTTTTGAAGGGGCGCGCGGTCTTCAATCCACAAGCTTGGGTTTATAGGGTTTTAAGCCACAGATAGCCACCGGGCTGGGGTTCATTGGGGTTTTCGGCCACAGATTTTGGGGTTCATAGGGGATTTCGGCCACAGATTTTTGGGGTTCATAGGGGTTTTCGGGCACATTTTGTGGCAAGTTTCCTGTATGAACCCCAGTTTTACAGCCCAGGTTGACACCAAAAACCTTGAAGACGTTTGCCAAACGCGAGTCCCACCATGTGCTAGGCCAAAGGCAGTTCCCCGCTAGCGCTAATGATGTACACATGGCTGAGTGGCCAGTTTTCTCTGGCCGGATACCAAACCGCCTCCATCGAGCCACACTTGCGCGGCAGTCAATTCTCTCAAAGGGCAAACCGGTTCGCGTGCCAAGTGCTTTTCACCGACCGCCAAATTTTAACCCATATTTAGCGCCCTTTTCATTTTAACCTATAACTATGAGACCAGGTTGTGGGGTTTATCCAGGGGTTCAAGCATTGGACTCTTGAGTTGCTTTAGGGACCCCCAAAATGGTGGCTGTCTTTTGGGGTACCCTCAAAAAGAGACACCCGTGTGGCTCAAGCATTGTCAGTGGGCTGCAAAAATCACCGTCCCGTGACCCGCAGGACTGGCGGCAGAAGATGATGGAGACAGACCCGACCTTCTTTGGCCGCACAGTCGGGAGCCCAGCACAGCCAGACTCCTGCAGACTGCAATTTTTGAGGCAACTTTGTGGTAGTTCCCAGACATCACCTTAGATGTTAGCTTTTTAATCGGTTTAGTGGGGGGTTTCCAAAAAGACAATCTGAAGACGGTCCAATTGCTTCGGAGACTCTTCGGAGGATTCCTCCTTTCTCTTCACCAATGGCGGTCCCAGAGATTGGCGAGGCCCTTTGGCATTGTAAGGCGCACATCTCTGGCACACTCAAGGGACCAGATTCCGAAAGAACGCCTGCTTTTTGGAACACAGCATTTGTGAGGATGCATTTCAGTTTATTGCTGTTCCACAGGCCGTGATTAGCTCGAGCATTTGCTTCGAACAGTCTTTTGGTGATACAACCTCAAAAATTCCAAGTTTCCCGTTCGCCTTTCCCCTTTTGAACGTCGCCCTGTGGTTCGCGCGGCTTGCCACATTCTAGCTGTACCCTCCCCATTCTCTTCAGGCATCCTTCTCTTCAAAGAATGGGCCAAAACCCTGGAAAATGGGTGGTTTCCAAAGAGAACGATGGGTGAAGAGAACGGGGAATCTAACCTTCGACACATGGACAAAACAACACCTGTCAGCGAGCGAGAGGTCGCAGAAAGCGCTCGAAATCGGCCAGCATTGGGATGAGCTCGCCGATCCAAAAGGTGTCAGGGCGGGGCGTTTTTCTTCCATTTGCTCAAATGAATATTTTGTTTTATTTTCCCCTGTTGGTGTTAAAGGGAATCTATCACTACTGGACATATTTATATGTTTCCCAGGGGTCTTAACCAAATGGATTTTTTAGAGGGTACTTAGATGGTCTGGGACGAATCGCTTAATGGCTAGTAACCCTGGTACAGGGGACTTACAACCGTTGTAAGTGGGTTACAAGCAGGGTTACTAGCCATTCAGCGATTCGTCCCAGACCGTCTAAGTACCCCTTGTTTGTGGTTTTAAAGTTTGAAAGGGAAGCCAAAAGGAAAAAACATCAATTTGGTGGGTCCCCTGAAAAAAGCCACTCGCGCGCGCACACACACACACACACGCCACTTGTTTGAGGCAATCCCTCCCCTTGAAAGGGACAACAAGGAGGTTCCTTTTCGCGGCTTGGGCATGTTTAGGGTAGAAATACTGCAGATGGACGAAATCCATTCGCACCGCTTGAGAAACCCTGGCGCCTGAGGATCCGCAAATGCCGACAAACCATGGTTTCAACCATGGTTTCAAAGTGGTGCGAACGGATTTCGTCCATCCACTGTATAGAGGTCAGACCAAATTATGTTCGGTCCCCAGATGTCTCCAAGGCAATCGGAACGACTCCCGCTGAGGCCAAGACGCAGAAGCCCAGATACCTCTGGATAGGCGAGGCGAATCAATTTGGCGGTTTCTGCTGGATGAGGGGCTTATACTGAATTGTGGTTTCCGTTTAAGCAGCATCCAACAGCATCCAGAAACCCAAAGTGGTTGGTGGACTTAAACACCCGCTGAATTTTATTGTGCACCAAAGGGTCTTCAGATAAAACAAAAAAAAAAAACGTCACAGCCATATGGGTGTTTGTTGAAATCAGTTCAGCTTGTCACGTGGCATCTCCAAAAAGGGCCACCACCAAAATTAGAGATCCGTGCACCACTTTATCCATATCTCCAACACCCGTGCGCCATATGCCAGATGATCGTGGAACCCATTTAAGGTTACCCAACTACTCCTTTGGGGTCCTCTTTTGAGACACTGCAAGCTGTGATTGGATCATTGGGAAAGCGGCACGCACCAAGTCTCTGGGGGTGAAATCGGTTGCAAGGGCGTTGCGTTTTGCTTCGACCGACATATCTGTCTTACTCAATTTGAGCAAATGTCTATGTCCACAGCTTGATTTAATTATATGAGCAAAGAAGCTCAGCCTGCAAAGACCATCGCAGTCTAATCTTCACTGTTCTTTGTTTGGTTCTGTTCATTTTAGTATGGGGGCTGCAAAAAACACAGTTTGTTCCTACCATACCAAGGGCAAGGAGCGTCTCCTGGATTCCTTGCTTCTTCCCTTTCCTTTCCAGGTGTGGTTTTTCCGAGTGCTCACAATACCTTCAAGTGTGTAAACGCGATCTGGTACCCTTGGTTGAATTTTCTCACCTCAATGCTTCCAAAACCCATCCCTGGAAAGTCCCTTTCTTGGGACCCCCTGAGTTTGAAGATGGACATGGTCTGTTCCACCCGTGCTTTGTTCCTTGTTTGCTGGGGGGGGGCTCTCTTGAAATCTTCACTCAGAGCCCCGTTTTTTTTTGCTCCATGACCACTGGTCTGAAACATCTCGCTCGTGATGCATGCCAGTCGCCGTCTAACAATGTGTGCGTCGTGTTGCTCTGTCCGGCCGAGTGTCGAGTAATGGATCAGTTTATCGCCCTGGCCACGACCCACTTGCGCCTGTAAGTCACCTTTCTGCGCATGTCGAATATCGCATTTGCCATCAGATTTATGAGCTGGTTTGCAAGATCCTTTCTTTTGGCGAAGCGCAAAGCCTCACCAAAACAGCAACAGGACAGCATGGGGTCCCTACATTTCCCGTTTTGGTTCTCAACATCACCTTGTGGCCAAGGTGAGTTGCCCTCAAGGGCAATGTTAGGGGATGTATAGCGAACCCTAACTTCCCCTCGCGAAAAACTCCTCTCTTCTCACAATGAAGTTTCGGACCAAATGTTGGGCGGGTTTTAAATTGAAACCCACCGGAAGCTGCTTCTATGTGGTTCCCCTGCGGGAATCCATTTCTCACCAGGTGGTTGAGCAACCAATATTCAAATATTTTCAATTCGGGGTTCAAAGATCCCAGGTGTGCGTTTTGTAGATTTAGTCCACCAGGTCCCATGAATTTCTCCAGTTTCCCAAGGTGCCATACACCTTGGGAAGACAGCTATGGGCGTTGCCTTTTTGTTGAGCGTACCCCATGTTTTGTGGTTTTACAGGGAGCCAACACGAAAACCCACCACTTTGCGGGGTCCCCCAAAAAAGGACACGCGTATCAAGTGGAATCAACTCGGATTCTCGGCACCTCAACTCAACTGGTGGCTGTCCATCAGGTTGCAGCGACAGCCGAGTGGCGCCGGGCACCATTTGCGGCCCGGGACTCGCCTCCGCCCGAAATGAGATGTGGCGTTCCTCTAAAGAGATGGTTTCCTCCCGGAGTTCCTCACCCAAGAGCGCTCAAAAAGACACGCCCATTGAAAGAATCGAATTTTGGGTGCTATTTGGTTGGATCTTTGACCTTTAACTTTCTGGATGTTGGATGGGAACAGGGAAAACAACTCGCAAAACTTTAAATCAAAGGGCGGGGTTCATTTGGACCCAATGATGAATAAATGCGTGTGGTTCCAGGTGTGGGGTTGAATCAGGAGGTTTTGTGACTGGTCGCTGATTATCAATTGATTCTTGGGCCCAATCGCTTCAACCACAGGGTATCTCAATGATCCTTGCACCCCACATACCCCACAAAAGATGGGCTCGTTCCCTTCGAGGGTCAGCCCAAAGGTGGATGTGGATGTGAACTTGTTTTGGGCAATAGAGTATCATTTTTAGACTGAAGCAAGTACTCAACATAGCTCCAAAGTGTATCTAGCTTGGTACAACGATCATGTGACACTGCTTAGATATATGAAGTCGAGGTTCAGGGTCACTTGACAGATGCCCTTTTGGCCCTTTTTGTGGCCGTGTTTTTCACAGGGAAGGCTGCCCTTTTTGGAACCTTCAGTAGGAAATGCCCCTATACACCTGTGCTTGATAGTTGGATCTTTAGACTTTAACTTGTTTGGGAAATGAAGGGGTTTTCCACTAACCCCCTCAAAAAGTTAAACTTTTTGCAGGGGGGTCAGCAGCAACCAAGAAAGGGGGTAACGAGTCAGATTTTTTCCCAAAAGATGGTCCTCAGGTCTTCCTCCTGGCAGCCTCTTCGTACACAGGCGATGCGACTTCGCCCGCGTCGAACTCCTTCTGCCCACCCCCGTGTTTTTTTTGTTTGTGGGGGGGAGGGAAGAAAGAACAACCCAAGACCAAAGAATCCCTCTTGAAGTAAAGATGGCGTTCGCACTAGGTTTAGTTCTCTCAGAGCGCTCCTTGCATTGGCATCTCCCCGAAAACTCCTTCTGGGAAACAGGAATCGCTTTGTGGAGATGGGGGCCGCGGAAATCCTGATGATTTCATAAAACCGCTCCTACCACCTCGCTTAAACAACAACAGCTTTCGTCGATTTTGGTCAAGGGGTGTGTTAGGGCAGGTCTTTGCGGGTCGCTTTTTTTTAGGGGTGATGCGCAGACCAGTGCCCGCAAGAAACGGGTCGGTACATAGCCGTTTCCCTAGGGGTGGTTTTGACTCCATAGTTTGAGACCATCATATACCAACCATTATCCCCTGCTCGTCATGGACACCCTCTTTTCAGTGTCATTGTGTTTGTTTTTGAAACTTTGATATTCTTGCTTCCCACATTTCTGGAGCTTTGGTCACTTGGATGTGGCTCAAAATTAGGCAACTCGGATTACGCAGGTGTTAGTCTTTATTTCAACCAAGGTGCCATGTTGGTGCCTTTTTTGAGCCAAAGCCACTTTTTGGTCAGACCATGTTAAAGGTAAGCACCAACCGCTTGGGGCAATTTTTGGCCAACAGGTTTGTTGCCTTCCAAGGTGGCAAAGACAAATCTTCGGCTCTGGCCAAACTTCCATCCCTTTCCGGATTGCCGAAAAATACAGTGGATGGACAGAATCAACCAGTATTCAATTCGGGGTTCATCCTTGCCAGGTGCGTTTTGTGAATTTCCAACAAGTCCTACGAATTCCTCCAGTGTCCAACTTGGCCAAGGTTAGTTCTAGGGGTTGATTCCCCATTCTTTTCAACCATCGTTCTTTTCCAAAACCAGCTTTTTCCCCTTGGATTCTGCTGGTTTTCTGAAAAGAAGGATCCCTGGAAAGAATGGAGAAGTGTCCCCTAGATTAGTCAGACATTGGCGTTGTTTCCCTGTAACCCACCACTTAGGGGGTGACTTTGATCATGGTAAAATAATGAGGCCAGCAGGGTTAGTCCGTGGTTCCCGGTTCCCCCCTTGTAGGGCCGTTGACTGCTACGCGCGTCAGAAATATCGCCAACCTCGTGAACAACGTGGACGTCGCCGCCATGAGCGTGATCCAGTACGCCGTCGGGATCCTTCAGGTGCCCCATTTTGGCGGCTCATCTTTTGCCTAGAAGCCCCGGACATTGGATCGCGGGTTCCCAAAATCCCCCGAAAATTGGAGAACCCCCCCAAAAAAATGGGATTGCCTTTGGTCTCCCTTGAAATTCCCTCTTGAACACAGTCCCAAAAGGTGAGCCATGGCTCAGAGCCTTTCAAGGTGGCCCATACCTCCAGCGGTCTCGCTCCCTAACAGCTGAAAGCTATGGGGTCTTTGATTCCAGAGGAGGGTTCTGGCGCCGGGGATACCACCCGCGTTTCAAAGCAACCCCCAAAAAAGCACCTTGTCTCAACACAGACGCCATTTGGACCTGTTCTCAGGGCCGTTTCGATCAGGCATGATCAGACCCTTGGGGAACCTTTGGGACATCCTTCCCTCGCACTCATAGATATGCCGAAAAGTGATGAAAGGGAAGTTTCGCCTGTGATGAAGATTTTTTTGGGGATTGCTGATTTCCGGCTTGTGAATAGTAATTCATGGGGTTGCTGTTCCCACAATGTATTCTATTTTTTGGTGGACGAAACATGGAGCAGAGCCACACATTTCTGCCAATGGTGCTGATTGAAACCACCGGTAAGGGGAATCCTGGGAAAGGCTTGCGCTGTTGGGCCGTTGACCCTTGTCCATACAAAGCATTCAGCCACTATAGAGTTTAAACACATCTTTGAAGACTCGCTGTCCCATATCTTCGGGAACCGAAGGCATGGCCACGGCTCTTGGCGATTTGGCCTGAACTCCAGTTTCACCGGCCGTACAAGCAGTCAAGAAGGCACTCCCACAAGAACAACTGAAAGAGTAATTTGACTCTGTCAATGAAATCTCTGCAATATCTCTTGCGCCTTCTCCAACCCTGGAGCCCTGCCCTCCAAATTGACTTCGTACTTTAGGGTGAACTACATATGGAGCATAATTTGAGCACGTAAACATTTGCTGTACCCCGGGCCAAGAAGCTGATTCATTGCTTCATTTCACCGTAACTCGTGGCTTGGATCAGTTCTGGTTGAAACCAAAAGGTACAACCCTCCGGGGGGCCGATGGAGGGCCAGAGGCTCTGGACATGGGGGATGAACCAAATGTTGCCAGGTTCGTACGAGAACTTTCCCATGGGAACAGCATTTGAGCAAAAGTCCATGACCTATCGGCGTTTGGTACCACTTTCAGGTATCCAGGAAACGAATTGCCCTGTTGTTTGTGTGTTCCCGAAAGACAAGGCTCGGGAAACGTGCTTTGCACCGAAGCTCATGTAGCCACTGTCCAGGTGCAGCACATCGTGGTGTGCGGCCACTATGACTGCGGTGGCATCAACGCCGCAGTGCGGAATGTCTGGAGACCCGGAGCGGGGCTTTGGCCGATAGGTCCCAGTTGTTGACTATGACTTTTCCCCATCGGTGGCTTTCCAAGAGGCCACGGATCCAATTTCGACCACAGAATTGGGAGATCCAACCCGCGGTTTCCCGGCAACCTCTTGGCCCTTAGTGTTTGAACACCTGTGGGGTCCACCCCTAACCTCAAAGCCACCAAGCAAAACCACCAAGCAATGGCAGGCTGATGCTTGAGTGGAAAGTTGCTACGCGGCTTCTTTGGCGTGTCACAGAAATGTTTCTTCCGCGATGCGAATGGATTTTACGATTGAGCTGAAAGCTGGAAGCATGATATAGTTTACCCAGACCGATCATGTGGGGCATGTGTTTGTTCCTTTTGTGCAGAAGTATAGGTGTCCTTTTTAGTTTAGTTTGGTGAGAAATATAGATGGCACTGCTTTAGATTGGTGTTATTCCATTTACCGGGGCCATCTATTTTCCAAAGGGGTGTTCTGTTTTCTCCGGAGATCCATAGGTCCGGGCCCCAGGGCCAACCAGTACTCTTGCTTTCTGGAACTGAGAGGTGCCTCAGACATCAGCCTTTTGGTCATCGTTTTCCTTTTGGTGATGGAAACATGGGAAGCAACCTGCTGTTCGTTCGTGTCTGTCAGATTCGTTGTACATAAAGTTGCAACCCTGGCTGTACCTAATCCAGTTGCCCTTGCCGATCCGTTTAGAGCAAGGCTTGCAAGATCTCAGTGAGACATGTGGGCTTGTCTTGTTGATGGTACCTTTTCGTGGGTGAAAATGGAAAATCAAAAGGAACACCACCATCTTGGGGTATAACAAAACACACACACACACACAGTGTCTGTGTTCTTCTCTCCGTTGTTGCGAAATCCGAATCAGGTGATTCTCCTGTGCAGTTCCCCCAAAGCCCAAGTCCAAAAAGAATGCTTCCACTGTCTACTTGTCCGCCTCTGAACCGAGTTTCGGGCCTAAATGGTTCCATGTCCTCCTTGATGGGTGGAATCGGGGAAGCTCTAATCTCCTCCTTCCTTGAGGTTGGGGGAATTCGAATTCCCCCCCGGCACCCGTTGGCGCATCTCAGGATGACCACCCGTCGCCACTGGCGAACTGGCTCCGCAACATCCGCGATGTGTACCCCGGACGTCCCTATCAGAGTCAAAACGGCGAAGCACTGGAGTTCCTTGAAACTGCAAGCAAGTATCCCTAATTCCTAGTCTAGTTCCCCCAGTAGCGCCCTTTTACCAACTTTTTTTTGAGGAGGGTTCCCCTACTAAAACAGACTACAGAACAAAGTTGGTAGCCTTAGTCTAACCTCTCTGGAGGACCTGGTCGTGTTTCTCTCCACGGAACCCGTAGGCTCGCTCCCTGATCTTCCCAGTCCCGAGCCGGGCTCCATGGGTTCGAAGCAAACCTGAACTGCGTCACATGGTTGGAACCGGGGCTTCAAACGGCCATGGGTCATAAGCTATGCCTCCATTTTCGGGTGGATGAACATCCATGTACCACGAATTTTGATGTTCACCGGAGGTACAAAGTTTTGACCCACAGCCAAACAAAGCTGGTGCCCGAAACTTTTTGAAATGCAGAACAGGCACCAGAAAGGGTGGCAAAAGGTCGGTTTGCTTGATGTTGGTTGGCCAGTTGCTCGGGTGCACCCAAAACCGGTGCCACGCGCTGCACCAAAACCGGTGGCTGCGCTCAGGTACCGGATGCACCGAGAGGAGCTTAGTAGCATCCAGGAGAGCTTTCGGGCTGTGCCCTCGCACGTATGAGACGGAATCTGAGGACCCTCCAGTCCGCCAAAGAGTCCATTTAAGCAAAACAAGCGTCTTCCAGGACCGTACTCAGGTAGAATGTTGGTGGACAGGAGGGTATACGCTTGGTATGTAATCCCTCCAACTTGTTCAAGGTTGCCTGTTGAGTGGAGATTTCTTTCTGAAAAGGGGGACCGTGACCCCTTAACTGGTGTGCCCTGGGTTTGGTCAAGGGGGCCCAACGGGATGCATTTTGTCGGATTTTGTGACTTGCCAAGGGAAGGTTAGGGCTCGAAAACAGGATACCTGTTTGGACCCTTTCACAAGGGCAAGGTGAAGGTAAGTGAGCCTCCAACATTGAATCGGCTTCGTGTGGAAGCCTAACTGTATCCCTCATCATAGTGAAGGCTTTTCAAGCGCCATCCGCACATGCCCATGAAGCCTGGAAGAAGGATTCCAGGAGCAGGTTCTTTTTGTTTCCGTGTATTTTTTGGAGGGGAGTTTATCCACCGGGCAAAAGGTACCCTTCTTTCCCATCCACCGTTGACTTCCCGGATCCAAAGCTGGGGATCTCAACGCAGTTCCAGACCGACCTTTTCGCCTCCCGGGGATGACAGCCCGTGCTCATGGTCCATGTGTTATGTGGGACACGTATGGCTGTATATCCCATCAAACCCCTTGGGGGTTGGGGGATGGTGGACACCATCTTAGATTGAACATCCAATGCCTTGGCTCCCAGCCATCCCCATAGCTTAGGTGTTTAGTTCTCTACTGCTATTGGGTTGGATCTTTAGACTTTAACTTTTTGGATTCCCCTCATTCCTTTTCACCAGCAAAACGCTACACGTTTTGCCACCCAAGAGTTGGTCTAGTGGCAGTTTCGAACTTCACCCATGAGTCAGTCACGCGTTTTTGGCAGATGCGTGGGGCCGAGTTACACCAGACGCACCAAGCCCGTAGGACCAGGAAGTGAGGGCCAGGCGCCTGGTGGAGATCAACGTCATCGAGCAGGCCAGCTCGACGACTCGCCTCCAAAATTCTGAGTCCAAGGCAACCGAAAAGGAATGGCTGCGGGTCAAAACCAATGGTACCGTTTAGAGGGGTAGGTGCACCACCCAGTTTAGTCTATTTTAGTTCGGATTGGGATGTTCACTGGGGGTACGGGCTTTTGACCCATGGCCGAATGTGTGTTGTTTGTCTCCTGGCCTCGATGCAACACCTAGGTGGATAATTTGATTCGGTTTTATTCCTGGTCGGTCTTCAAGAGCAACTGCCGATGACTGAGACAGATCGTACTTGTTACCGGACAAGCTCAAAACTGACATGGATTCATGTGTCCTCGCTAGAACGGGCGCGCCGAGGTGTCTTTCCGGTTTTCGTTTAAGCAGCATCCAAAATCCAGTGTTCGAACACCACCAACACCTAAGCCTATGGATTTTGATACCCCAGCAAAAGTGGTTGGCCATGAATCCCCACCAAATATTCCATGTTTACTGGGACTCATGAAGCTTCCCGAGAGGCAAAGTGGATTTTTCGAGTTTCGGGATCGCAACTCGCAGATTCAGAGCCCACAGGGTGCGCCTCGAAATGGGATACATGGGATTCCTGGGTCTTATCTGGGACTCGCGTCCGGAGCTCCTGGAGTTTAAACTTGTTGGGTTTGGACCAGTTTCGCGGAAAATCAAAGTTTGGAGTGTTTTGGCGAATCCAGTGTGGATCTGATCAGTAGCACAAAACAGTGCATTACGCGGTTTCCAACTTGTTCCCCGCACTTCCTGAGTGGTTGGCTTCCCTTCCTTTCCCTTTGTCTGGTGTCTCCCCCAAGAGTATGTCATGGTTTTGAAAGGTGGACATATGGCCATGGTTCAAAAACAATGGTACTATTTTGGGATGGGTGCACCCGTTTAGTCTATTTTAGTTGGGATTGGGATGTTCACTGGGGGCACGGGGTTTTGGCCCATGGCCATATGAAGCAGGACCTGAAGCTTGATGTTTGGTGTACCCCAGTGGGCCAAGTCAAGCCTCCAGCAGGTTCATGGTCTCGGAAAGGTTTCTGCAGGCGATCAACCTCTACAAGACGCGCATTGTCCAGCAGCGTCGCATTGAGACCTACCAGAACTTGGAGGACAGCAACCCGCCGGGGTCTCCTGCATCGCTTTTCTTGTATTACCCTCCCCCCACAAACAGCAGGCACCTGTGGGAGGGTACCTGGAAGATCATGTTCCTCTTGTAGGGATCCCCTGTCGTGCCATGACAACGTGGGAGTCAGGGTCGATTTTTGAGGGCCGACTGTTTGGAAGGAACGGAGTCAGAAAGGGCAGATTTTCCGTTGCGGGCCAAGCCCGGCGACTTGAAACAAGGCTCGTGGGGGTTCGACTGCTCAAAACTCAGACCACGCCTCATGTCCTTGCCTCTTTTTGGAGGGGGTTCAACCTAAGACCTGCCAAAACTTTGGTGGGAGGGCCTTTCTTTCCCATCCACCGGTCTCAAGTGACCAACAAATTGTTGGGAATGAACATCTGCGGCTAGTGTCCCTTCTCTCTAACCCCTTCACCTCAATAGGCATAAGGTGAGCCAAAGCACCCTAATCCGTTCGCACCACAAAATGAAGCCATGGGACACCACTGTCTGCTGGCATTTACAAGGGAATCATCAGAAACCAGGTTGTCTTAGGTGGTGCGAAATGGATTTCGTCCATCCACACTACGGATATAATTCGGAGTCAAGTGAGTCGCAATCAAAACCGATTCAGGTAATTGGGGGGTAGTAAGGGGACAATCCCAGCCATAATCATACATGCGTGCGGATATTTGCCTTTAGAATTCTTTACATGGTTCTGAGAAGACTATTTTGATATCAGGTTTTGATTATGAGTCAAGTTCACTCACAAGTTCACTCAGTTGCATTGAAAGCATGCTGCATTGGACACAGTTTCGAGACCAAGCCAGGGAGTTAGGGTGGGTCAAAAAGGGAACATGTCCGAAACTAGCGGCTGGACAAGTGAGGGCAATGAAGTCTACATAGCTCAAGCAGGAGAGAGCACCGACTGCAGATGATAGTTGCTTGGCCATCGAAGCCTATGATATACATATGTGCATAATCAATAATCATACATTCTGGGACATGTTCATGACATCAGTACATACTTATACATATCAATCTACATCTACATTTAGCCCCAAACATATACGTCTTCCAAAGCCTACGTACAGGGTGATACCCCTCAGTTTTATGCGAATTGTTGGTTTGACCCTTGACCTTCGGAACCCCTTTTCATGGCGGGCCAATTTGTGTTTGCCACCGAATCATTCCCCAAAGGGATTTAGAATACCAGTCTACAGTTGAATGAGCATCCAAATTACCTTGTTGAAAGCTTCCCCCTACCAGCGCAAAGGTGTGTGTGTGTGTGTGTGTCTGTGTGTCTCTGTGTCTCTGTGTCTGTGTGTGTCTGTGTGTGTGTCTGTGTGTGTCTGTGTGTGTGTGTGTCTGTGTGTGTCTGTGTGTGTCTTTGTGTGTGTCTGTGTGTGTGTGTGTGTCTGTGTGTGTCTTTGTGTGTGTGTCTGTGTGTGTGTGTCTGTGTGTGTCTTTGTGTGTGTCTGTGTGTGTGTGTGTGTCTGTGTGTGTGTGTCTGTGTGTGTGTGTGTCTGTGTGTGTCTCTGTGTGCGTGTGTGTGCGCGTGTGTGTGTGTGTGTGCAAACCTGCGGCAGGTCCTTGAAGAAGGGTAACCTCCCGATGCGATCTGTTTGGAAAGGTTATCAATTGGCAGCTAGTGGGTTGGATCTTTAACCTTTGATTAGGAAAATATGTGTGTTTCCCCACCTATATACCTGATACCCTATGCGACCGGCGCTTGGGCAGTGCGCTTTTTTGTGGGGCATGGAGAATGCCTCCAAGAAAAAGGGTGACCGTTTTGCTACTGGAAGTCAAAAGAAATGATGACCCCTTGTCGGCCACTTTTGTTTGCTTGACAGAATGCAACTTGAGCGGGCAGGTTCAGGATGGCCCCGTGGGGGGCATTTTGCCTTCCATACCTCCCAGAAAGGCAATGCTTGTGTGTGTGCGTTATTTTGAGGCTTGGGTTGGGAAGGCAAACCGAAAGGAAAGCCGCCATTAAAATAGGGTCCCCCTATGCCAGAAGTTATTACAATTGATGTAATAGGCACTGAATTAGAAGCTTTAGCAGCTAGAACAATTGCTGAGCGCGGTGTTCAATTAGTAGGCACAGCACATGGTAATTATTTAGATAGTTTAATTAAACACCCTATTTTATCTGATTTAGTTGGAGGCATACAGTATGTTGCTTTAGGAGATGATGAAGCTAAGCGTAGAGGTACTCAGAAAAGTATTTTAGAAAGAAAAGCAGGCCATCAAAAGGAAGCATCGGGCCATATGGACCCTCAAAGTGGGTTCCGTTTTGCCGTTAGAACCACCACGCAATCTCTAGCTTTTTGGGGCTTAGTGGGGGCCTTTTTTCTTTGTCACCGACAGGTCCACGTGCTTTTTCTGCATGCGGCAATATGGGTGTGGGTAAACCCTGGGAAATGGAAATAAGGACTACACCTTGGGTCGCCATAGTGGATTAATTTTTGACATATACCCATATTCACAACCCAAATCCAGATCCCGAGGAGCACGGCTTCGTGCAACCCAAGATCCATCCCTGCGCTGCTGGGATGCACTCGGAGATATGAGCCACAATCAAAACCCGGGTAAGTGAAGGCTAGCAAGGGACGAGCCCAGCCATAAATAGCTGCGGCCGCCTTTCCGCCTTCTTAGTTCTTTACATGGTTCTGGGTCGACCATTTTAGTACCGGGTTTTGATTGTGACTCATATGGCGATTTGAGTTTCAATGGGCAACCACCCCAAAAATGGTTGGTGTACCTTCCCCTCTGAATATTGATTTACACCAAAGGCCAAAGGGTCCCGAATTGAAATTTATAGCATGGCGACCATCCCCGTGTGAGTTTGTCTTTTTGTTCAGTGTACCCCGGAAAGGGGGTTGGTTTCAGCGCAAGCCAAAAGGAAATTAACCATTTGGGGATTTGGGGGAGCTCGAGTTTGAGACATGTATCTTGATTGCTATTGGGTTGAATCTTCAGACTTTAACAACTAATGGGAAACCAAGGGTTTTCCACTGACTGAGAGTGCGACTTGGAGCAAGGGATCGTTGAAGCACTAAGTTGTACAGAGTCCTTCCCCATTTGCTGCTTAGTTTCAAACAACCTGTAACGTCCATGTTCAATCCTAAACCATATTACGTAGCATGAGTGTATTCAACGGGTACCGATGTGCATACCTAGTTATTTCATCTTCCTGTCCCATAGTTTTTTTTTTCCCCCAACAGCTGAAAGCTTTGGGGTCTCAGCCCACATACACTCCGGGGTGGTCCGGGGCGGCCCCGAGGTAAGGTTCCACGAGGGTTCCACCAGGGTTCCATCCATGAGGGTTCCACAAGGTTCTGCGAGGGCTGCTGGGTGGTGCGAGCACTAAAAGGAGCACCGCATGCTGTTGGGGATATCACCTGAGCTTTTTTTTTTTACAAAGGTATTTTATTGTTTAAACTATGCGCGTATGTATAAATATATTCATATATATATATATATTCATACAAGTAACTGACCTGAATTCGTACCAAGGGCAAAACCTGCTTTCCTTGTTGCGCTGCTTCGACTCTCATGTTGGTGCGTGTAAAATGTCAACAGAGCTGCTTGAATTTGAAGTTGAAGACGTCCCTAGCATTTCGTTGCAAAGTGAGTGAAGAACAGAAGAACATGTCAACGGGTGTCCTTTTAAGGTCAAAGCCATTCCTGCACAAATTTGTGTTTGGGGATGAGCAAAGTAAGAGGGCTGCAAATATCGACTACGTTCCTTGAGAACCTCATCACGCACCAAGGAGTTGATCTTGTTTCCTCTCCTATCTCCCTGCCACCAAATCCAAATGGATGCAGAAAGGCGCCGTAAGCGAAGGTCTGCAACCTTGATGATTCCTTTCAGGTGAATGGGCAAGTTTCTCAACGGAATCACCCGTGGGTCCTTCTCTCAGGATCGGACCCTTCAGTTCATTCGAACCAAATTTGAAAGCGATCCTGAACATCAAACAAAAGCAGACTTGAACTTTGCTCAGCAATACAGAAGCGTAAAGAACAACTACGCTGAACAAGTCATCAACAAGAAGAAACAGCTTGACAAGGAGAAGGTGGATGACACTCATGTTCTGGGAATGCCATGGGTCTCAAAGCGACCAAGTTGGCCTTTGTACGGTTCGGATGGAGATTGGCAACTCGCAAAAACCCAGCAAAAACAAACGCAACGAGAACACCAGAGCCCAGCTTATGGGGAAAGGCGCATGGCCGGGTTTGTGGGGCACTCCGAAGGTCTATGATCCGGCCACTGGCAAGTTGGTTCGATTGGATGCCCGGGCCTGAGATCTCTGTTGCCGAAAGAGCGGCAGAGACGAGGCCAGGGTTGGACGCTAGAGCCAACTCAACATTGGGGATGTACAGCACCGAAGTTTGATGTCAAACTCCATGGCAGAAAACAAAACAAGGCTCTTTAAGGTTTGACAGCAACGTGTTGGAAACTAAGACCCCAAAATGTGAAGCTTACTTCGGGACGTTCCTTGCGAAGGGTCTGAACATAATGGGAAGGCGCGTCCAGAAACTGCTGGGCCCTAGGCAAAAGGAGCCACGTCCTCGATGCTGAAACACTAAACTTCCACTTGCTTAAGAATATTTTGTTATTTTCCCCTGTTGGTTTTAATGGGAATCTATCACTACTGGACATATTATTTTCCAGGCGTCTTTTGGCCAAATGGAAGTAAAGAACGCCACAGATGCACAAAGAACAGAGGCGCTCCGCCTTGCGATGGAGTGGCGCACGCAACGTGCGCCATTCACATGCCTAATCCCCACAACTCTACACACTCAGGCTGGCAACCCGCGACACGCAGATGTGTGCGTCGCAAAACAACAAAAACAAGAAGCAAGAAAACTATGCCATCGCGAATGGATGCGCAACGGGGCGGTATCCCTGGAAGACCCGTAGCCACGGCTCTAGCCGGCAGAGATTTGCGCTGGACTGCCATTGGGCAAGGCCACGCAGGTTCAGTTTGTCAAAACGAAGTGGCAGCAACCGCTCTTCGGGCCACTGCCATTTGGTTTGGAGAGCCAGTCATTTCGGCCTCATGGTATGGCTGAACAAAATGCGCCCAAGGTAGAAGGACATCTAAAAACTTGTGGACCACCCTTGACCCGGGGTTCAGGAAACAACCTTGAAACATGGCGAAATGCGAGAGGAATCCTCCCCCCCATGGGGAGTCGGGCTCACTTGGTTGGTGGTATTTGGAGGTTCCTGAGGGGCGCGCGCTAGGGTTTGCAGGTCAGCGCTTGAAGTGCAATGCACTTGTTTAGAATCGCGTTCCTGCATCTTTGATGGTGCAAGGCCGACATGCACATGGGAGCTAGGGAGCTTGACAGCAGCATGTAGCGGGAACTCAGGATGAGTAAACCGCTGATTCATCCGGGGGGGTCGTTCCACCCTTCATTTTCGGCGAAGACATCCCCCTTTTGCTCCGCCACGTTGGTCGGCATTCTGAGGGGCGGACAAATCCGGGGTCGCGGTGGCGCATTTATTCTTTTCAACGGGTCAGTTCCTCACTGCCACCAAAAGGACCCTTTTTCTAGCAGGGCCAGTGGGAGGGGCCAGTTTGCTTCAGGTTCCCATCCCACCAAGCCGATTCTCGGGTGATGCAACTGCAGGTTTACATTCCACACAGACCCAGCACAGGTGGAGATGCAGGACTATGTACACGAGCTGAAAGAGATCTACAACCTGTGCCCCACGTGCATGCCCGACTCGTTAGCTAATTTTCCTGGGGTCTCCCAGGGTATACTAGTATGGAGCAGAATCCGGACATATATGTTGCGCCTTGTTTTGGACAAGCGCCAACTTCCTTTCTGTGTCGACTGGTGCGGTCCTTAAAACTCAGACCTGTGGGGGCATGTCTTTTGTTCCCGTTGCAAGGGTCCACCTTTAAAATTAAGTGCCAAGAAAGGGCACCCCCTTTGCCCACAAATCCGATCTGGGTTCAAACAAAACGGGTTCCGGTCGCAATCATCAAGGACACATGCAGCATCCGAAACGAACCCATGTGTTAGAACCCTTTGCGGGTCACCCAATATACGTTTTAAGCAACTCTCGGATTGAATGTAGTTCCTTCCTGGGTTTCCCACGCAAAATGACGAACCCATCAATAAGAGCTCAAGCCCCTCAGCAGGGCAAGGAGTGGGCATGCCAGCAATGCCCCGAGTTTGGTCTGCGGCTTGCCCGCATCGACTTGTCCTGGTTTGAACTAGGTGTGTGGTTCAAGTTATGTGGGTCACTCCCCAACGCTGATTGTCTCAAAGGTATACTTCTTCATGCGCTGGTTGTGCAACCCTGGGATTCCAAGCCAGCGCAAAACCCTGTGGGTGCGAAAGTGCCTCAAGTTCCTACGGTGTGTGGAGGTCCCCAGAAAGCGCCCTGTCAGGGAAGGAGGGTCTATGCAAGCCTCCAAAAGTGTTAACAAATCATGGAGATCAAAGAAATTCAAATGTTGAGTTGGGAAATCCAGTCATCCCTGTACCCCTGTCAACTACTTGGTCCTCCACGTTATGGCAAATGTGTAGCCTCCAAACAAATTGTTTGGCAAGAAGTGGAATGAGGCACCCTGAAAAGACGGTGCACGCTCCCTCAGATCGGCTTGGTTCGGCACCGGGAAGCGAGCCCAAGCCCCATGAAGATGGGCTGACACAATTATGGGGAAAAACACATTTGCTCTCCCACCAACTAACATGGAACCCGTTGGTGGCTTCATGTTAGTGGGTGGAAGGGTGCAGCCTATTTCCAACCAAAGCAATATTTTGTGGCAGCTGGAATTAAACGGTCGGAGCCAAAACCGTAACATATGTTGGGTGCTCTTGTGGCGAGTGAAATCTCTGGGAACGATATGTGATTCCCCGTATCGGGGAATTGATATCCGATGGGCATTTGCTGACTCATCGATCCGAAGTTGACATGCGGGTGTGTCTAAAAATTGGGGACCCTCAAAATGGATGGTGTCCTTTTGGCTTCCCTGTAAAAAGAACAACAAACGAAAACGGGCACCCTCAAAAAGGACACACCCATGTGGAACCATTTCCAACTCGGACGGTTGCGCCTTTTGAAGGCCCACAAACCATCCAGCGATAGGTACAGCGTGGTCAACATCGATGACGAGGCGGTTGAAGCCGCGAAGCCGAAAGGTCGACGTGGCATATGTGTCATGGAAACACTGGTTGCTCCGAACCTCAAAACAATGAGCAACCCATCTTTGTTCGCCAAATAATAGCCAACCAACTGTTTTTTTAGTTAAGGTTCTCAAAAGGAAGCCAAAAGGGTATGGGCATGTTGTCCATTTTTTCAGACCCACGATCTTTCGCACCTGGTAGAATCCGTCATTTCGCAGGGCCCCAGTTGCAAACGATGGGGTCGAATGGGATTGTATGCGATGCTTTTGGCGGTAGCGCCCGAAACTGCTGGCCATGCAAGCTAGTGCACTTGGTTGATGGGTTTTGTAGTGGGGTCTATATAAACCTTTATAACCGTCTTAGTAGAACTCAGTTTGCAGTGCGAGTGGCGTCTATGCCCAGAACCCATCCTAGCTTTGGGGCGAGTGGAACACGCAAACACATATCCAGCTTGGGCTGGTCATTTCTGCAATCCAGAAATCCGCACCATAGTTATGGGTTCGGGGGGCCCGCAATAGTGTTTTCCAAGAGGAATGGAGTCGGTATGTTAGGAACAGCCCAGTTGGGCTCTTCCACAGAGGCGTGAAAACCCCAGGATTCAAGGGTGCCAGGGCTATGGGTAGTAAGACCAGCCCCGCCAGAATTGTGGAAATCAATTTCCTGCTTCAAACATGTCGAGATCGTCCATTCGGATTTTCGGGCTTTGCTACGTGCTTGGTGTGCAAGCCAAGATATGCGGCCTTCACGGTGAAGGAAGCACGACTGCTGGAATGAGCCAGAAGCCTACACTCTTGTCAACGTGGCGGTCATCCAGTGGAACTCTCGGGTCTTTTTTTGCGCCCCGGGAAGGCGAGGGCCAGCGTCAAGTCTGCAAAGCAGGCGAAACATGACTCGCCAGCCACCAATGTCGACATGCAGCTCACTCTGGTTGGACCAGCTGGCGTTGTGAGACTCGCCCTTGGCACCGTTCGCTTCAAAGGCGTGCTTTTTTTTTGGGCTGCGTTTTTGTTGTTGCCTTCTTGGCTTTTGTGAGGCTAGCCCAGATTGAAGCAGCCCAAGTTTCAGTGGTGGTGTTTTGGTTTGGCGCCTTCGCCTTGGCTTGTCATGAGGGAGCCACCTTGGGAGCTCAAAAGTCGAAATCACGTAAGAAATCGCTCTTCCCGCAAAGGCCACAAAATATTCTTGGCTTATTTGTTTAAGTGGTTGCTTTTTGTTGGTTCAGTTCATGTTTTTGTTGTTGTTTTTGTTGGGGGGAAGCAAAGGCGTCATGAATGACGACCCAACGGTAGAGGGCGTTCCCAAACGTTGACACACACACACACACACCCACACACCCACACCCACCCACGCACGCACCCACCCACACACGCACGCCCGCCCGCCTGCACCCCCGCCCGCCCGCACGCGCGCCCGCCCGCCCGCCCGCACGCGCGCGGGCACATTTGTGGACCCTTCCCCCCAGAGCAAATTGTGCCATGCTCAAAGACAGTTACCTTTTCTTGGTAGGGGTGGTCATCAACCTCTTGATACGTGTTTAGGGCAGCCAATGTGAAGTCAGGCCCTAACCCATGGTAGGAGTTCGACCATGTCACATATGAGCCCTCTCGCAATCCTGGTTGCCATACAGTTTACAAGAGACCCTCTCAAGTTTGTTGAGTGACCCTTCTTGCAACAGTCATGGACGCTGGCAGGAGGTTTTCGCATCTTTTGACCAAGCTTTGCAGAATAAAACGTATGCAGTTCCTAAAAGTGATCTGATTTTCCTCTGAACCCCACGCTCCCCACAGCAAAACGAATATATGAATGCGCCAGCGTCTCAGGAATCGATTCCCCTACAGCTTGACACGGACCTGGAAACCCACAACCATCTGAGAAATCTCCTTTTGGAGACCCCTTCTTTTGGGTTCGTTAATTTGTAAGGGGAGTATCTTAACCTGAAAAGATTCTGGCCACCAGGCAAAACTTACTTGATTCGTAGTGGATTGCAAGAGCCATTGCCTAGCGGTCAGGTGCCTTTTGGTTTCCCTTTAAAACAACAAACAAAAGGTTCCCTCAACAAAGACGAGCCACCCATATCGTCCTTTACTCAAATGATGTATGTTAGGTTGGACCTTGACGCTGCACGACGGTTTGGGTGGAGTATGGGTGACCTATATAGCTCTCGGCTCACGCCATGGATCCCCCTACCAGCCCAATATTTTTTGTTGTAGCCCTCGCGAGAGTCTCGAACGTGACAGGGTGAACATATATATATATATATATGTTTGTATACATTATTTGTGCTACTTCAAACATTGTATGATCATGCTTATTTGTGCATGCTCCAACAACATTAATGTTGCCCCGGTGAATCAGTTAGTGGATCATAGAGGTGTTATCCTCAAAGAGTGCGGGTTTCCTCTCAAAGAAGTTTGACTTTCCCATCAAACCCATGGATTTTTGTAAGTTTAAAAATCAACTGAGTTCCCCTTCAAACACAGAACCATGCGCAAAGGACGAAATGGGTTGGATCGATCAAAGTTATTGGGCACGTCAGGAAGAGGGATGGGATGGCATGGGACCTTCAGCGGGGAGGCTCAGCCCGATGCGTGGCTCGAGCTTGGGAATTCAGGGAACCGTTCTCAGGGCTTGGCTCTTCTAGGCCCCCCAGCTAGGTGCCCTTTTACCGTTTCTTTTTTGGGGCAGGGTTCCCCCATTGAACTAGGCTACGGAAAAAAGATGGTACCCTTATTCCAACCTCTCTACTGGAGGACCTGGAAAAGGAACCATTCTCAGGGGTTGGCTCCTGAAGAACGTTCAAGTCTACTTTGGATCAAAGATTGGAACCATGGTTCTCAGGGATCTCGAGGACCGAACGGGAGAAGGTTCCATGGGCTGGCTGTTGCCAACTGCAGCTAGGGGCAGTTCTAAAGCGTCCATTTACGGGTTTCAGAGAGAATCCAACAGGAATGCTTCAGTTCGGGGTCATTTGTTTTTCTTTTCCCTGATTTCATGCGGGGCTACAAGGCCTTTTCAAGCCTTCAGAACCAGTGGCGCGCGTTTCCCTTGTTCGGCTTGGGCTTCTTCGACCAGAGAGAGCGAAAGAGTAGTATTCATATCGATACACATCACTCGTTCCATTCTGATTTTGCCAGGGTTGCCCATTCCAAACCTGGGATCTCTTTTCAATCTGCATTTTAAGGTCCACTAGCCATGGAACAGGTGAAGCTGAGGTCGCAACAATTGATGTTGAAACCAGCTTCCAGCTGCTTGGCAAAGCCTTGGGGCCCAACCACCTTTGTGAATCTGGGCTTTGGTCAAAATGTCCAAAGGTTTGCGGCTCATTTGATTTTTGACAAGACGTGGAAACGAGCTCTAAATGTCAAGCAGCTGGCAGCTCACGAATTTCCGATTTGGGATGGGTCAAAATTAAACCAGCAGGGGACCACAGGTTTTAGTCATTGTTTCCATTTCCAGGCTGCCATCTTGGGTACCTGTTTTTGACCCACATTTCACGTGGAAACCTGCTTCAAGCGGCTGTGAGCTAAGGTGGTTCTTCCCCCCTGAGATTCCAGCGGCTCCAAATCGCTGCGACTAGTTCACGTGACCAGGGAGGACTGCGGATCCTGAGTCTGTCTTCAAGGAAAGACATACTGGGCGTATTTATAATACTATTTGTTGATTCACTGCAGATTTGTGGGTAGGATATGTTCTGTAATTACTGTTCACCGCACCTCGATTTGTGGGAGAGCCGATCTTGTGCATATTCCAGGGTGTTTAGCTGTTAGCCCGCGCCAGGAAGCAGTACCCCTCACATACGGAGTAGGGGGTTTTCCTTCCACACCAAGAGGATCCGCCTCCCGTCTTGTTTCATAGTAGCACGAGCGACCTCGACTGGAGCGAGAGGCTCGCCCGCCGACCCAAAGTGGCACGTTCCAAAAAAGCGCTGGGAATTTGAGCCACTGTCCAAAGTTACTTTTCTCAGAGAACCTGGCAAGTTGAGTGGATGGTTTGACCGAAGATATGCCATTCATGGCTACTCCCCTTTTGACTCAAATGGAGCCCCAAGAAGCCATCCGACTGTCAGAACCTCTGGGGATCGGCCCCTTTGGGATCGGTCCAAGCTTGAATAATGTTGCTCGTGTGGATGGACGGTGTTTTTTCTCCTTCGCACCACGAAATGAAACCGTGGTTGAAACCATAACGTTTGTTGATCATCATCATCATTGTTAGGCTATTTACAAGGGATCATATTTACCACGGGAAGCCATGGAGCACCATTCCATGATCTCTTGGGTGATGCGAAGCGGATTTCGCAACCATTCACAGTATCACTTCAGTTGGTTTTTGAAAGTCTTGGTGTCCGTTGGTTTTTCTTGGTGTCAAAACAACAACAAATCTAGTACCGGCAACCCCCCCCCCCCCAACAACTGCTTGTTGGACAGTGCTCGGTATTTTGAGCACGTGAGCCAAATTTCGACGGTCAATTCGGGGAACTGGATCGTGGGGTCGAAACGGGACTTGCTCTTCGATTTCCTCACAGAGTCCACAAGTCTCTACACATGTCCTTTGCAAAGTTTAAAACATCACCTGAGCCACAATCAAAACCCGGGTAGATGAAGGTTTGTCAGGGACAATCCCAACCATACATAGCTGCGGCCGCCTTCCTAATTCTTCACATGGCTCTGGGTAGACCATTTTACTACCGGGTTTTGACTATGACTCACCTTGTGTGGTTCAACCCTTTTAGATGAGTTTCCTCTTGGAGTGATGTGGGAAATTTCAGGAGCTTTGGGAATGAGCAAAGTGAAGCTCCAGCTCAGTTCTGCGGTGTCACGCTTTCGGTGGCCGAAAAACGTGTCCATTAGATCAAGAGGTCAACTGAGAGCACAACTGAAAAACGTGTCCCCCAAGAAAGCCGAGAGGGCAAGTGGGTCTGATCCAAGCAGACCAACAGAAAGAAACTCATGGCTGGTTTTGCGAAGGCTTTGGATGGTTCCATATCAACCTGGAGTATCTGGGAAAGATTCGGTGCTTGTATCTCGCTATAGCGTCAACTGAGGTCTTCAAACTCATGTTTAGGGATAGGCAAGAGACGCCGAATGCGAGGGATTGGTGCAACTCCAGATGCAACCGGATCCCTGTTGACGCCACCCGGTGCCGAACGCCGGGAAGCACGTGAAGTTTAGCTCTTGCCTATCGAGGAGGGGGGAGGAGGGGAGGGCAGCATGTCCTGTCTTTTTGGGCCTCAATCCAGAACGCTGTGTATAGGTCGTTGCTCGCCGGAGTCTGGAAGAGCCACATTTGCACCTCCGTGTAAAATGACCTCTTGGTCGTTTTCGGGGCCAGGCGCAATGGGAACCTAGTTGACTACTTCGATGGTCTGGGCCTGGGACTTAGCCAAATGGCTGTGGGTCAAAACCCTGTACCCCTGGTGAACATCAAAATAGGTGGTAAGTGGGTGTTCATGCGCCCCGAGCCATAGGTTACGACCCATGGCCAAATGGCTAGTAACCCTGGTTACAGGGGAGTTACAACCATTGTAGGTGGGATACAACCATTGTAGGTGGGATACAACCATGCAGGGTTACTAGCCATTCAGCTGTCCATTGAAGTAGTGAAGTTGGTTGATCGATAGGAGAGCGTCCCATAGGAGAATCTTCGCTTTGGTGTTCGGAACACCCGAAGCAATCCACCAGCTGTTCCGCTTCCGTCGGCAGTACGCAGAGGAAAGACGCAAGTTTGAGGCCTTGTTTGGCCAATCCAGGGAATCCAAAACTAGTTTCCTGGACCCTCACAATTCCCCCAAAAATGGAAGTACTGCCCCAAAACGATGGCGTGAGTTCCATTTTTTTCATGGGTAGTTTGAGGGTCCAGGTTCATCAGTTTGAAAAGCAAAGCTGCGCGTCCGCAAACGGTTCAAGCCCATTGTCTTTGGGCCACAGCCGTCTGGTTGTGTGAAAAATCCATGGCCCTTCCGCCTTGATGCGGCTTCCGCGTTGCCCAGGAGCGCCAACAAATGCGGAAGCTCGATCTTTAGGGCATAGACTTTAACTTTACTGGCCTCCATGCGTTTTTCCTGCTAGGTTTCTTACCCTCTGTTGCCCAGTGCTGCCCGTTTTTTTTGTTTTCCTCTCTTTTTTTGGGTAAGGGTTCCCCTTTGAACTCAACCAACCAAAAAAGGGTGCCCTGTTTTTCCCACGGCCACTGGGCATCTGAGTACCAGGCTGATATGTGTTTTCCTTTTTCGACATAAGGCAGGTCTTGTTGATGCTTTGAAAGGGACGCCAAAAGGAGACCAATTGCCTTGAGGGTCCTTAATTTTGAGAAACACCCATATCACCTGAAGTATCTTGTCAGTACAGATCCGTTGGAAGCTGTTTGATTGTCCGGCCAAGGTTGACCCATGTGTTGCTCGAACTGAGTGGGGAAAGACCTCTGTGTTGGTGGCTAGGTTAAGTAGCTCTCTTTTCATTCAGCTGAGGGAGTGCTTGAGGGATGGCGTGCCGAGAACATCCTGTTGAAATGAATTACGTAGCTTTAGTTCCAGAGAAAATTATCATAGAAAACCACAATTCCTCAACCCCGAGAAAGCTTGTCAGAGCCCTTCTGAGAACCTTCTGAAAAGGTTCCTCTTGAGCCTTTTAGGGCGGTGCCATCTCAAAACAAGCAACACATTCGCATGAATTACCTTCGCTTTGGCCCCTTTTCTTGGGCTTTCAGCCAACGGGAAGGCGGTCACTTTCGAGGTCCCTTAGAGATTTCTTGAATCAGATCTGTGAATTGTGAGTGCGACTAGCTTTGCAGGGGTTCTTTTGAAGACCTAAGTCTAAATGCAGGAACCCAATAGTTCGACAACATATGGAAGAACCCTCGCCATGAGCGAATTCAGAAGCATGGATTGACACATGCGTAGTGGCGGAGTGTCTTTGATGGAATACTGAACACCAGCCTCCATGTCGGGAGTGAAGCTCCGAGTTGTATGTGGTCCCAGATGCCAAAAGCGTCTCTTTTCGTGTCCAAGTCCTTTCAGCAAGTGCGTTTTCATCAACAGAGCCTTGAATATCAACAGATCCTTGAAGTGGTTTCTGCGCAGAAAGCTATTTGGGCGTGTCTTTTTGAGGGTACCCTTGTTGGATGGTTTGAAAAGGAAACCAACAGGAAAACCGACCATTTTCGGCGTCCCCGGAAAGAACAAAAGAACACCCACATCTTACTCTTGATTCTCATACAAGTTGATAGGCCTCGTTGCTTCAGGGTCTCTGGCGCGCCGCAGGAACAGCAGCGCTTTGTCAATGCCTAGCGCCTGCTTCCTCAGAGGGTTCTGAGAGGCCAACCTTGAGCTGCGCAGTCAGATGGCTGTGGGTTAAAACCAATGGTACCATTTTGGGGTAGGTGCACCACCTTTTCCCCAAAAACCCCTCTGGGGTTGGGTTCTCGTTTAGTTGTCTAACCGCGAGGGAGCGAGGATCGGCAGGGGTTCGGCCTGAAGTGTACCATGTTTGCAGCATGCCGTGTAAACGCCACTGGCCGGGAAATGGACGAACAGGCGGCCTGCCGGCTGAATTGCCGGCAAGAACGGGACCGTCTCAAGCGTGCCGAGTTCCGCATACCGCAGGGCCTAGTTTGCAGCATACCGCGCAAGCGCCGCCAAGAACATGACCGGTCTCAAGTGTGCCGAGTTTTGCCGAGTTTACCGCATAGCCGGGACAACCTTGACTGTCGGTGACTGTGCCGGCTGAATTGCAACCAGCGCCGAGGTGACGGGAGGTGCTGGAGGCCGCGTGCCGGCGGGATTTGGTCCACAGAGGCGCAGCGATAACGAGGCGCGGCCGTCCGTGTGGCGGTGGGATTTGGCTTCAGGAAAGCAGCGAGAACGAGCTGGGGTCAACCGTATGCCGGCGGGCTTTGGCTTGGCGGAGACGGCAAGGATGGAGGTGACGGCGGCGTGTGCCGGTGGGATTTGCTTCTGCGGATGCAACCAGCGCCGTGTGAATTTCATCCAACGCTGGCAAGATCGGGCAAGCCTGTTCGCGCCGCGTGCGCCGCGCGCGTGTCGATTCAACATCACATGGAAAGGCGCGCTCGTGGCGCGCGCGCGCGCGCGCGCGGCGCGAGCAGGCCGCCGTCCCTTTGAACCACCTTATAGCCCAAAAACATTGCAAGCAAATAAGAAGGAGCAAACGAGATCGTTGATTTCCTCGGGCAAGCAGTTCGCTGACAGTTATTCACATATATTTGTTCGCATCTTGGTTTTTGGGCTGCCCGGCTCTCCTTTTTTTCTTCAATAAATGTTCACTGGGGGTACCGGATTTTGACCCATGGCCAGATAAAGCCAAGGTTACCTCCAGGGACCATGTTAACTTGCTTGAACATCCTTTCCAAAGGTTGCAAACGCGAAAACACACCACGAAGCTCGCAGCGTGCACAAGTTGCCCAAGGGACATTGTTCAGTTCCCCCATGGGCGTTTCTGAGAGTGTGGAGTGGACTCTTGATGCCCAGCGGAATCCTCACGTGGGTGGTGTGCGTGTGTGTGTGTGTATCTATATTGGGGGACCCCCACCATGTTAGCTGTCCTTTTGGGGGACAAAACACCGAACAAAACGATACCCTCATAAAAAGCAGGCACAGTTTTCATCCAGGTTTTGGGGCGGCTCAGAAGCCAAGGCTGCTGTCTGTGGCGGCGCTCGAAATTAAGGAGCCATGCCGCTGTGGGACGGGGCGCAGTTTTGGGATCCGCCGCCAGGGGTCCCTCAACTTCCCTTTGTGGAACCTTCAAAAGTGGCAATTCCAATAGCAGCCACTAGTAAATTGATGAGCTTTGGATTTGGGGAAATCCAGTGACGTTTTCCTGACAACTCTCTTTCCCAGAAGGAAATCTTGACCAACATTCCTACCATCTTGCTCAGGCCTCCTTTCGAAGTCTCTTGGGAAAGGGATGCACCAAATCCTGTTTGCTGCGAGGAGCAACAACCATGTACTCTGTTCAACATAGAACCATGATATCCATTTGGTAGATTCCTCTGGTATATGAAATCTCAGCACATGCCCACATGCCCAACGTGATGGTTTTTGCATCCCATGGAAGTGGAACACGCGTCCAGGACAACGAGCATGATCTCGTGCCTTCAGAGCCGGGAGCTCAAGTCCCAAGTTTTGCAGAAGTCCTGCCGGTGGAATCCCGCGGAGCGTTGTCTCCTCAAAAGAATTCCAGGGGTTCCCTCATGGCTTTTGATTTTTAAGGCAACCCCAAGGCAGAGGTACCCCCAAAAAACGACACAGGGGAGCGCGTCGGCACTTGGGCTTGTCGAAAGGAATCGTTTGTTGTCGTGGTTTCCCAATAATTTCCCACGTCCAACAGGTCCCCCAAATTTGAACAGGAAGGAAGCCTATCTGATTGGTTGGCAATAACTTAACCTGTTGAGACCTACTTGGAGTTGGCGTGTTGTCCAGTTTCGGGATTTGAAAATTCGGAAGATCATTTCAGAAACGAAAAGTCTGGCCTGCTGACCAATCCAACCACCCATTTTGGAGTTCCATGTTTTGATTTTGAGACAACCCCACAAGTCCTCTCTGCATGCATAAGAAAGAGGTGATCGATCTCGGGGACATCCTGTGATGAGAACGGTGCTCCGGATTGGTCCGAAGTTCGCATGAGGTCTTCCGCAGAACTAACAGCCAATTTGAGATTCAGGATTCACAATGGCCACAGTGGCAACCAATATGAGGTTGGCCCAGAATGTCATGGCTGGGTTCACCTTTGACTTGCCCAATAGAGGGACCCCAACTGTGCTTTCCCTGGAGCGCTCGGTCACTGAAGGCCAACATGGGTCAGTGGCAAGTTGGCATGTGCGGTGAGCAACACTCAGAGTTATTGAAGTCTCTGCATCCCGTCAGCAGTAGAAATGGTGATGGCAGTCATGAATTGCGAAGATCACGGCTGCAGCACAGCCAAACTGGTTGACCTGTTGTTTTCTCGTCCTCCAAGTCAAGTTGCATCCAAGAAGTATACCCATTCCATGCCTACCGAATTCTTTGGGCCAAATCGTCCGCCTCCAGAACTTCTTCGTGGGAGGGGTACTGAAGGTGTTTTGGTAAGCAACAAGTAGGTTGTCACCCACAGCGGTGAAAATGTCCCCGTGCGTTAAAACCAGGGTTGCTACCTGCTTACATTCAGTACGGGTCCCAGTTCGTAGACCCGCGAGCGGCTTCCAAAGGGGAGGATTCCAGCCACAGAACCCAGAGACATTGGTGGGGTATAGTACCACGTTTTTAAACTTGGCCCCCATGAAATATGGGTGTGGGTTTTTGAGGGTACCCTTCACTTTGGTGTGTTTTCGGAAAGCCAACTAGGAGAACCGCATGTTTAAGGGGTCCCCCTACTTTAGACACATGGGTGTGGCTCAAAATCGGGGGGCCCCTGAGACACCCATCCCCAAGTGCCGCAGCCCACCGGCCAAGAACCGAGGCCGGGGCCCCGCGGCGCGAAACTCATGCGCCGCTCGGAAGAAAGTTGGAGCCGGGTAGGTTCCGTTTTCAGCACCCACAATCCCCCAAAAGGGTTTCAGCAGGTGGATCTACCTGGGTTAATTGGGGTTATACCAAAGCCCAGAACCTTGACAACCATCTTAGAAGCTGCTCAAATGGGTGCTTCCCACTTCACTTCTCATGCCCAAGGTCACACTTTGTGGGGTCCCTCTTGGCATTTTTCAATTAGGGACCCGTTCCTTCAGGTGTCTTTTTTCGGGCTATCTTTCAAAAGGGGAGCCCTTTTGATACTTGACAGGGGCTGAAGATTTACTCACATTTGTTTAATTCATGACTTGTTTCAGTTTGGTACCTCAAATCCCCAGGGTCACATGTGGAAATGGCCGCCTGGTTCTGCTGAAACGCGCGCTTATGTATGTGTCATGGTTTGTCTCATGGGAGATCAAGCGCTATTGTTTTCGGGCAGTGTCATCGGGGTGCTTGTTGTGGAGAAAGTGGACTTGGCACTGGAATACATGTCACAGACTCAAGCTGCAGAGATTCCGAATGCTTAGGCCAGCCAGGCTGTTTACAGACTCGCCGACAGATGTCAGAACTGGTCATCTCAAAAGAACGGGGTGTGGTGCCCCTGGAGTTTCCAGAAGAAAAGCCACCGGAGGATGGCTGACTGGCTGGGTCCCATGATACACGCCTTTTCCTTTGGACCCAACTGGCTGAGTGGAAGCACTCCTGAAACATCCACAAGGCTTGGTCAGTGCCTCAAGAGCCCGTTGTCGAGGCCGCGAGGAGCCCACGGCGTGGCAGCCGTGTGGGGAGGTTTCACTGGCGGACTGCTGTCATCAACGCGCCTTGCGCGTGAACGACGGCAAAGGCAACTGCAGATGCGCAGAACAGCAGGCAAGAGATGGGCTTTTGGTGAGGTGTCATATGATTGGTGTGTGGCTTGATCCAGATTGTCAGAGATGATGCTCCCGATTTATTAACGTCTCTGATTGGTTCATAGGTTGAGGGTCCCCTTTTCAAAGTTTGGTTTGTAGTTGGCAAGTTTTTTTCTTCCTTTGGTAGGCTTCTTATACCGTTGTTGGCTCGGCCACGTCGGCTTGCTTCGAAGCTCAAGGCTCGACATAGATCACGACCTGTGCCCAGTTTTCCAGTCTGCTATTTTTGTGGGGGGGGGGTGGTGGGGGGTGGGCGGGGGCCAGCAAAATTAAGCAACTACTAGTGCCGCAGAGTCCCGGAAGATCAGAGATCTCCCCCGTTTGGGGGGGGCGCCTGATGGCATCCTGATGGGCTCCCCCCTCCAAAAACAGGAGGTTTGGATTGGTGCTGGGGTTTAACCGCCGCTTGGTTTGGGGCACACGGGAAACCACTTTCACTTCCAGGCCGAATAAAAGGGGCCGAACAAATTATGGTGGCTTACTATATCTTGGTGGCTCCCAGCCAGTTCCTTAGCCTTTCAGCCTTTTAGTGTTCAGTGTTAGTTTCCATTTAACCCACTAAGAGTTAGACTTTTAGCGGGGGATCTGAGGGCAGCCGAGATATGACGCAGCTTGAAACCGCACCCCGCTCTAAAAGATCTGTCCACTCAAATGGAACCCGGGTGCATTTAAGGGAAACTGGTCTTCCAGGACCGACTCCGAACGGGAGGGTGGGCCGAACCCGAAGACCCGAGACGAGCGTTTGGAGGCCGCTCCGGCGAAGTTGGCGCGGCTTTGCTCCTTGGAGTGGCAGAGCTGCCAGCAGAGGCCCAGCTGCTGTCAGAACCTGCCAGGGGACCCAGACACGACGCCCAGTGACAGTTTGTTGTTGGGGGTCCTGGATCGCCAGTTGCTGCTTTTTTCCATCCACTCTACCACAAAAACCCAGCAACAGGGACTGAAAAAAGCAGCAACTTGGCTATCTAGGGTGTGCCTTTAGAATCAACAAACACCGAGCAAACACAAGCGCCCTTTCGCCCTTTCTTCCCCAACAAATCGTGGTGTTGCTTCCATGGGGCGGTCAAACGACCGGGCTTCTTTCAGCATGGACATCGATGGCAGTTTGTTGCTCAAAGTTTGTTGGCGCAGAATCTGAGGAATCTGAGAAAATATATGAGAGGTGGGTCAGGCGAAAGGGGGCAGAAATGACATGTCATGAGCCCTGTAAGGGATTTTAAACTATTCTCGGGACCATCATGGGATGGTGTTCAACATGTTGTTTGGCCTGGGGGTATGCATGTGGTTTGAGATAGAGACCCCTATGGAACCAGAGGTTCCCTAAGCAAATTTATCACACCCAGTCAGGTTTTGTCAGGATGCGAACCCAGGCCCTCCCAATAATAGGGATCTAGTTGATGTTCTATGGCTCTCTCATGCTTTGGGGCCCAACTCAACCCCGAAATAACCCCGAAAACTGGCTGATTTTTGGGGGATCCCAAGCTTCCCAAACCTCACTCTAAGAACATAACCTTATTCTCCCCCCGGAGGAAAACCGCCAGACATCCATGGCAGAGCTTTGCTGGTTGCTTTTCCAGCTTTGAGAATCCAAAAGAGGGGTACCAACTCAAAACAGACAGACCCCAATCCTTGGTGGCTCTCAGCCATCCCCTTAGCCTTTTAGCCTTTTAGTGTTTAGTGGGGATTTCCATTTCACCGCACCCACTAAAAGTTAAACTTTTCGTGGTGGATCTGAGGACAGCCCAGGAAAAACCGCCCAGAAGCCGAGGCCAGCCTCCATGCTGGTGAGCTACGGCAACTCCTCGGGCTCCGCATATTCGGGCCACTGCGCCTGCGCGAACGCCGCCTGGGCCAACTGGAGCCAGCTGCAGCTGGAGCAGCGATGTCTCGAGGTCAGGGAGTATGGGGTTGTCAACTTGTTTGATATATTTGTTGTTCTTGTTTTTTCCTTTTTTGTTTTTCCTGGGGGTTTTAAAGGGAAACCAAAAGGACACCAAGCATGTTAGTGGTTTCCTCACTTTAAGACATACCCATACGGTCTCTTTTTTTTTCCGGGGGGGGGGGCCAACCGTTGCGGTTGGTCTTTTCAAGGGACGCCAACCAATTGGGGGTGGGTTGGAGTTAAACCCAAAATATGGAGGGTTCTGAAAATGGATTTCAGACACCTTGTTGGAGGGTTTTCCAGAAAGACAAGGAAACAGCCAATTCCCTGTTTGAGAAATACCAACATCAGGGGCCGGCCCAATCTGTGATTCCAATATTGAGGGCTAGCATTACCCACAGCCCCTGAGGGTCTCCGTCAGCCGGCCGTAACTTGTAAGTTTACTCCAATCATGATATGGGGGGTTGGATCAACATGGGTTTGGGGTGGAAAGGGTTGCTAGCCAAAATAATGAGATTACCAAACCTTGAGGGTAGGTAGGTAACTTGCCAGTTTGAATCCTTCTTCCTGTTGCAGGATATATGGGTGTGTATTTGTTGAGGGACCCCACACATTTTGTGCTGCAGTTTTCCTTTGGGCTTCCTTTCAAACATCGGGTACCCCCAAAAAAAGTCGACCCACGGTACCGTCGACGGTACCCTTTTGAGGCTTGGGAAATCCCTTGTTGGAAACCAGGCAACAGGCGAGGAACCCGAATCGCAGACAAGGGATCCAAAACCCCCCATCCCCTAAGCCCTGCGACCTCTTCCCCAAAATATTTGACAAGACCCAGGCAGCCAGGTCCGTTTCTCCCGTGGTTTCTCTTCGGCCATGGACACGAGATCATCCTTGGGCTGGGAAGACCTGGCTTCGGAAGGCTTCGAAGTTTCGGAGTTTCGGGGCGCAGGTGTCCAGTTGCATCTCACCAAGCTTCGCAGACATCGATGCTCGGAAGGCTTTAAGCCAAAGGTGTGGGCGTGGCCCAAGGGTGTCTTGTTTCCATTTGCATTTCGGGTACCGGCGTGTCGTGAGCCACGGCCATGTGAATGTGAATGTGTCAAAATACAACAAACCCCGCGAAATGGATCTCGGTTTTCCTGTTGGTTTCCCTTGGGTTCCGGGAAGTCTGTGCTACCAAATCGCCCGCAAGCTGGTCAGCAACTCACTACGGCCCTCTTTAACGAAAGGGTTACTTTCCATGGCCTGGTGTCTCACATAAGTCTTTGGTGAGCGCTTCTTTGGTGAGCCTGTGTTTTCAGATGTGTTTGTCATGGAAGCCATCCCAAAAGCCGGCCGAAACCCAGCTTTAGGAAAGCTTTGGTTTGGTTGCGAAAGCAGAATCACTTGGTTGCTTTATGCCAAATGATTAACTATGCTGTAGGAAGGCGAAAGCAAGGACAAGACAACATAATCATTTGGTTGCTGTGCGCGCGTGTTCCTTTCCTTTCTGTCGCTTTTGCGTCCGCTTTGGCTTGGGGAGATCTGCCGGCCACCTCCAGAAACGGAAGTGTCAAAACTTCGGGACCCGTTGGGAACCGGGAAACCATGGGAACGGGACCAATTTCAGGAGGGGCAAGGGGCGAGTCAGGAAACAGAGTCACGAAACGGGTTGCACGAAGTCAGGAAACGGGTATGTCCAAGTCAGGAAACAGGTTGGGTCTTGTGAAGAACTATGTGGCGATCACGTTGCTGGGTCCCTTTCTTCTTCGCAGAGGTCTTGCGAAGTCTGCGGCGAATTGTTTTGCAGAATTCGCCCTTTGGGTGCCTAACAAGGTACCACTTGCATCGAACTTTCCTCTGTGAAAGGTGTCACGACTAGAAAGCACAACCTTCTCCCGACCAAAACTCAAAAAAGTTATCCACTGCGATCTAAGCTGCCAAGCACGCTGACGCTTGGCCGGAGGCGTGCACGGACAAGGATCCCTTTACGCTTGTCAACTGCAGCCATTCCGGGATCATTTTGCCCCCCCAAAGCATTAGCTCCTCGCAGCAAGATAATGCTAGTGGTCGGCTGTCTATCTTCCACAAGGTTATATGTGCAGCTATCAGGCAAGTGCATGTGCCTTTTGACTACAAAGCACATGAACAACGTAGGCTCGGAAAGGTCTCGCGCCAGCTTTCACCCCAAACCACACTCACACTTAACTTCCTGAGTGGCCAGAAGTCTAAATGTGAGTCTGGAAACGGCCCCGGAAACGGCAGGAATCTGAGTTGTGAAAAGTTTGGAGTCAAGTGAATAAGGTTTCGTGAGCCAGGAACGACCGTGAGTCCGGAAACGACGCGGAAACGACAGGAACAGGGCCGTTGTTCGGCTTCGTGGTTCTCGTTTTTTGTAATCGCGCGATGTACAAGCTTCTTTGAACGTTTGCTTTTCTACTGGGGGGGGGCTGCGCCCCCCCCAACCCCCCCGCTTCTTTATAGGGCCGTTGTGCGACTTTGTGATTCTGTTTTACAATCACGCATATTGTTCCATTAGTGTTTTTTTTCTATTGAGGGGGGACCACCCCCCCCCCCCCCCAACCCCCCGCTTCCTTGTAGACGCTGAGGAACTAAACCTAAACCCTAAGCCCTAAAAACCTAAACCTAATCTTAAGAACCCCAAACCTGAGCCCTAAAAACTTTAAACATAAACCTTAAAAGCCCCCTAAACCTAAACCCTAAAACACGAGCCTTTCCTTGACCTGGGCCAAGACGACATCAAGGCACAATACACAAAGCAAACGGCAAAGGACAAAGCATGCAGCGGCTTCTGTATACCCCTTTGCATTGCGCATGTCTCTTCATGCCTCCCCTCTCCGCTGATTCGAACAGCTTTGCACGCCAGGTTGTTCCTTGATCCGAGCCATGACGATGTCAAAGGAACGATGCACGAAGCACGCGTCAGAGAGGAAAGCACGCAGTGCCAGACTTGCATCCCAGCATCACCGCCAATTCAAAAGCTCTGACCGTGTTTCCTGACTCATGTTTCCGCGTTTCCTGACTCTCGTTTGCTGTTGCGATCTGAACATTTGTCACTTTCATTCTTGACTTGCCTCCAGTTGTTTCTTGACTCGCCCCTATCCATTTCTTGACTCATGTTTCCTGACACGGTCATTTGTTTCCTGCTTTGGCCTAGTCTCATTTCAGGAGACCCGTTTGGCTTTGGGCTGAATCGGGCTCGAAGTCTCAGCCGCTCTTTGCTTCCAAAGTACGGTTTCTACTTACTTTGCTTCCCCGCGAAAAGCGCGGAAGTGGATCACTTGCCGAACCCCAACATTTCTCCATGAGCAAATCTTTTGCACCTGTCTGTGCTAAGGAAAACCTCACGCGAGAGGAGCCTTGGCTCGCAGAACTGCACAAAACCTGTTTTGACGGAGACCCATTTGTTGCTCGCTTACTTAGGCGGTCTTGGACGAATCGCTAAGTGGTAAGTCACCCTGGTTGTGGGGGACGTACCACCAAGGCTTTAGTGGGTTACAACCAGGGTCACTACCCACTTAGCTAGCTCCCAGACCATCTAAGTACCAAGTTTCTGGACTTTGGTCACATTTTGGGAAGGCGATTTCCGCGAAGAAAGAAGTTGGAGTTTCTTCGGTCAACCTCAGGGAATGAGTCGGCATGTCCTCTTGGGAAACATTCGTCATTTTCTCCTGACCTATGTCCCTGTTTGGGTGGTCTGAACATTACTGTTTGGGCAAATGTCGATTGGGACATATTAAGAACAGTGTGGGTGAGCCAAGTATGATTTGCTACTACGCTGCTTAATAGGAGCCTCTCCCCAATCCGTGGAACATACATTTCAAATGGCGCTGTTGTGTTTGTGTTTGTGTCTGTATTTGTGTCCAAGCTTATGTCGAGTCTCCCGTCAATGAGCCCACATAAATGGTCGACAAACAAGTCTCCCTGCCGCGATCCAGATTTGAAATGGGCTGACCCCAGGGGTTGGTTTCCCGTTGATTTCCCTTTAACCATCAGGTCCCCAATAGAATCATCTCATATTGTCTTGCATGGGTTCTTCAATTTCGAACTTGTTTGGACCAACGTGGCAATACATCCCCACATAAATTTGACATGTGCAAAGGAAATCCACCCTGTCCTTTTTTTTGCATAATAGTGATCATTGATATCCCCCTGTTGTTCGCGGGAAGCGGTCATGACTGGCCAAGGACGAAGATCGGAAGTGGGTGTGTCTTTCTGAGCGTGCTCTTTCCGGGGTTGTTTCACAAGAAACGTCAAGTCAGTGGGACACCGGGCCACCACTTTAGGGGTCCATATCCAGAGTCAAGTCCGGGGAGGCGAAACACGCTTTGAACAAGAGCGCCATGTCAAGGGTCAACCGTTTCAGGGATGAAGCAGAGTTCTGTGTTCAGTTCAGAACCCAGATGGGCTTGGGTGTGTGTGTGTGTGTGTTTGCATGTGTCAAAGCAACGCAACCCCAAAATAGAGTTTTACTTTGTGATATTGTAGCGTCCCTTTAAACCAATCTGACAGGCTTCCAACTCAGAAAGCAGAAAACCCTGCCCTATCACCAACAATGAAATTAACTGAGGGTACAGACCCATTCAGATTCGGCAAACGCAACCCCCTTTGAAGACAATTGCACAAACATCCATTCGAACAGCGAAACAATCAGAGAGGCAACTTCTTCAAAGTGACCGTCCTGAACGTTTTCGATTTTCCGAGGTCGGGGACGGAACGCGCTGCCACGGCGCAGTGCGCTTCCAAATTGCCGTGCCCAAGGGTACGCCCTGCCTCTTGCGGTTCCAGGTGCAATGCGATTCGGGTATCCGGGATCCGGGTTGGTCTCAATAGGAATTGGACCAACATGGAATAGGGTGGCTCGTTTTTTTGTGAGAGCCCTTTTTTGATTTGCTGCAAGGAAAACCGATGCCATTTTGCGGGGGTCCCTTAAAAAGCACACCCAGAATAGGGTTTCTGTTTTTTGGAGTTTACCCTTTTCAAGTTGGTGTTTGATGGTAAATCAAAGGAAACCCGAACGAAATCCACGGGGTCCGATTCCTATTTGGCACACCAACAGGTTTCCGTCCTGTGGTGCTTCCTAGCTTCGTAGCTTTGCCCAAGCTCTCTCCCTTCCCCAAAGGGGGCGCCCATGGTTTCGGGGACCCACATAGTCGAATTCGGAGCCTTATGCAACCCAAAGCGGATGCCCAAAACACGCGCAGGTTGGGCTTTCCTAATGTTTGCTTTTGAGGGCTGCTGTGATCAAGCCGGAAGTCAAAGTAGAACATCCAAGTTCAGTGACAGGCACTGCCTTTTGAATTTTTGGTTGATCCCTTTTGGTCCGTGTTGAGTCAAGGTCCCTCAAGGTACTCCAGTGCAAATTGGGTGCTTTCCACCTTGGACATATCCCTTTGAAGAATCCCTGGGCCTCCTTTAGGGTCGACGAACTGTAACGAATCCAAAACTAGTTCTGCTTTAGGATAGACGACAGATACAACAGAGATGGAACATATGATTCCCGGTGTACCTGTCACCCCCCACACCTGGCTCACTTTTGCCAGGTGCGACAGAACTCAGAACACAGCGCAGTGGAGGTTCAGCAGCTCGGAAGCAGATTGGCCCATCCAAGCAATGGGACACCGCAAATGTGTCTGTGTGTGTGTGTGTGTGTGTGTTTGTGTTTGTGTGCGTTTGTGTGTCTTTGCGCGTGTGTGCCTGTCTCTGTCTGTGTGTGTTTTGTGTTGTTTGTTTGTTTGTTTGTTTGTTTGTTTGTTTGTTTGTTTGTTTGTTTGTTTGTTTGTTTGTGTGTGTGTGTGTGTGTGTGTGTTTGTGTTTGTCTGTGTTTCTGTGCTTCTGTGCATCTTTGTGCGTGTGTGCCTGTGTGCGTCTGTGTGTCCGTGTGTGCCTGCGTGCGTGCGTGCGTGCGTGCGTGCGTGCGTGCGTGCGTGCGTGCGTGCGTGCGTGCGTGCGTGCGTGCGTGGGTGTGTGGGTGTGTGGGTGTGTGTGTGTGTTTGTTTGTGTTTGTCTGTGTTTGTGTGCGTCTGTGTGTGTGTGTGTTTGTGTTTGCGTGTGTGTGTGTTTGTGTGTTTGTTTGTGTTTGTTTGTGTTTGTTTGTGTTTGTGTGCGTTTGTGTGTTTTTGTGCGTGCGTGCCTGTGTGCATCTGTATATGTGTGTGTGTGTGGGTGTGTGTGTGTGTGTGTTTGTGTGCGGCGTGTGTCTTTGTGCGTGTGTGCCTGTGTGCGTCTGTCTGTGTGCGTCTGTGTGTGTGTTTATGTGTGTGTGTGTGTGTGTGTTTGTGTTTGTGTGCGGCTGTGTGTGTCTTTGTGCGTGTTTGCCTGTGTGCGTCTGTCTCTGTGTGTTTGTGTGTGTGTTTGTGTGTGTGTGTGCGTTTGTGATTGTCTGTGTCTGTATGCGCCTGTGTTTCTTTGTGCGGGTGTGCCTGTGTGCGTTTGTGTGTGTGTGTGTGTGTTGTTTTTTTGTGTGTGTGTGTGTTTGTGTTTGTGTGCGTCTGTGTCTCTTTGTGCGTGTGTGGCGGTCGCGGGTTCGCTTCGGTCCTAGTTGCTGGCTCGCTTCGGTCCTAGTTTTCATCTCGCTTCGGTCCTAGTTTCCTTACTCGCTTCGGTCCTAGTTTCTTCGCCGTTGACTATGGTGTTTGAGAGGCAACATCCTTGTCGACCCCACCCCACCCGGCATGTCTTGTTGTTAGGTGTTTGAGAGGCAACATCCTTGTCGACCCCACCCCGCCCGGCATGTCTTGTTGTTAGGTGTTTGAGAGGCAACATCCTTGTCGACCCCACCCCGCCCGGCATGTCTTGTTGTTAGGTGTTTGAGAGGCAACATCCTTGTCGACCCCACCCCGCCCGGCATGTCTTGTTGTTAGGTGTTTGAGAGGCAACATCCTTGTCGACCCCACCCCGCCCGGCATGTCTTGCTGTTAGGTGTTTGAGAGGCAACATCCTTGTCGACCCCACCCCACCCGGCAGTTCTTGTTGTTAGGTGTTTGAGAGGCAACATCCTTGTCGACCCCACCCCACGCGGCATGTCTTGTTGTTAGGTGTTTGAGAGGCAACACCCTTTGCGTGTGTCCTGTTGTTAGTGCTCAAAAAGCTATCTTCCACTGCGCCTGAAGTGATCCAAAAATTGCGACAGAAGTGATCCGCAAATGCTCAAACTACGACCAAAGTGAGTGGATTTCAGCTGCGACCAAAGTGATCCAAAAACTGCGACCAAAGTGATCCCCCCGCCGTGTGTGGCTGTGTGCGTCTGTGTGTGTGTGTGTGTGTGTTTGTGTGTGTGTGTGTGTGTTTGTGTTTGTTTCTGTTTGTGTGCGTGTCTTTGTGCGTGTGTGCCTGTGTGCGTCTGTGAGTGTGTTTGTGTTTGTCTGTGTTTGCGTGCGTCTGTGTCTCTTTGTGCGTGTGTGGCTGTGTTCCTCAGTGTGTGTGTGTGTGTTTGTGTGTGTGTGTTTGTTCTTGTCTGTGTTTGTGTGCGTGTGTGTCTTTGCGCGTGTGCCTGTGTGCGTCTGTGTGTGTGTGTGTTTGTGTGTGTGTGTTTGTGTTTGTGTGTGTTTGTGTGCGTCTGTGTGTATTTGTTCATGTGTGCCTGTGTGCGTCTGTGTGTATGTGTGTGTGTTTGTGTGTGTGTGTGTTTGTGTTTGTCTGTGTTCGTGTGCGTCTGTGTGTCTTTGTGCGTGTGTGCCTGTGTGCGTCTGTGTGTGTGTGTTTGTGTGTGTGTTTGTGCGTGTGTGTTTGTGTTTGTGTGCGTCTGTGTCTCTTTGTGCGTGTGTGTGTGTGTCTGTGTGTGTGTGTTTGTGTGTGTGTTGTTTGCTTGTGTTTGTGTGCGTCTGTGTGTCTTTGTGCGTGTATGTCTGTGTGCGTCTGTGTGTCTTTGTGCCTGCGTGCGTCTGTGTGTGTGTGTTTGTGTTTGTCTGTGTTTGTGTGCGTCTGTGTGTCTTTGCTCGTGTGTGCCTGTGTCCGTCTGTGTGTGTGTGTGTGTTTGTGTGTTTGTTTGTGTTTGTGTGCGTCTGTGTGTCTTTGTGCGTGTGTGCCTATGTGCGTCTCTGTGTGTGTTTGTGTGTGTGTTTGTGTTTGTCTGTGTTTGTGTGCATCTGTGTGTCTTTGTGCGTGTGTGCCTGTGTGCGTCTGTGTGTGTGCGTTTGTGTGTGTGTGTGTGTGTTTGTTTGTCTGTGTTTATATACGTTTGTGTGTCTTTGTGCGTGTGTGCCTGTGTGTGCGTGCGTGCGTGCGTGCGTGCGTGGGTGTGTGGGTGTGTGGGTGTGTGTGTGTGTGTGTGTTTGTGTTTGTCTGTGTTTGTGTGCGTCTGTGTGTCTTTGTGGTGTGTGGCTGCATGCGTCTGTGTGTGTGTGTTTGTGTTTGCGTGTGTGTGTGTGTGTTTGTGTGTTTGTTTGTGTTTGTGTGCGTTTGTGTGTCTTTGTGCGTGTGTGTTTGTGTGTGTGTTTGTGTTTGTCTGTCTTTGTGCGTGTCTGTGTGTCTTTGCGTGTGTGTGCCTGTGTGCGTCTGTGTGTCTTTGTGCGTGTGTGCCTATGTGCGTCTTATTTTTTGTGTGTGTTTGTGTTTGTCTGTGTTTGTGTGCGTCTGTGTGTCTTTGTGTGTGTGTGTACCTGCGTGCGCCTGTGTGTCTTTGTCCGTGTGTGCCTGTGTGCGGTTGTGCGTGTTTGTGTTTGTCTGGGTTTGTGTGCGTCTGTGTGTTCTTGTTTGTGTGTGCCTGTGTGCATCTGTGTGTGTGTGTTTGTGTGTGTGCGTGTTTGTTTGTGTTTGTGTGCGTCTGTGTGTCTTTGTGTGTGTGTGCCTGTGTGCGTCTCTCTGCCTCTGTGTGTGTGTGTGTGTGTCTTTGTGCTTGTCTGTGTTTGTTTGCGTCTGTGTTTCTTTGTTCGTTTGTGCCTGTGGCGTCTGTGTGTGTGTGTTTGTGTTTGTGTTTGTGTTTGTGTGCGTCTGTGTGTCTTTGTGCGTGTGTGCCTGCGTGCGTCTGTGTATGTGTGTGTGTTTGTGTTTGTTTGTGTTTGTGTGCGTGTCTTTGTGCGGGTGTGCCTGTGTGCGTCTCTGTGTGTGTGTTTGTGTGTTTGTTTGTGTTTGTCTGTGTTTGTGTGCGTCCGTGTGTCTTTGTGCTTGTGTGCCTGTGTGCGTCTGTGTGCGTCTGTTTGTGTGTGTGTGTTTGTGTGTGTGTGTTTGTGTTTGTCTGTGTTTGTGTGCGTCTGTGTTTGTGTGCGTCTGTGTGTCTTTGTGCGTGTATGTCTGTGTGTCTGTGTGCGTCTGTGTGCCTTTGTGCGTGTGTGCCTGTGGGCGTCTGTGTGTGTGCGTTTGTTTGTGTTTGTGTGTGTTTGTTTGTGTTTGTGTGCGTCTGTGTGTCTTTGCGTGTGTGTGTGTGCCTTTGTGTGTGTGCCTGTGTACTTAGTGTGTGTGTGTGTGTGTTTCTGCTTGTGCCTGTGCCTGTGTGTATCTGCGTGTTTGTGCGCGTCTGTATGCGTCTGTGTGTGCGTGTCTGTGCGCGTCTGTGTCTGCATGTGTGTTTGCCTGCGTGTGCGTTTGTGTATGTGTCTGTGTCTGTATGCGTCTGTGTGTCGTTGTGTGTGTGTGTGCCTGTGTGCGTGTGTTTGCTTCTTCGTGTGTCTGTGCCTGTCTGTCTCTGTGAGTCTGTGTGTCTTTGTTTGTCTGTGTCTGCACGTGTGATTGCCTGCGTCTGTGTGAGTGTTTCTGCCTGTGTCTGTGTTTCTGTGTGTCTGTATGCGGCTGTGTGCGTCGGTGTGCGTCTGTGTGTGTGTTCCTGCCTGTGTCTGTGCTTGTCTGTCTCTGTCTGTCTCTGTGTGTCTCTGTGTGTCGCTGTGTCTGTGCGCTTCTCTGTCTGCATGTGTGTTTGCCTGCGTCTGTGTGTGTGTGTGTTTGTGTGTGTCTGTGTTTGTGTGCGTCTGTGTGTCTTTGTGTGTGTGCCTGTGTGTGTAGTGTGTCTGTGTGTGTGTCTGTTTCTGCCTGTGTCTGCGCCTGTCTCTGTTTGTGTGTGTGTCTGTGTGCGTCTGTGTCTTCATGTGTGCTTGCCTACGTCTGTGTGTCTTGTGTGTGTGTGCCTCTGTGCGTGCGTGTGTGTGTGTGTGTTTGTTTGTGATTGTGTGCGTCTGTGTGTCTTTGTGCGTGTGTGCCTGTGTGCGTCTTTGTGTGTTTGTGTTTGTGTTTGTCTGTGTTTGTGTGCGTCTGTGTGTCTTTGTGTGTGTGTGCCTGCGTGCGCCTGTGTGTCTTTGTCCGTGTGTGCCTGTGTGCGTGTGTGCATGTTTGTGTTTGTCTGGGTTTGTGCGCGTCTGTGTGTTCTTGTTTGTGTGTGCCTGTGTGCGTCTGTGTGTGTGTGTTTGTGTGTGCGTGTTTGATTGTGTTTGTGTGCGTCTGTGTGTCTTTGTGTGTGTGCCTGTGTGCGTCTCTCTGCCTCTGTGTGTGTGTGTCTTTGCGCTTGTCTGTGTTTGTTTGCGTCTGTGTTTCTTTGTTCGTTTGTGCCTGTGTGCGTCTGTGTGTGTGTGTGTTTGTGTGTTTGTGTTTGTGTGCGTCTGTGTGTCTTTGTGCGTGTGTGCCTGCGTGCGTCTGTGTATGTGTGTGTGTGTGTGTTTGTGTGTTTGTGTTTGTTTGTGTTTGTGTGCGTGTCTTTGTGCGGGTGTGCCTGTGTGCGTCTCTGTGTGTGTGTGTGTGTGTTTGTGTTTGTCTGTGTTTGTGTGCGTCCGTGTGTGTTTGTGCTTGTGTGCCTGTGTGCGTCTGTGTGTGTGTGTTTGTGTGTGTGTGTTTGTGTTTGTCTGTGTTTGTGCGCGTCTGTGTTTGTGTGCGTCTGTGTGCCTTTGTGCGTGTATGTCTGTGTGCGTCTGTGTGCCTTTGTGCGTGTGTGCCTGTGGGCGTCTGTGTGTGTGTGTGTGTGTTTGTTTGTGTTTGTTTGTGTTTGTGTGCGTCTGTGTGTCTTTGCGTGTGTGTGTGTGCCTTTGTGTGTGTGCCTGTGTACGTAGTGTGTGTGTGTGTGTGTTTCTGCCTGTGCCTGTGCCTGTGTGTATCTGCGTGTTTGTGTGCGTCTGTGTGCGTCTGTGTGTGCGTGTCTGTGCGCGTCTGTGTCTGCATGTGTGTTTGCCTGCGTGTGCGTTTGTGTATGTGTCTGTGTCTGTATGCGTCTGTGTGTCGTTGTGTGTGTGTGTGCCTGTGTGCGTCTGTTTGCTTCTGCCTGTGTCTGTGCCTGTGTGTGTGTGTGTGCGAGTCTGTGTGCGTTTGTTTGTTTGTGTCTGCACGTGTGTTTGCCTGCGTCTGTGTGAGTGTTTCCGCCTGCGTCTGTGTGTGTGTTCCTGCCTGTGTCTGTGCCTGTCTGTCTCTGTGTGTCTCTGTGTGTCGCTGTGTCTGTGCGCTTCTCTGTCTGCATGTGTGTTTGCCTGCGTCTGTGTGTGTGTGTGTTTGTGTTTGTCTGTGTTTGTGTGCGTCTGTGTGTCTTTGTGTGTGTGCCTGTGTGTGTAGTGTGTCTCTGTGTGTGTTTCTGCCTGTGTCTGCGCCTGTCTCTGTTTGTGTGTTTGTGTCTGTGTGAGTCTGCGGCTGCATGTGTGTTTGCCTGCGTCTGTGTGTGTGTCTGTGTGTTTGTGTTTGCGTGTCCGTGTGCGTCTGTGTGTCTTTGTGTGTGTGTGTGTGTGCCTGTGTGCGTCTGTGTGCGTGTGTTTCTGCCTGTGTCTGTGCCGGTGTGTCTCTGTGTGTCTCTGTGTCTGTGCGCGTGTGTGTCTGCATCTGTGTTTGCCTGCGTCTGTGTGTGTGTGTTTTTGTTCGTGTGCGCCTGTGTGCGCCTTTGTGTGTGTGCTTCTGCCTGTGTCTGTGCCTGTGTGTGTGCGTGCGTGTATCTCTGTATGTCTGTGTGCGTCTGTGTGTCTTAGTGTGTGTGTGTGCGTCTGTGTGCGTGTTTGCGCCTGTGTTTGTGACTGTGTGTGTGTGTGTCTGTGTGTCTGTGTGAGTCTGTGTCTGCATGTGTGTTTGCCTGCGTCTGTGTGTGTCTGTGTGTTTGTGTTTGCGTGTCCGTGTGCGTCTCTGTGTCTTTGTATGTGTGTGTGCCTGTGTGCGTCTGTGTGCGTGTGTTTCTGCCTGTGTCTGTGCCGGTGTGTCTCTGTGTGTCTCTGTGTCTGTGCGCGTGTGTGTCTGCATCTGTGTTTGCCTGCGTCTGTGTGTGTGTGTTTTAGTTCGTGTGCGCCTGTGTGCGCCTTTGTGTGTGTGTTTCTGCCTGTGTCTGTGCCTGTGTGTGTGTGCGTGCGTGTATCTCTGTATGTCTGTGTGCGTCTGTGTGTCTTAGTGTGTGTGTGTGTGTGTGTGTGCGTCTGTGTGCGTGTTTGCGCCTGTGTTTGTGCCTGTGTGTGTGTGTGTCTGTGTGTCTGTGTGAGTCTGTGTCTGCATGTGTGTTTGCCTGCGTCTGTGTGTGTCTGGGTGTTTGTTGGTTTGTCTGTCTGTTTTTTTGTCTCTCGGTCTCTCTGAACCATCCAAACCTGTGTTTGTTTCCTTCCAAAAGCAGCCTTATCCTTCAGCTTTCCCACCCCGGCTTTCCCACCTCCGTTAAACGAGTCCCAAGCAGGGAAGGGCAAAAATTGCTCACAGCCAGCAATCTTTTTACCTGTTTTGGAGGACAAGCCTGGTGGCACCTCCCGGGTTAGTCTCAAGCCTAGGTGGTCTTTTGGGAAAAAAAGGCTGGGATTCCCCCGTAAATGGACCACCCATCAGTGGAACCCATCGATGTTTGATCAATCTAACCTATGGCAAGATCTGGCATCCAAAAACCCCAGGCTTGGGCCCCACCGGGTGGCGCTGCCGGCGAAGGCTTCGCGCTGGACCTGGATCGAGCGCAGCTTTGAGGCGCCCACCCGGGCCCTGGACTTGATGCGCCTCGCCATTGTGTCGGGACGCGTTGGGCGCGTCTTTCTGTCGCTAGGAATCGGAGACTCCCAAAACGGGAAAGCCACCGTGGTTTTCACGGGCTTCCTGCAAAAAACACCAGAAAGCAGGTCGCCTGAAACTTGCCAAGAAGTTTGTCACTCACATTGTCAGGGAACAAAAAGCAGGAGGTTTGGGAAATGGCGTGACCCGTTGTAGAAGCCATTTTGCTTGTTGAAAGGGTGAATGAACAGCGATCCCGACTATAGGTCGCACTTTTCCTCTAGTTGTGGGGTGCCTGTGAGCTAAGCGTGCCAAGCTTAAAGAGAGCCATCAGCCGATCATCAGCCCTGTGGCAGGCTTGGCAGATGGCTTGTGAGATCCTTTCAAGCCCACAGCCAAACTTTTGCGCAACACCCTTGGAGCGTAAATCGTCGCATCATAGTTCAGCCGGGACAGCCGCAAGCAAGCCTCTGACCTTATCGATTTGTCTTTGGTGTTAGCTGAGCTGGTGTTTTCCTCCAAGTAGCTGCGCCAGGGTGCCACTTGCCGCCCACGGGTGAATTGAGTGTTTCTGACTGCGGGGGCACTGGTGCATGCTCTCGCACGCTTGTGAGCTAAGCGTGACAAGCTTAAAGAGAGCCATCAACCCTGCGGCAAGTTTGGTGGATGGCTTGTGAGATCCTTTCAAGCCTTCAGCCAAACTTTTGTGCAACAGGTCCAGTGCCCATTGTGCCAGCTGTCGGTGGCTTCCCCCCAAGAAGTTGCATGATAGTGCTAGTAGACTCGGGGCACAACCACTTGCAAACCGCATGGCAGCTGCGTCAGCATTTTCATGACAGCAAGCTATCTGCAGAGCCTCGTCCCTGTGCGCCCATGCCTCCTTAAAGGCGCAGTGCCCATTGCAGCGCGTCGCTAGCTGTTCTCCAAGTAGCCTTTGCGGAGGGTGATTAAGCAGTGAGGATGTGTGGACTGCGCGCACCTCTCTCACACTTTGCTTGCGCGCAGAGAGTGAGTGGATCTCTTCAGTGCCATGCAGCGGCTGCACTTGCAGCCGCGCGCGTTCACAAAGGCATGTAAGCGGAAGGATTCCGGGCGCCGGCAGAGCAGTTGTGGAAATTAGGCATAGCGAAGAGCTGTAATAGCAAACCCGGCCGCACGCCAGAAACTTGACTGGCTGCTCATGCGTGTCACGAAGCGCGAGCGCGGCCAGCAGGTGAACAAGGGGTTTTTGAGAGATTGTGGGCAAAATCACGTCCTCACTGCTTGGGAGAGCTAGTTCAAGAGTTTGGCTGGCTCGAAAAGATCTCACAAGCCATCTGTCAAGCCTGCCGCAGGGCCGATGGATCTCTTTAAGCTTGGCACGCTTAGCTCACAAGCGTGCGAGAGCATCACCAGTGCCCCCGCAGTCAGAAACACTCAATTCACCCGTGGGCGGCAAGTGGCACCCTGGCGCAGCTACTTGGAGGAAAACACCAGCTCAGCTCACACCAAAGAAAAAGGTCGAAAAGGTCAGAGGCTAGCTTGCGGCTGTCCCGGCTAAAATATGATGCGATCTGGTGCAATTTTGGCATGGAGAATGCGAGCGCGCCCTCGCGACCAAGTGCATTTGACCCGAATGCTGGGACGCAAGGCCCTACGACTCAGGTTTTGAGTCGTGTGAGCAGTGAGCTAAAGTTGCTCATTCGGAGAGCAAAACGCGACAGGGATTGACATTCCCCTTCTGACCCTTTGACCCAGGCTTTCTTTTTTGAATCCGGTGGTTGATCTTCCCCAGCCCCTGGTCCCTATCTAAGCCAAGAAACAGCGAAGAACAAATACAGGAGATCATTTTGGTCGGTTGCCGCGAGCCCATTTTCCAAGGGGAAATTCCTTCGTGTTACCGGCGAACGTCTGGCAATTCGATCCGAGGATCTCCCCAGAGGCGGGCGCCTGCACGGAGCTGCGCAAGGTGCACTTCGCCACCTGCCAGGACGAGATCTCTCTCGTGACTGTCGTGATTTCTGTGTTGAAACCCATTGCAATGGTCCCCTCCCCCAAAATGAAGGTTTTTGGCTAGGGGCGGGTTGTTTTTTTGGGGCGCCATGTTTTGCTTGGAGTGTAGTATAGGTATGAATTTAAAAGGCATCCCAAAAGTGCTTGCTGGACATAAATCCCCGCTGAGATTTGATGTCTACCAGAGGGCCCCATTGAAATGTCATAGCTATCATATACCAAAATGTAAGGTTGAAAAACAAGAGCGACGTTTCTGGGGTCTCTCCCCCTTATGATTTTAGAATTTACAGCCGACTAGATGAATCCCCCCCCCCCCCCAACTAATTGCAATTTGGGGGCGGTGGCCCAATTATGGGGGTGGGGGTGTGAAATTGCAACAAACTACCTCGACAGCCACCCCAGTGTTGCATGTTTTTTCCCGTTGTATGGGATTGCTTTTGTTTTGGTTACCAAGTTCTTTCTCTTTTTTCCCGATTTCTGGAGCTTTTTTTATTTTTCCGGGGTGGCCCGCCCTGCAAAAATCGGTGCAAAAACCACCGCTAAGGTCTTCTGAAATGCATCTTCGCGTTTCGCTTGATCCCTCCTGGGTGCCGTGCGCGGAAGAAACAAACACAGACAGACCTCTGTTGTTTGGCATTTTGAACATATTTTACTTGGCGTCTTACATCTGCGTAAGAGCTGGAAATTGCAATGCGCTGGGGATACCCGGGGTCGAATTGCAATATTGCATTTTTTGGACCCCACCCCCCTTAGCCCCCGGATACCAGATGGAGTTTCTCGAATGAAGCCTTTTAGTTGGGATGGAAAGGGACCAGGAAGCCAACCACTTCTAGGTGCTTATTTTGAGAAGCACCCAAGTATCGGTGTAGCCACGAGTCGAAGCCAAGAAGCGGTTTCGACCCTGGGATTTTTCAGAAACGCCTCGATGAGTTGTGGGTGGTTCAGCCTAAGCATTAGACACGAATCAACCAGGGATTGTTCAGAAAAAAATGCATGAGTTTTGTTTTGTGCTTCAGCTAAGCATTGGATATTATTTGCCAATCCAGAGAGTTCTTATTGTTGGTGTCCCATTAATTGGATGGATACAAGTTGGCTACACCCCATGGTTGACTGGGTGCAAGTGGTCGCCTGGTTCACTCTGTAAGTTGTCCGACCTGACAACCTGGTTTTCAGAAAGATGGCCTGTAGTCGGAAGTGCACTGTTAGTGGGAGGTGCAGTACCTTAGTTCCAAGAAATTAGCAGGACATTGGACATCAGCTTGTTTTGTTGTGGGTATTCAAGGCCAATTGCAAGGCCAATTCCTAGATCGCTGGTGTCCATGATTATTACTGGAGTGTCCTCCAAAACTACGGAAAAAACCTAGACAAAATAGGGAACAGGGTCAGAAAAGGAAGATCTCGTTTTCTGTGTACCCCCTTTTTTTCTCGTTGCCATTCGACAAATGTTTGGTGGCCTCCGAATTAAAATGTTGTCCGGGATTCCTCTTGGAACCGGTGGACCGGAATATCCGGTGATTCCCCAGAGGGTGTTGGGTACTGGGTAACCCACGTGACATTTCTTTAGTGGTGTCTTTGAGGCTTTGGTAGGCCGAGGTTTTCAGGAGGACTCCCAAGCCCATGGGCCCTGTTGGGAACCCACATCCTCCGCAAGTCAACACACAACCCCGTAAAATGCAGGGGGCACCCCTACGGAAAAGGCCGGCGAAAAGGATCGTCACAAGAGACCCGTGGGTTGTAAGAGACCTGCGCTCCCAAGACAGTTTTGGGGATGGCAATGTTTACCCCCCCCTCCGGCAACCGTTTTTCTTGATCAGAGGGGAATCTCCTGCAGGGCTTCTTTTCGTCCAACCAACCAGGACCACACTGCCGCAGCGTTAGCCTCGGAGGTGGGAGTCGAGGGGTTTGGAATCGGAGAAAATTGGCCCCACATCTTTGGGGTGGCATGCCCATTCGTCCATCCCTTGTGTTTTGTCTTCTTTATTTGCTTGGCTTTCAGGGAGGGGAGGATGGATCTCAACTACCAACGAACTCATTCAGCACTCTTTGAGTCAACGTGTCGGGATCTAATATGAAAGAACCAAGGGTTTTGGGGTGGGAGGTCTGAAGCGATCAAACTCTAGGATCAAAACCGCATCATGCGAGATCAGTAGGAGAAAGGCAAGTTGGTTGTTGCGAGGCAGGACTCCAAGCGCCTGAACCGAAGGCAATGCGTTCTCAAACCACTTTGGGGGTTTGTCGTGAACTCAACGCCCTTGGACACCCTTGAGTAGACTTACGCCGCCCCGAAGGCGACGTTCAAAGGGAGTCAGCATAATGGAATTTGCAATGTAATGGGCTCCCTATCACCGGCAGGCGAAACGAGGAGTTTTTCACTTTGGCCCCTCTTTTGACGCGAAGCATGTCCTGATGAAACAAACTTGGCAACACCAGAAGGCATTAGAGGTGATCCGGATCCCTTTGAAATTGGAAATCCCCTTCGCCATCAAGGGGCTAGGTTTTGAGCTGGCAGGCGATTTTCCTGTCCGGAACTCGCTTTCATCGGCGGATCCTGGTCCAAATCTCTCGGTTTCTCTTTCGAATGGATGGATTCGCAGCTCATTGGAGGTGCCCGTCTTGTTTCAATCTTCGCTGGAGTTTGACCTCAGCAAGTGGCTTTGGCTCAAGGTGAACCCGAAAACGAGTGCCACGTGTCCTTGCTTTACGTGGCATTCTTGTGTCATACCTGGAGCCGTCCAAGCAAACCTAAGCAGCAAGGGGTGCTCCAACATGCTTGCCACAGCCAAATGAGAGCTCCTTGGCGCTGAAGCATTTTGGTTTGGGGCTACTTTCCCAGCGGCAATATCAAGTTCACCAAACGTCAACCTAAAGGAATGAACTTATATACACCTGTACCCCCAAAAGACGGTTTGTTCCAGGCTTTCACGTTTTTCGGGCGAAGACACAAACCGCATCTCAACGACACAACTTGGGCGTCGTTTTGCGTCGTTTTGCGTTGCTTTCGTGTTGTGTTTTGCTGCTTGCACGTCATGTTTTCAGGGGCGCCACATGCTGCAAACAGGGGAGACTGAAGAAACCATCCATGCAGGGTCCAGGTCCAGGCATATGGCTGTGGGTCAAAACCAATGGTACCATTTTGGGGTAGGGGCACCACCCATTGTTGTCTATTTTTAGTGGGGATTGGGATGTTCACTGGGGGTACAGGCTTTTGCCCCATGGCCATATGTCTGTTGAGTCTCTCGGACCAGCATCGCCAAGTGTTTGATCCAGGACCACACCACCGCTGTCTTGGCCTCTGAGGCGGGAAAGTTCCGAGTGACCTGGAGTCTCCTTCTGACCCTTAAAAAATGGTTGGTCACCCAAAATAATGGGGTCATGGACCTATGTTCAAGGGTGGAGAGTCTAGGCATTGGCTTGGATGGCGCGCCGCTTCTCCCCTGGCCCTTCGCACCGTTTCCTGGAAGGTTGGGAATGAAACATCGGATTCCGCTTCCGTTTCAATCGGGGGTTCGAATCTGCTCCAGACCTGTGCCTATGTGGGTGTGTCTTTTTTGTACCCCTTCTCGAGTGGTTCAAAGGGGAAACCAGAAGGATAACCGAACCAGCATGTTTGGGGGTCCACCAAAAACAGACACGCCAGCCACGTTGGCGTGCACTAGAAATAAAGGTGAGCATCGGTATGGATTCAGCCAGGGGGAGAAGCATGTCGGATTCGGGGAGCATTTGTGAGGTTCCCAATGTTGGCACGCCATTTGGACCCAATACAGGGCCATACAGGAACCCCTGCACATAAACGAATTCCTTGTCAGCACCGGTTCCCGTGCAGCATTGAATCGGTAGCAAGAAGTCCGTAACCAAGGTGGTTGCCCATGATGCCGGAAGCCCTCTTGCAGACCTCGATGTTGTTTTTTCGCCAAAAAGAACCAAAAGGAGCACTTCTTTCTGCTTCCCACAGCATTCACATCGTCTTTGGAGACAAACCCATCTAAAAATCTTCACCCGTTCTTCTTCCAAGACCTGTATTTATTTTAGGGAATCTTCTTATTTAAGCCTGATGAAACAAACAATTGTAAGTCACCCATCGCCCATCGTCAAGCAATCCTTATCACCCCGCCTATAATCTTGGTTTATCCCTTGCCAAGTAGCTTGAATCTGAGAAACCTGCAGCAAAAGTTCTAGAAGATCGAATCAAATCCCATGTCCTGCTGGTTGCTTGATTTTTCACATCCAAGTCGACGGCAGGGAGAGAAGCCTCGGCTGGCCTTCAGCAGACAGGGCATTGGCCCAGGGCCTTAGCCGGCAAGCAATAGCTTGTGGTGCATCATATATTTATACCTGGACCCTCAAACCATCAAGAATGGAATCCAACCCTAATTTTGAGGCAACATGCCATGCTCATGCTCAAGGGAATTTTGAGGGTCCAGGTATACACCATGGCGATGTTCATGTTGATTGAGTTATGTCAGGGCCAGGCTCAAATTGCAATTTGTTCATGGTGACAAAATGAAAGTCCTGGAGAAACTTGTATCATGCCCGTGGCCGCAACGCCAAGGTACACCGGGGGACAAGTCCGAGCAGGACACGGTGACGGCACGCATCATCAGTCGGCTCCCGTGCCAGGTTTGCGGGCATGTTCATGAATCTGGTCTGATTGAATTGAAGGGCCCCATGATGCTTATTTGGGGTTGACCTACAATCTACAAAGCTCACAGACCGAAGTATGCTGGAAATGGCCATCCCTCACACCCTGGCAAGGAAGCAGGATGGGTGTATGCAGCTCACGGATGGACAGGGAAGCCGTGGAGTAGCAACCCTTTTTGGACCTGAAGTCAGCGCTGCCAGGCTAGGAATGACTCTATGTATATATATATATATATGTATATATCGTCTTTTGGTATGTGTTGTTTTGCCGGAGGATTTAAGCGTTACTTAGGTGTTGGAACTGTTTTTTGCTGGGTAGATGCGAGTCCAGGCCGGTCGGGTTCCAGGAGCTCTTCCTTGCAACTAGATTAATAAGCCCAGGCATACCCAACAGCCCTGGAACCTCCTGGAACCCTCCTTTTGAACCCTCCCGAATTACGCTTATTTGGGCAGATATCCCAAGCTTTGAGCTGTTGGGGAAGAAGAGACTTGCGTGTGTAAGCATCATATTTGCGACTAAGAATCTGCAAATGCGTCATGTGGCCCCGGCAAGCATGGTTCCGGCAAGCATGGTTGACTTGTTGCTCGTCCATCGTTCCGGGGAGAATGTTGACGATCTCTCACTGGAGCATCAGGATGCTGTGGGATGGGTCACGCTTGGTGTGTTGTGTCATCTTTCACAGGCCTAGAGTTCGATGATCTTACTCTAGCATTTTTTTGCGGTTGTTCGAACGATAGAATCTGATTCACAGTTGCACCCTCAAACTGCCATATCAGTCTTTGCCTTGTGTCAGCCACTCAGTTTGCGAGGACGGACAGAGTTCGGATGGTGAGAAGAGTTCGGATGGCGAGAAGAGTTCAGGCGAGTCGCAAACGGCCAGCCCGGGCACTTAGCTGAGACTCTCGTTGTCTCGAAGCGTCCTGCGGGAACGGCGCATGTTGATCGGATCATGTGTGCCACGGTCAAACGGCCCCTTTTCCGCAGCCATTTTGGCTCAAGCAAATACAAAGACAGGCCACGATCCTCTTTGCCACCAGAGCTCTTCGGACAACCTGAGTTTTCATGGCGAGCACGGACCCTCTGAAGCTCACAACGGACTTGGCTACGTTCAAGGAGACGAAGCTTGCGAAGTTGGACACATCAGCATCGCGCACCCTTGCGATCACTCGCATGGCCAATCTGACCACGGGCACGGGGACTCCTGCTACAGAAATGACTGAGCAGGTAGTATGCGAAAATCTGCGCAAGGATGGACAGACTCCATATACGGCTCCCCAAATGCTTGTTTGAGGAGGAGCTCGATGTGGAGGGCGACTTCGCTCATGGCGCGAATGGCCTCTCGGATCTGACGAATCTCATCGCGCTTCTCAGGACGATCGCTGTTCACTTGGGCACGGCAGAGAACAGGTCAGGGACCCTCAAAGGTGCGCGAACCTACACTGCGACGACCACAAGCCCGACGGCCAGGATCCTCACACCACAAGAACCCGCAGGTCTACTGCAGTTCGAGGGACATGAAAATTTCTGCTGCACACCGCAGTTTTCCCGACTTGGAGGGCCGAAAAGTGCTGGACAGACGAGTCGTCGGCCGACAGCGACCTGCAAGTTGGAACGAAAAAGCCGCTTGCACTGACACCGCGGCGCTGGCCCGAGCAACTAAGACTGCCTTCGCCTGCCGCCTACCGCAAACGCCCTACCGGCGCTACGGCGCGCGAGTGCGCGACAAAGGTCGGATGCCAGTGCGCAGACTGCGCGCGGAACCTAACCCCGTGGGCAGCAGAGGCGCGCCCGATCGCGCGACAGCCGGACCCGTGCCTTTGGGCGCGCAGGTTAAGATGGCCCTGGCGGAGGTGTGGCCAAAGCTGCCGGAGAAGGCGTCACTGCGCGCGCGCCCAAGACGCGTTGACGCGGAAGCCCCAAACTCAAAAGCCGCCCCCCGCCCCGCCAAGGAGGCCCGGAACGCGGTGGCGGCGCGCCTGGCGGGACCCCCGCGCCCTAGTGCCGCATAACGAGCTCCTCAAGAAGGTGGGCTGGACGCTGGAAGCGCAGGCCGCTGCCGCAAACGCAAGCAAGCCCCGCTTGACCTGTGCGCTCGCCAGGTGGTCAGTGCGGCAGGGCTACGGGCCGACGCAGAAGCGTCTCTGCGCGAGGACCCTCCGGCGCCGCCCACAACAGCGCGGACGCGCGCCAACTGGGGTGGACCCTGGAGGATGAGGCGAAGGCGAGAGGGCCGCTAGGCGGGAGGAGCGCCAGAAGGAGGAAAAGGCGGAAGGAGCCCGCAACAAGCGGCGGGAGACCCAGACCGCGCGCCTGGAGGCCGCAAAGCTGAGGCGCGCTCCGCCAAATTCTCGTGGTGCAAAGGTGGAAAATTACAGTGTACGTGGGAAATTCTCGTGGTGCAAAGGGGAAACATTACGGTACACGTGGGAAATTCGTGGCGCAAAGGGGGAAAACTGCCGACTGCTGTACATAGGGAGAATTCTTGTGGCGCAAATGGGGGAAACTGGAAACACGGAATACAGCTGGACTTTGCGTGGAAACTGCCGACTGCTGTACATGGGGAGAATTATTCTCGTGGTGCAAAGAGGGAAAATTACGGTATACTTGGGAAATTCTCGTGGTGCAAAGGGGGAACATTACGGCATATGTGGGAAATTCTTGTGGTGCAAAGGGGAAACTGCGGTATGCGTTGGAAATTATTGTGGTGTGAAGGGGGAAGACTGCTGTATACAGTCGGAATTGTTGTGGCGCAAGTGGGGAAACTGTGGTGTCAAGGCGGCAAAGGGGGAACGTACTGGGGGAATCCTTGTGGTGCAAAGGGGGGAAAGGAATACAGCTGGACTTCGCGTGGTAATTACGGTATACGTGGGAAATTCTCGTGGTGCAAAGGGGGAACATTACGGCATATGTGGGAAATTCTTGTGGTGCAAAGGGGAAACTGCGGTATGCGTTGGAAATTATTGTGGTGTGAAGGGGGAAGACTGCTGTATACAGTCGGAATTGTTGTGGCGCAAGTGGGGAAACTGTGGTGTCAAGGCGGCAAAGGGGGAACGTACTGGGGGAATCCTTGTGGTGCAAAGGGGGAAAACTGCGGTGCACAGGTGGGATTCTGGTAGTGCGAAGGAGGAAACTGTGATGCACAGGAGAATTCTTTCAGCTAAGGGGTGGCCATGCTGCAAGCGAACTGATGAAACCGTCACCTGAAAAATCCGGGTAACAGTGCTAAGCAAGTCGAAGCTTGGCCAGCCTCAGCTTCGCGTTTGCGTTGAGATCGCTGGCGCCTGTCTTGCTTGGTAGTGGAGGAGACAGGCGCTGGCAAAAGTGCCATGAGATCGCTCTGCCTGGGAGGAAGAACTGGCTTGGACGACGAGACAGGCGCTGCAGCTCAGTTTGACTTCCCCCAGCCTCAGCCTGCGCACAACGTGCTGCCCTGTCCACCACAGGCTTCCCCCTTAGCACCACAAAAACTCACATCACCACGTTTGTTTCAAAACTTGTAGAAGCAAGGTACATTGGCTTAAAATGAGCATGAACCCGTTGTTTTCCCATGATTTCACAAACGCTGTCACACATCGCTAATGTTTTGTTTCTGCAAATTACATGAACATCAGCGCATATTCACCATTTTCACCAGTTGTACACAAACAACATTACATGCTCCTTACGACTTTTGCAGCCTTGTTACCGTGATTTTACACGAGCATCAACTCCTGCTCATTACCATTGTTACCTTGGTTTTACACGAACATTTGCAGATGTTTTTTGCAACAAACATGTTAAATGCAGGCCAGGTGGGATGCGATCGTCCATTTTGAAATCCAAATGGAGTGACGTACCAGCCTTTTCCACCTCCAAATTGTAAAGTGTGTTTTTGAAAAAGCTTGCTTGGACAACAAGGCTAAGTGGCTCGAAGAAGACGACACAAAACTTGTAAAACGCAGATGTGTTGATACTAAGGAACACAGATTCCTTGAGTGCTCGCTGACGCGTAAAGCAAGGCAAACGCACCTTCAAGACCTGTCCGACAAAAGTCTTGCGTATAAACTGTCAAGATTTCCTGAGTCCATATTCTCCGGAAAGCGCGTAAGGACAGGGGAGACCCTGCCCCAAAAACCAAACTGCACCCAACGCTCACCTGGCATTGGTACGCCGATGGCAGTGCCTCAGCGCACCCGTTCCCTGAAGAAGTTGAGGCTGTCATTTTGGACAACTGCCAGCACGAGAGTGCCAAATGCAGGAATATTCCCGCCACTTCACTTTACCCTCCTCGCATCGTGTCTTTGAAGTAGGTTCTGTCGCTGGGGAACCAACCGTTAACCGTGCCGAACTCAAAACGCAGAAGCCAAATCCCACCAGCTGCCAAAACCCGGGGTCCAAATCCGGCCAGCACGGTCTCATCGCGGAAGCATGCCAAGCAGACGAAACAAAAACCCATCGCATCGGATATTTTTGTGGAAGCAAGGTGCTTGAAGACACGCAATGCTAGCGACACGGGCAAGCAGGCTCAAACCTGATAGAAACCACGGTCCCGCACTTGGATTGCCCAAACGCTACCGTAGCTTGCGTTTGTGCTGCCTATCCAATTACCTACCCTGGTGGCCTATTCATTTTTCTATCTATGCCATATTCGTCCTTGCATGTGTTTGTGCTGTCTCTTTAGTTTTCGATCTATCTTTCCCTTAAAGCCCTGATGACCCGGCTTTCCGGTGGCATGTTTGGAGACTGCCGAGACCGGTTCTGTCCGAAGGGCTTTCTGGGGTAAGAGTCTTTCCGCGCACAAGGGGTGGCAAGACCCGGCCGGCTGGGATGATAAAATGGACTCAATTGAAATTTGTTCTCAAGGACATCAGGAGAATGCCTACTGTGTTTGGACCCCCGGCTTAATTAACCCCAGCGTGCGTTTGCGATGTTTGCACCATTCCACAGATGGTGCCCACGTTTCTTTGGTGCCCACTTGAAGCAAACTAAACCACATCACAGAAAGACGTGCGACGTCAGCAATATATAACCAATAGGTGCAACCCCCGTTAAAAGAATGGTCGGCTCAATTTAGATGATGGCAATCCTTCTGTCACTACACCAGGTTGGTCACCAGTACCCAACGCGAGCGGCCATGATAGGAGTTCGCAAAAGAGCCAAACCACAACCAACCATGCTTTGGTCTGGGAGGAAACGCTACGTAGTTAGCTTTGCTGTGATTGTACCCCACCAAAGCCGTAGTTGTAAGCCCTCTTTCTATAAGCAGGGTTGCTTGCAATTTAGCGATCCGTCCAAGACCATCTAAGAGACCCTGCCAGGTCTTTTGCCCAACACATGCTCGTCACACACACCTAGGCGCAAACTCTGCATCCGACTCGGACAAGGCCAGCGGATCCGGAAATGTGTGCGCCCCATGTCCCTTGAGTTACCGACTTCACTTTGCTCACTGCTGGAATAGATATTCTCTGTCACCATGCCAAGCCATGAACAAGTAGGTCATCAAGTGAGCAACTGACAGAATTACTGGTAGTCTACTGTTAGCACTTGTGGCCCAAGACCTTCCAGCAGTAGTGCTGTTTCGACCGACTCTGCGCATGACATGATGAACTAAACAGGAATTGATACTGCATGGCTGCCCGTCACGGCGTTGTGCATGGGATATTGTAGGCAAACCCACCGTCAGAAAGGAGCCCCGGCTGGCTAGCTGGCAGCAACTATGAAACCCTTCAGCATACGGGAGATGCTCGCCACGGCTGGTTTTTTGCTCATATTGGCGTAAAACATTAATGTGGTTTCGCTGACTTTTGCCACACAAGCGGCGGCAGTCATTACCACGCAAGTCGCGGGTACCAGCACTGCTGCAACTTGCTTGCACACAAGCCTTTGGGTTTAGCCTGGGGGAAGTCGGAAGCCTCAACGGGTGAAGTCCCTTTACTTTTTGCAGACTCCAGAAGGTGCACCCTTCGCAAAACGCTCAGTTGGTGAAAAACGTCCTTGGGCACGCGGTCCTACCTCCAGCCATGCTGCGATCAGGTGCAGCTTAAGCAGTCCTTGTGATGTTTGTAGAATGATTGTCGCTACACTTGCACCCACTAACACGGAACTCAACTGGGGTGTGCTACAGACATGCCTTGTCTTGCCTTCATCTTGTTGTCCGGCCTTCACCTTGCTCGACCTTTGGCTTACCTGTTTGGACTGTTGGGCTTCTGCTTCAGGGGTTGAAACCAAGGCGTGTTTGCGCTGACTCGGGTGATATGCTACATCACCAGGATCAAGACATCAAGCAGCTGAAGGCTCAGGTGCAAAAGGCGCGAATCCGAATTCCCCGAGTTCCTGGACTTTGAACTGTTTGAGAATACCATGTTGGTGGTAAATGGCTATGGCTCAAAACCAATGGCACCATTTTGGGATAGGTGCACCACCCATTTGAGAACCTGTTTTGGGATGTTCACTGGGGGTACGGGGTGTTGACCCATGGCCAAATAACAAGTTCAGACTTGTTTTGGCCCATCCACTCAGGAAGTGAGACAAAGTTGATTGCTGCTTCCAGGGATTGGCAAATGCCAATTGTTTGTCGCAACCATTGAGATTTGACTCCGGGTTCCATTCACGCCCTATGATTTGCCGCGTATGAAAGCAAACACCAAAAAACCTCTTGTAGGGCTGCTGAGGGAGGTATCAGACGCTATGAGCCACTGACACTACTTAGGCATGAGTGTCAAATTACTTGAGTGCCTACAACTACCTTTTGGAAGCCGTACGTAAGCGTGACTAATACCTTTTGGATACTTTAAGGTAGCAACATGCCTCTCTAGGAGTGAATTGAAGGTGAATTTAAGCAGGTTGACTTGATTTGGACTCTTCGCAAAGGCATCGGAGGCTCAACTTGAGACTTGTTGATGGTCTTTGAGCATGACAAACTCAATGCAGTCGGCCCAGTGTTGTTGTCTCATCAATATGGGGGACTCACATGTCTAGATTTGAAGAAATATCTAGGAAGGGTCAGATGCGTTGCCACGTCAGTCCTCTACGCGAATCAATTATTTGGCACCTCGTGGGGTGGAGCAGGCTGTGGCTGCGATGCTGAGGGCATGTTTTAGAAGCAATTATGTGTCTGTATTGTCGAAGCTTGACCCCCCTTGCATGGAACCTCAAAAAGGGAACCACCAAAGATATCCCCCTGCAACTGCTGTTTTTGGGGTTCATTGCAAGCATGAGTTATGGGTATACTTTAGCTTGTGAGTCTTGAGCGGCACTTGAGATGCAAGAAGCCCTGAGACGGGATGCGAACGCGCGTGCGTGCTACCCTGTGGACGGGCGTGCTGTGGTAGTTGCACTTTAGGCAATGGAGCGAAAGTTGCGCCGCAAAATCTCTTTTTGGTTTGCTCATCCCAATATTATGCTAGCTACCCTCTTTCCTTTGTTGTTTGGCTTGCCCCCAATAAACTGTTCAACCAATCAAAGGGTTTCCGTTTTTCACCTAGTTGCAACTGGATCTTTGACACAGTTTACTTCTGCCAGAATGGAAGTTCGCAGGTTGATAGATCACCAATAGTAAGCCTTCTTTGGGGGTTCCCATGTTGCGTGGGGTCGCCAAGTACCCGCAGGATGAAGATAAGATCACCGAGCTGGAGTACAAGACCAAGAAGGCTGAGATCCAGAAGGAGGCAGCGGGTGCTCACTGGTTGTTTGGAAATGGTGGTCCCCCTCTTTGAGGTGTTGTTAAAGGGAAACCACCCACTTTGGGGGGATCCACCAATCTTCATGCGCAGATGTGGTAGGCGTCCTTTGAGCAGAACCGAATCGCCTCCTTTTTCAAACTATTGGTTTGGAAGGAAGCTTCTCGAATGATCGAAGCGTTCGGATAAAACCATTTCGGTGATGTGGGGCGGGTCGAATGATTTGCCAGATGCGTTGCTCCGAGCATCCGGTTTCTCTGAGTTTCCCCTTCCAGCCAATTTTCTGCCCTTGCGCCGATCAGGTCTTTGGAGAGAGCCTGCTGGCCGGTTTGATCTTTGGGAGGATATGGAATTGTTCTATTGAACCAGCAAGCTCTTGTAAATTAAAATTTCGGCTCAATGAGGGAAACCGCGCTCAGCTAAATGGCTTTCGTTTTGTTGAGTTTCCCTAGGGCAGCCGCAAGATGGCTGAATCCAATTGAGCCGCGCCCAAAACATATATAGAACACTTTGAGGGTCGCAAGGAGACACAATGACGAATTGCACATTTGCCCGAAACCATGGCGTGCAAATGATATTACTGTTGCAGATATTGTCTCGAACCCAAAACACCATCATGTTCAAAGGAACCTCCTTTGGAAGTTCTACCCTTTTCAGCTACCGATGGGAACATCTACAGCTGTCAGATAAGCCTGAAGAATATTTTGGTGTTTCCAGATCTTTGGGTCCTGGGTGTTTCATAGGGTTGCACCCCAATGCCAATGGGGAACCATACCCCTTTGGCCCAAACTGGCTGCATATTGGAAGTTTTCGGGGTACACCCGCCAATTCGTTCAGACGCCAAATTATCCCACCTTTGGTAAAACGAGCTCATGATAAAGGTCTCTTGGGGATTCCTTTTTGATCAGGTTTGTGAACGATTTTGCTTTGCCCATATTCAATAAGCACTAAGAATGATGACTATAATGACTATATTTGGAGCGCAGCCCCACTCATGTTCCCCAACCTCAGCCCTGACCCTACGATTTAGAGTCAAGAAACCCCCAAGACCCACTTGAGTACGTGTCCGGACTACCCCAATTCAACACGCGTTTCCCATTGATGTCCCTTTTTCGCACCTCCACGGATCAGCTTGGAGGAGGGCCATGTGTTTACCGTGATCCAAGTCAATTACTCGCCAAAGTGGTAGGTCAAACGGGCACGCCCCCATTTGTTTGTCTTTGATAGCCCCCCGAAGCAGACAAAATCAGGACTCCATGGTTTGCCTTTTCCATTGTTTGTGGCAAGTTTAAAGGACACCAGTGAATTGATCAACTCTTGGGGATTTGTTTTTGTGTGATTCCAGTTCAAGCCATCCCCAGAAACAGCCAAACTCATGACCCCAGTTTCGACCAGTTTCAAAAACTGGGCACTCTCCCAAACACCTCCCCCCCCCCCTTCACCCCACCCCCTTCACCCCACCCCCTTCACCCCACCCCCTTCACCCCACCCCCTTCACCCCACCCCCTTCACCCCACCCCCTTCACCCCACCCCCACTCCACCCCCTTCCCCCCACCCCCCCCTCACCCCACCCCCCTTCACGCCCCCCGCCAATAGAAGGCCAGCATTTTGTTCTCAGTCGGAAACTGTGGCAGTTGGGCCGACGCAAAAAGTCAAACTTGACGGGAATTGGAGCACCCTCTCAATGAATTTACCAAAAGTACATCCTTTATTTTATGAATTACTAAGAGAAGAATTATAAAAGGTGAATCTCGGTGAGAGCCCCGCCCCCCCCCCCAAAAATGGTTATAAGGTTGGTTCTAGGGTGGGGTATTTTCAGTTCAGGGTTTCAGGGGCAGGGTTCATTTTCAACAAGCAAACCATTTTGTCCAAAACCTAAAGGTTGATTGTGGGGAATTTTCCTAAATTTTCTCAACATTTTTTTACAATTTTTTCATTATGAAACAGTCTAAGATTTCATCATTTTCAAGGTTCGGGTTTCAGACCATTTTTAAGCTTTCTGGGGGTTAGAAGGGTACAGTCTTCAATACGCTTAACCAGTGTTGATTGCTGAGGGCTTTTCTTGATTGTAGGGTTGGAATTATGAAACATGGTTGTTTTGACTTCGCTGCCATTACTCAAGACGCCTTGGCATTGTCAATTCACTTGCGCCCTATCCTTTGCTGTTCCTCACATGGCATTGAAGCAGGGTGGTTACACCAACAAGGGTGAAGAAGTGATGGCATCCCTCACGCCATCAACAGATGTTCCGTCCTCATCAATTCCTCACACGGTCGGCATCACAGATGACACAATCGTGAAGGTCTACCAGTTGGATGATGACAAGTTTGATGAATTCCTAAGCACAACCAGCATTGAGGACTTGGCGAAGCACTGCCAGTCATCCAGCATTGTGCTGAAACATTTGTTCAACCGCGTGGACCTGATGAAGAAGAAGGTGAAGCTGTTTGAAAGCAACCAGAAGAAAGAGGAACGCTTGAAGATGAAGAAGCACTTGGATGAGGAGAAGAAGAAAGAGAAGAAGATGGAAAGGGAGACCAGTGTGAACCTACGCATTGACCACAACAACCAGGTTTTCCGCGTGGCAGTTCAGTTGAAGTCAACTGTGGGAGACCTACGCCGTGAGATTGTACGTGCCATGGGGTTGCCTCGCACTCATGCTACGAAGTGTGTGTTGAACTACAAGGAGGTTGAGATTTCACAACACCCGAGGCGCTGTTTGTCAACCTACAAGGTGATGGATGATGACTACATGGTCGCAACCTTCGTCTTTCCGGCATCCACATCAAAGCAGGTGCACATCTTGGGCGAGGACTTCACAGCAACCATTGCAGGCGACCCTGACGAGATTGCTTCGAGCATCCAAGACATCATGGAGAACGGCGAGGTCTCTTCTGATAGTGAGGAGTCAGATGACTGATTTGTTTAGGGTAGGTTTTGACCACCTCAAAGAAGCATCCGTCGATTGAACATGCCTCTCATCACATGTTCATTTTCACCACTTCACAGCTGTTTGAGAGATGTCGGTTGCTGACTGAGCAGTAGGAGAAACCAGAAACGCTACATCTGCTGTGTGTAAAACAAGTATTTGCTCATGTGTGCTCGTGAGAGTACCTTGAAGATTGAAGACATGGAGCATTACCTTGTCTTGATGTCGTTGTCATACATGACCGCAGGTGTTTTTACCTCACTGTTTTTTAGATTGTTTCAATCTATCCCTCACTGTGAACCATGCCGCCCAAGAAGAACGCCACGAAGAAGATTGTCCTTAAATCTTCAACAAAGAAGGCGACTTCGGTGGCTACTCATGATGTGGAGTGTGCTTTGAAGGCAGCTTCCAACGCTTTGAAAATGGACAGTGTTGATTTTGACAGCTTCATCCAGTGCTTCCCACTCGCTTCTCTCAATGACCTCATGAAATATTTACGACATGACCGCACCAACCTCGCCAAGAAAATAGAGTGTGTGGCATTGTTTGATCCTGATGTCAAGAAGATGATGAAGTTGCGGGACTATCTGGACAATGCCATTAACAAGAGTTGCGACATTGTCCATGATGCAATCGTCAATGCTTGCAGTGATGAGGACAACAATTTTGACATTAATTCGTTGTATGACAAGGTCAATGTCCGAATAGGTGTACAGACGCAAAAAGCCGAAGCATCCAACAAGGACCAAAACATGTCCTCTTGAATGGATGCCCTATTTCAAGTGTTGTTTCCACATCATGGTTGTCTTTCTGGGTTGACAACCATGTCATGACCAATGCTTAAAGAGCATACACATATGCTCCGACAGCAATGCTAAAACAGCATACACATATGCCCAAAGAGCATTACCAAACAGCATGGACATATGCTCCCACAGCATTACCGAACAGCATACAATATGCCCAAAGAGCATACAAATATGCTCCCAGAGCATAGAAATATGCCCTCAGAGCATATCAAAAGGAAAATTATAGGTAAAAAATATGCCCCCAGAGCATACACATATGCTCAAAGAGCATACACATATGCCCAAAGAGCATACACATATGCCCAAAGAGCATACACATATGCCCAAAGAGCATACACCATATGCCCAAAGAGCATACACCATATGCCCAAAGAGCATACACCATATGCCCAAAGAGCATACACCATATGCCCCCCAAAGCATGTTTGACGGAGCATATACCAAGGTCATTTGCTGACGAATAGCCAGCGTCTTCGGGGATTGTCATGAAGATCATGACCTGATTGAGCAACTGCTCATTACATACAGTATTGAGATGTTTGAAAAAGATTTGTCGCTCGCAGGGCTTCAGGGTTCAATCCATTTTTGTTTAACCCCTTCCTTAACAGGGTGCTTACTCCGGAAAGATGCCAAACATGTTTCCGCTGCCCCTTCCCTTTTAAAGGCATCTTTCCAATGGAGTATCGCACCAAACACCCCCTACGAAGGCAATAGGTGTCCAACGTAGGAAACACACAGGCAGGCGTCGGCGGTATTTGAACTGGAAAACCCCCACAAAAGCACTTTTGTCAGTCATCTAAGGTGACGGGGAGCGAAAGGGTGCTCCATCGTAAGCATACCCGTCAATACCTTAGGCGACTGTCGTGCCATTTTTTAATTTACAAGGCTTCGCCTCATCCGCAGTGATGATGCTGATGATGCAGTCCATCCCCAAACCCACATTTCAACATTGAACCCAAACCCACAAAATCAAAACCAACAACACAAACCCCCACCCAAATATACTTAAAGAGAAAATACCTTATATAGTATAGAGAAATGGCAGGGGAATACAGCACGGGTTCAGTAATTGAATATCTATTATCCAATAATGAAGGTCAAATAAAAACAGGGAAGAATAACAAACCATTGAAAAAACTAATCATCAACAACAAAGAATACTATTACAACAAAGACAAACCATTATCCACATCACTTCAAAACAAACTCAATCAAGCCAGCAACACACAAGGTTTCAAACGATTTCATC